ATACGACATGTTTTCTCTGGAGACATTTTCGGTCGATGCCCAAAGACTCGCCAATTAGCCATAAAAGCGTGCTGGGCCGTTTGAAGGTTTAATTCGTTCGACTGGGTTTAGCGACCAGGCTCGGAAATTCGCTGGTCAAAGGGGCGTTTGCAGCAATGGATAATGGAAAAGACAGGTGTCAACGAAAAGCCTGGAAAAGAACAAACGATGGCGTGAAAAATTTCCAGCTCAGAAATTAATGTCCAGTCTGAAATTTATCAACAGGTTTGAGGCCTTGATGACTATTGTGCCGCTAATGTGGACTTAGTGTATGAGGCGTTTCCACTGCACCCTTCGGCTTCTCGCGTACGGGGCCGCGAATTTCGCCAACCTCGCATTGAAACACAGGTTGATGGGGTGTTACACTGTGGGCGGCTCTCGTCCCGAGAAAGGAGGAGCACCGGGGGCCCTGACCGGGGGTCGAAACACAGCGCAGGGCCGGGCTCGCGGCTCTACGTCCGTCTGTTCCTCCGCGCGCGCCTCACTCCCTCACTCACGCCAACCGGGGCGCTCAGGTTGTTCCGCCTGTGCAACGCAACAACATATAATATAGAACGGGGCTGTGCCGTGTTTATTGAACTGATGTTCAACAACTGAAACAGCCGTACAAACACGGAACAGCCGGACGTGCTATGTGATTACACCCTCAGGGCAAAAAAGGTCAATTCCGCAGCAATCTTGCGGACGCAGAGGGCGGCAGATGATTGACAGACATTTTTATATGAGGGCAGCGAAAAAGGCACCTCCTGGTTTGTAAACACGGACCTGCACTTTGTAGAGGTCAGTTATGAAAGGTACATCAACCACACTCTGTTTCATATGACGGTCACTCCATCTAAGCATCGTCAAATTCTGTTGTCCGTTAAACTAAGGGGCGAACGCAGGTCCGACAAGTCGGGTGTCGGCTTCCTCGAAGCCGGAAAAAGGGCGGGGGGCCCTGCATCCGTACAGGCCGGTAGCTAGGGTAGTGTCAACGTGGTGGGAGCTGTGCTTGTTGCAGCAGTGCTGATGCTGTGGGAGCTATGCTTGTCAGAGCGTGGGAGGCAGGAAGCCGACACACGTTGTCAGAGCGCGGGAGGCAGGAAGCCGGGGCTCATAACCTGATGAAGAGACGGTGTCTCTCTGGAACCTAGTAGACACGGTTAAGAGTCATTGGCCGTTACACGCAGTCTGGAGGTCCGCGACCTGCCACCGACAGCCCCTTGCTTGGGTGTAAGCGTATGAGTCTGAGGTGCCGTTAGCGGCACACAGCAGGGGCTCGGCCGCCAAGTCCGCGGTCCAGGCCGGCTGCTCAACGCTCAGCAGACACAATCGCAGCTTGCCAGCCTTCAGCCTGTTGGCTTTGCGGTCTGGTGCCGCAGCCATAACACACACGGAAATCAGCGCCGTACAGCACCGTACGCACTGCCTACGGCGCCCCTTCAGGCATTGACCCGCCTGCTCACGCGCCCTTGGCGGCCCCCTCAAAGCCTAGCTCGACACACTTCCCAAAAGCCCTCAGCACTTTCATGTGCTGTCTTATGTTTATTTCCGAAGCGCCAGCGGCTTCAGCAATCCGCCCAACAGCCGCCGCGGCACACTCCCATTGGCCAAAGTAATTCTATAAACGAACAGCAAGCGTACTTCATAAAGAAATGAAATCAAATTTCTCGGCCTGCTGGTGGCAAGTCGGAATGCCCTTGCGGGCAAATGGTAACACAAGCTGGGTGTTCGAGTTATCATACGCCGTAATCTCAGAATTGGATAATGGGAAACGCGGCACCTTTTGAGATTACATTTAGCCCGAGAGGCGTTTATGTGACTTTGAGCTCGGTCAATGGAGGCAGCCAAACTTGTTTGTGCTCATACGATTTTTGTTTGCTACAGGCGAGACACCTTGCAATAGAGAATGCTAAATAGTACCAATAACGCGTTTCAGCAGGGTGAGATATTATCTTTGGTCTGTTACACACACACGGCCACACGGACATGGGCAATCCTACAGAGCGGGGGGCCCCTGGGCGCTTCGCGCTGGGGCCCCGCCCCAAAACGGGTGATGGACTCTTAAGAGCTCAAACGTTGGCCGCGATAAGCAGCGTGTCCCCCCTGTTTCCGGCAGAGCCGAGGGGGCGAATGTTGGTTCGAGGTTCTCAGTATTTTCCCCCGCACTTGCACATCTTCACTGTTTTTCTACATTACCCTGCGTTTTCGATACGCCGCAAACACTGGTTACTGATCCGTAGCCCTCACCAGCGCCGGTAGCAGCTCGAATTGGGCTTTGTCTGTTGTGTATGTGTGTATGTGTGTGTGTTACATGGTTGGGGGTGCGTGATCCCAAGCAACGTACTACACTGGCGCGCACATGAATAACCAAGCACACGAAAAAGCAGGAAAGGTCCTCATGAGCCTGTTCCTTACGGCTGCACTGATGGTGAGGCTGACAAAGGCGACCTGGCGGCAGCTGCAACTGCCTTTATCACCACCACCACCACCACCGCGGTACGGGAGGTCAATGTTGTGGCGCATGCACTTCCAGAACGAGCATACCCACAACAGCCGTATTAGTGCCGTTCGCCGCCCATCTTGTCCTTTGTGCGATGATCCCTGCAGCCACAGATGGGTGTTTCCTTGTGTTGGCCGTGTTGGTCGCAACTAGGGCTGGGAATTACGGTTACGGTCCTTACGGAGTTGCGCATTACGCCTTTCGCAATTACGGTGACCCCCCAAAAACACCGTAAAATGACGGTCCTTACGGTGTAATGCAATTACGGTTACCAAAAGGTCCAAATTACGGTCGGACCGTAAGCGTACGAGCCAATACCGACGACCACACCTCGAAACATGCCATTTCGTCCCTTGGAGCTACGGGATAGTCTTAAAAAGCTTATTATACATTAATCTATGATTAAATTATCACAAAAGACAGCCAAAAAATGCTGAATGAGGCGAAACCATTTCAACCGGAGCACCGCGCGCGCATCGAGTACTGCATCTGTTGTATGCCATCATGCCATATGCTAAATCCTCAACCAAGAATGATGCTCCTAATATATACGGGCCGAACGTGCGTAACAGTGTCAGTCCTGGGCACAGCTCCCAGCAAGGTGCTGCCCTTCATTTGGGCTGAGAAACGCTGCTTCATGGTCAGCGGCTTACCAGGGGCAGTGTCGGAGCCCGCCTTTGGCTGGATGCCACCCATGTCGCGGCTAAATACAAGCTTAGGTGCAAGTAACCCTGATAAAACTATGTAAAAAGGTATGAAATAAGTTTATCTATCGTTATATAAAAGAAAAGAAAGGATTTGGCTCCGAAAATGAGGACCGTAAATCGTTACGGTCCACTTTGCCCCGGAACCCACCGTAAATTTCGGTATTTACGGCGTTGCGCATTACGCCTTTCGCAATTACGGTCCATTTTATGGGATTACGGTGTTTTTCCCAGCCCTAGTCGCAACCCCCACGGGGCCGTGGCCCCCCTGGGCCGTGCCCCACGGGTTGCTCCGCTTTCTGCTGTTGCCGCAACTGCCACCCCAGTCGCTGCCTTTCGGCGCTGCCACTGTCGTGGCGGCGTTCAACACCACCAGCATGGCGCCATAACGGATCACCTCCGGATCCGCTAACTCTTAATAACCCCGAACTCCGACTCTGGACGCCTTGGAATCCGAACACCACTCGGTGGCCCCCTCGCCACCGGCGTCATGCATCTGCACCAGACACGGCACCGGATAAACAATCCTGATGTGCGACCGTAGAGGGTTTGTTGTACAACAAACCACACATATGCCAAAACGAATATTAATCTATGACAAATATTAATTCTCTAGACCGATTCATGAAGCTATAGCAGCAGCAACAGCTGTGAGCTGCCGCAGTAGCTGCTGCTAGGCGACGTGTATGTGTAGTATTATGAATCCATCCATACATGGCATATCCCTATCCCTATGGCTGCCTCTGGGTGGGAGCTAGCTATAGGGGATTCCTCCTTAGCAACTGGACTAGTCGCTCCCGAGACGTGCAGCGGGCCAGCTTGTACCCCAGCTGCCTCCAAGTAGCGGGGCAGTAGCTCTCCTGCACGAAGAACGGCCCTGCTACCTGGGAGCAACTGGGGCACAAGCTGGCCCGCTCACAGCCAAACCAACAGAGCCAAACCAGCAGAAATAACGCACATAACCGCAATAACCGCTGCAATGCGCCTTGATCAAATGGTGCTCTGCCAGCAACGGGGCAAACACATGCTCGGGCACAACACACCGGCACGGTACAGCCACTTCTAGAATGCCAAACGCAGCAGCTGTTCGGCCTAGGCGGGAACGGCCGCTGCCCCTGTGACTGAAATCACAGGTACTTAACGGACAATGATTTCCCTGTAGGTTGCTTGCAGCGTGGTCGGTGTGGAGGGCAGCGTGCCGCTTGCGTACACGCCGATCTTGTGGTAGTGCACCTGGAATTTGGAATTGGGGTGAACACCCCCAAACGGAATGGATGAATGTCGACACAGCGGGCTCCAGGACATGGTGCTTAGTTTAGTATGAATTCCGTACCAGTGAAGCCCGGCAGTAAGCATCATGCTATATGCGGCCACTGGTATTGATTTGTACCAGGGTTTGTGCCATCTTCCCCCAGGGCCAAAACCTAGTGCCCTTGGTTTTAGCCCTGCCGCCCAAGGGACGCGCCTGAAACCGGGCGCACATGACTGGGCTGGGGTTTTTTTTCAGACCGAAGTTTGTACTTATCTGCTGTCCCTCGTAAGTGCACGGGAAACCGGACCAGCGATGTTTGGTAATAACACCTTACTCTTTGGGGTAACATCAGAGTGGGGGATGTCCCACTTTCCCGGCTGTAGCCCGGCTGTATCACACCCCCTGGAGCCGCACCTCCGTTCTCGGGAGCTTGCGGTCAGGGATGGTGTTCTTCAGTACCCCGTCGACATACAGCGCGATGGTGTTGGCACCGGCGTCATGGCGGATGCGCAGATGCGTCCACTTAGGGGCGTAGATCCCGGTAGCCCATAGGTGCACCATAGTCAGTTAGACCGCCGGCCGTGTTGGCGCCGTGATAGGTGATCTGAGAGATGCCGTTGGAGTTCTTGCTTACTCGCAGTTGTAAGCACGGCTTGCCGTAGTTGGTGTCAAAGATCTGCATTCATGTAATGGCCATCGGCATTGGTCAGCTGCCGCCCCTTCCACTATGCGCGCGCGAATCTAGATCCCGGGACATGCAACCGCCATGCCTTTCCGGCTTGCAATACGCACATGATCCACCAGTCCTTACACACCATAACTGACAGACTGAGCGGGCGCTACGGGCTGTGGCGGTCGTGGGCAAAAAAGGCTGGCAGACGGGTGTGCAGGTGTGCTGCCGCCACCTCGATTGAGAGGAAATCAGGGCCCCTGCCTGCACACCCTCGCATGTCTGCTGACTCAAGGTACTGTACACGGCAGTGTGTGGTGTGGTTTACCTCCGCATGCGCACCTGGAACAGGTTGGCGCCCACGACGCCCGCTTTGATGCTGATGTTGAAGGAGGTGTCACGCACGGTAGAGCCACTGTAGTCCTTGTTGCTGACGCGCAGCTCAGTACGCGGGTTGGTAAGGGAGCCGGCTTGGAAGGGGTCGTCGTCGGTGGAGACCTTCAGGGTGATGTTGCCGCAGCTTCCCACGGAGGTGGGGGGCCACCTGCATCAGGCGGGCGGAAGTGTTGGCCGGTTCGAGCAGAGTGCCCGGTTGCTCTAAATCCATGGACCCTGGTCTGGTCTCATTTGTCCGGGAAGAAGAGCCAACCCCGGCCCAGTATATATACGGTTGTGAACCCGAGAGTCACGGTGTGAAGCTCGGCCGCTCCAGACTCACGGAGACATGTACAGGGACGATGAGGACGATGAGTAGGGCCGCTGAATGCTATACTGAAAACTGTTGCCACTGCAGCTGTATGAGTAGGTGTTTGTGTCCGCCGCCAACAGACGCTCACCGGCCGCTGCGAGGAAGAGCCCGGTCAGGGCAGAACACTGCAACTCTTATGCAGGATTGCTGCATATGGACAGCCCTAGGTCGTGCCCTTTAATCGATCGGCTGTTTCGCAAGCCCTCCGCTCCCACCAAAGGGTACTCTTGCTCCTACTCGCTTACCCACGACGCGGCTGACCGACAAGACCAGACCTGACAGAATTACGGTTAACAAACGCATCGTCCCCGTCATTGGCTTTGCAGACCGGAAATGACCGGAAATGAACAACAATGGCAGTGAGCGATGCAAGGCGAAAACAAGTTGGGTGTCGGCTTCAAGGAAGCCGGAAAAAGGGCGGGGCCCCTCTGCATCCGTACAGGCCGGTAGCAAGGGTGGCAAGGGTGACAATTGATGGGTAGTGTCAACGCGGTGGGAGATATGCTTTGTTGCAGCAGTGCTGATGGTGTGAGAGCTAAGCTTGCACCGGCGGAATCGTCAGCACCGCCTGCGGGCTCCACGCGAATCGCATCCATTCCGGGTGCATGCCGCATGGACAGTGCGGCAGACCGCAAGTCGGAATGCCCGTGCGGGCAAATGGTAACGAAAGCTGGGTGAATTTCGGTGCTGTCTGTGATGTTTATCCCCGAAGCGCCAGCGGCCTCAGCAATCTGCCCCACAGCCGCGGGGTTCATCGGGGCACACCGCAAGTCTCAGGAGGCCCCGTGCATTGGCCAAAGTAAATGTACAAACAAGGAGCTTGTGTATTTCATAGAGAAATGAAAGCAAATTATGTTGGCCTGCTGGTGGCAAGTCGGATTGCCCATGCCGGCAAATGGTAACACAAGCTGGGTGTTCGAGTTATCATACGCCGTCATCTCAGAATTCCATTGTGAGATACGCGGCAGCTTTGGGGATGAAATTTAGCGCGAGAGGCGTTGATGTGGCTTTTGAGGTCGGTGAATGGAGGCAGCTAAACTTGTTTGTGCTCATACGGTCTTTGTTAGCTACATGCGAGATACCTTGCAATAGAGAATGCTGTATAGTACCGATAACGCGTTTCAGCCGGGTGAAATATTCTGTTTGGTCCGTTACACACTCAAGGCCTGGGAGTTCGAGTTATCATACGCCGTCATCTAAGAATTCAAATATGAGATACGCGGTACCTTTTGAGATGAAATTTAGCGCGAGAGGCGTTGATGTGACTTTGGCCTCGGTCAATTGAGGCAGCCAAACTTGTTTGTGCTCATACGATTTTTGTTGGCTACATGCGAGATACCTTGCAATAGAGAATGCTGTATAGTACCTATAACGCGTTTCAGCCGGGCGAGATATTATGTTTGGTCCGTTACACACACACACACACACACACACACACACACACACACACACACACACACACACACACACACACACGGACATGGGCAATCCTACAGGTCGGGGCCCCCCTGGGCGCTTCGCGCTGGGGCCCCGCCCAAAAAAAACCACTGGTAGTTGTTGCCGACACTTTCTAAGGGGCACTTGCTTGTATGTCAACTTTCCAAATTAAACAACAATCACTCCTACTGTATAACAGTATGGCATGTATTGAAATCACCTCCGTTTCCAGGCGCCCCGCCCCGCTCAGTGGGTTCGTAGTAGGTGTCTGGCTGGTCAACTGCCGTAGGCGGGCGGAGGCCGCTGCAGGCGGGCGGGTTCAGAACAGGCCACTTTCACAATGTTTAAAAAGTCGCCCAACACTGAGGTTGTCAGACATCTTTACACTCTCACCTGTCCATTGCCTTGTGTCACCTCCCTCCCTATGGCAGTCCGGAGACGTGTAGCTCGCAAAAGGCTCAATGTGGCTAGGGGGCAGTTGTCTGGACGGGTTACTGTAAATGTGCAGTCCCGAAACAAAGCACGTGAAAAAGCATGGATATCTAACTGATGAATGCATCATAAACCCTAAGAATGATTAACATAAAACCTAAGAGGTCGTTGACAAACACCGGTGCCGAATTACAGTGATGGACAGGAAGTGAAGGAGCGGAGGAGGCAGCCCCCCACCTTTCCACCTCCACGGCCTACCCACCCACTTCCAAGGATGGCGTGCGAGAGAAGTCGGGAGAGCGTCACACACATTATAAATCTAGTATGAAAAAGAGTAATCAAAGCAAGCATTTAGCTGACAGGTTGCATGTCTCTCATGTCACTCCGACAAGGCTTTCTGAGACTCCTGAGGCTTTCTGGCATTTTGCCATTTTGACGGCCCCCGACTTGCAAGACGGTGGACTCTCGTGAGCTGCTAGCCCACAGCGCATCCGAAAATTGGAATATCATCAAAATTATCGGCAAACTGTAGTATCACGGGTATCACGGGATCTGTCATCCGCCGATCGGTTCTTTTCGGCAAAAAGACGTGATACAACGCAAACGCTCTCTACCAGACCATGCATGTCATCACACTGCCCTAGTGCAATTGCAAATATGATCCCCTCCACCATTATTACTTTATATACACAGACCAATCCATAAAATTCCGTCGGACAAGTAAAGTAAAAAACTGCTTTTCCAGTGCATAAGGACTCAGGCAGCCCAATAATAGAACTGCCAGTAAAAATACACTCTTTTAACCACCTTTTTTGTGGCCTCGCCTCTAAAACACGTCGTCCGCAATCCCCTACGAGGCAATGTTTTAGTACTACACTACGGATCCCTTCACCCTGCTGCAGCCCCCCGCACTACGCCAAACTGCTCAATCCCTTTTACAGGATTTTACCACCACCACCATCACCGCCACCACCCATTTACGACATTTCATTGCGCGTTTTGCGGGAAACAAACCCCCCGTCCCCCGTCCCCCGTCCCCCTCCCCCCTCCACCTTTCGGTGCCTTCCCCTCCTCAGCGAGGGTTCTCTACGATGTACGACCGCCACCACAACCCCCGGCGCCGCCAGCTCGTCAAGACAAAATACACCAAGACACGCAGCGAAGAGGGCCGCTCAGAGGTCGCACTGCTTGGTGCCGCCGCCATCCGTCGCGTCCACTGTACGGCACGACGCCTTGCCCGCCCCCTCCATTTCCCGCCGCTTCAGCAGCACCTCCAGCGCCTCGCGTCCCGTCAGTTGTGTACGGTATTTGGCCCACACGTCGTACACCTTGTTGGCGAGTGCCAGTACGGTGGGATTCCTGCGCGGTACGACACACACGTCATTTTCACGTCAGTATCCTTAATGCCCCCGTTACGAATATGCCCCGTTATGAATATGGGAAGGGGCCACACCCAGAGAGAGAGAGAGAGAAAGCCTACGAGACCTTCACATCGGCTGACTGACCGATAAGGGTACATATGCGCGGGGTGCATGTGTTTGTATCATGTGTGGGACAGGGGGGTCGTATCTTCCCCCGTGGCCGCTACCCGGCGAAACCCTTTGTGCCTTCTCCGGTACTTTGGGGTACCCTCGAGCTCATCCAGTCACCCAAGCCGACTTCTCAGTGGATTGCTCAGGTTCAGCACCCACCACCGGCATCCAACGTAATCTACCGGATCAACTGCGGCTCAACTCCATTCCTGGTCAGCTCGCAGGTTAACTTTATCCCAGGTCACCACCGTCCATCGACCAGGGGCACTATCACCTTCCATCCAATTGGAAGGATTTTCGACCCTGGCAGGTCTCGATCCCGGGATCTCCCGGGGGTATTGGTGTGTGCGATACCAGTAGTGCCTAAAGTATACTTGACGTACATCTGTCTGTCTGTCTGCATATGTAATATAGTATAATACAATATAATAATATACAATACAATAATATTTATGTCCACTACGTACAAAGGTATTAATTTAACTACGTTATCCGCTGTCCTTACTTCGTAATGCCGTACACCCAGCCCAGCCCCACCGCATCGTACACCAGACGAAACACCTCCACCCCCGTGTACACGCGACCTGGGGAAGAGGGGAAGGGAGGGGGAAAGATGGAAGAAGGAGGAAAGGGAAGAAGATGGGATGAAGTAAGGACTGCCGGCTGGAACATGACCGGCCCCCTCATAACGCCCTGGCAACGGCCCGTGTGTAATTCGGATGTCTGAATGAGAAGCTTCCTGCGGCTCTCGAGCCAGCGGGAGCCGGGGTTACTGACCTCCCCCCATCCCCACCCCCACCCGACCCCGACCCCGACCCGCTGTCCTGAGGGGCACTTTCCTTCCGCGGTTATTCCATGAATGGTCGCCATGGCCTGCGTGTAGACAGGAGGGGGGGGGCTGGTGAGGTGGGGAATCCGAACATGGCCTTTTCTGGGGGGTGAGGTGAAATCCTACTTATACACAAAGCACACATACATACATACATACATACATACATGCATACATGCATACATACATACATACATACATACATACATACATACATACATACATACATACATACATACATACACACACATGCATACATGCATACATGCACACATACGTACACATACATTGCCAGCTAGTGATGTTGGTCACTCTTTTACGTGTCCGAAATGTATTGCCTTACTATGGTAAGGCGTTACCCTCCCTCCCTCCCTCCGTACCCGAGTCTTTGGACGTCTCCTGGAAGAACCCCCCCTTCATCGCAGCTTAGGGCCATAAGGGCGTGCGGATGGCGGTGTCACCCCTCCCCTCCCCCCCCACCCATCTACCTGTTCAAATGTGATCCCCGCGTTTTCCGCCGGGTTGTACTGCGGACTGGCGATATCCACAAACACCACCTTGCCGGCTTGGTTGCGACTGCACGGTCGGCGGGGTAGGAGAGTGGGTTGTGAGGGTGGTGGCTAGGGGGTGGGGTGGGGTGGGGAGGTGAGAAGGGGGGTAGGGGGTTGCTTGGCCCACCTCGCCCCTCCTCCCGAACGTCTCATTCAAATGTTTATTCCCTCTGAACTCCCCCTCCTCCCCTCCCCCTCTACTTCTTTACGGCTTCGTGCTGCTACTTTTCTTCCGCTCTTACTTTAGTCTTGGCGGCTAGGTAGGTAGGTAGGTTTCCGCGGTCATCATAATTACATCATCCCGAGGGCGCCGCCTTCAAGAATGCCTACTGGTCAGTTCTGCTTCTTGTACATTCTTTCCTTGGCAGCAGCTTCACTCGTTCACGTGGTTCGCCTTTCTCCCTCCTCCCCTCCCCCTCCTCCCCTTCCCCGAGCTTTGTCGGTGAATCACGTTGCGTCGGTCAGCTAGCCAGGTTAGGATAGTTGGGTCGGTCGGGTCGGGCGCGTGTTGGGGGGCTGGGAGGAGCACTTGCACGTCACCAACAGCTTATTACCTGCAGCTTATCAGCCAGTTTTGGTCCAGCCTCTCCAGTTCCGCCGCCAGGCCGGCGAGCAAATTTATTCCAGCTCACGTCACCTCTTCCTCTACTCGTGTCAGTTTTCTACTCTTTCGCCGCCTTTACACGTACCTATACAATATTACGGTTTGTTCTCCTGCTCTTTTTCCGCACTTTATTTTAGTCATGGCGGCTAGGTAGGTAGTTTTACGCTATTGTCATGACCACATCATCGCGACTGGACTTCTTCTTCACAACCGTCGACTGGTTCTGCTTTCTTTTTACATCCGGCGCAGCCCTCTTTCCTTGGCATCACCTTCACTCGCTCGTTGTTCGTCGTCTTTCCCATTCCCCCCTTTCCGCGGGGCGGAACCGGATGACGAGGCAAGCCCCCCCCTTACCCCCCTTCCCCCTACCTCCGCAGGAAGTTGACCTCCTGCATGTTGGGTACGGAAGTACGACATGTTGCATGAAATGAAAGATGGGTGGGGGGATGAGGTGTTACGCGGGATGTGCATGTGGCAGTGGCGGATTGCGGGTGGTGGTGGGCGGTCTCAAGGACATGGGGAGCACCGTGGGACGTGTGAGGGAGCGGTGATGGGAATAAGGGGAAGAGAACTTCATCAAAACGTAAAAAGCACCTGACGGACTGGAAGGCACACACATGGCTCTAGCATAGCTCAGTCAAGCCCAGCCCAGCTCTCTCAGAGCAGCCCCCTGTACGACGACTCCACAATCCTGAGTACGACCCTCCTTTTATGTGGCGGATACGACACATCAGTTTTAATTTTGACCTCGGGAACAGGAGCGTGCCGGACATTAAAACCCTACAACCCACTCGTCAACTACTGCTGGGAGGCGTTGGTAGTGGCGGCGGCAGCGGCAAAGTACGGCACCTCCAGGCAGCCACCCAGGGAGTGGTGGCGTGGGCGGTGCCCGTGGTTGTGGCTCCACTCCCAGGTAAGCTAGGACAAAACCGCTTCCCCCCTCCTCTCATCCCCCGGGGGTCCCCCTGCACCCCCCGCCTTCCTCCTGTCCACATACTTGCGTGCCGTTTCACTAACAGACCCATTGTCGTACAGCCTGCCCTAGATTTACCGAATGCGAGCAACTTCTTCCCCCTCACCCCAGCTACCCATAACCCGCTGGGGACTGCGGACGGGAGGCGGTCAACCAGCAGTCAGCCAGGCAGGCCATGCGGCCACCGAGCGACGAACAAGTTACCGTCAAGAGAGCTTCTCCCGCTTCCCATGCAGGGGAGATGTTGTGGGGGGGAGGTCAACGTGGCCGCATCGTAACAAGTCGTAACGTACCTTCAAGCAAAGGGGACATTCGCCGTCGTACAGTAGTCGTACATCCCAGGAAGGGCGGGGAGGAGTCTCTGTAATAGTTTTTGTTGTTGTTGCTGCTGCTGCTGCTGCTGCTGAGTAGAGGAGGTAGGTTGAGGAAGCAAGGTATTAGGGAGTGATAGGAGATTGAGGTTTGTGCGGCAGCGCCATGATCCAACATTGACTGTTGGCCGCACCTGGAGCTGAATTTGAGCCGCTTGCTCTCGCCACGACGAAGCACGCTGCACGAGGTGCTGGCCGCTGCGTTGCCAGTGGCGACGCCTGCATTTATTTTTCCATCTGTGAGACATAGGTCCCTTCCGTCTTTCAATCTTCTGACAGTCGTTGATGTAGTGGTTAACGTGACAATAAGCGACTTTTGGTCTAAAACTTCAGCAAGGAGCTTCGTTAGTTCATCTTATCTAAAATGATTTTACCAGTCGCGAGGTTGCCAGGGCCATGCGCATGTTGCAATGGATGCGACAAGCAATAAGGAGTCGTGTCCAGGGGGAGTACTTGAACCTTGTAGTTAGCCTCAGGCTAAAAGCGAGTACCTGGAAGGAGGAGAAGAACTGGTAGCCGGTGTGCGGTTGGGAACGCGGTCTTAACGACGACCACACAGTTTACCGTTCGTCGTACGCAAGCAACTTAAAAACAACTTGTGCTCCGGCATTGGGTCGTTAGTACGTATGCATTAAAAAGTTTGCATGGCAGAAGCGCAGCAAATCTTTTTGCAAGGCGTAATCCCGTCTCCGGGTCGTGCTTGAGCCAGTCTTCCTACAGGGTGACCCTGTGACCATCCCCAAAGAAGGTGACCGGCAGTTCGGCCGGCAATAAAATGCCGCGTCTTTGTAGTCAGAGGCGCTCTTGCCAGCGCCAAGGCTGCTACATTGCTTCCTCTCGGCGGACTGTCCCGCATGCGCCATGGAGCTGCTGCAGGGTGAGAGCACACAGGCTTGGCTCGCTCAGTGCAACTTTCTATCCATCCAATGCTGACGATGTATGCGAGGATGGGTTCGGCAGAGCCGTTCAATGTGTTTTCTGGGAGCCTGGCCATGGCCATGCTTGGCCCTTCGGGACGGGCCGGGCTTGCCCATTCACTGCAAGCATCAAAATCACCTCCCCACTACCTTCACAACTCACTTAAACTTTTCAAACAGCTCACCAGTGTGGAGCCGCAGGGCATTCCCATCAAACACCCCTTACCTCAATCCCTATTTGCTACATGCTCCTACCTCCTTACAACCCTCATCCCTAGTCCCTACCTGCCTCATACCCTCTTTTCAAGCCAACCAACTACTAACCAACCACTTACCAACTATTAACCGAAATAATGCCTTGCAGACCCAGGCGCAAGGTCCCCCCTGCTTCCTGAGCTATCCCTGGAGCTGTCTGACCTCCAGCCCCAACCCGGCGAGTGGACCTGCCTTCTCACCCCCCGCCAGCCACATCACGCCACCGGGCTACTCCCGGGCTTCAGCCGTGGCCTCAGCAACACCACACGCAGCAGCTGATGCCGCGGCCACATTCGCTGCAACGGCCATGAAGCCCCCTGACTCCGTGTTATTGCCAACAGCACCAGCAGCCACCACCACTGCCGCTGCTCCAGGTGCCGCGGCACTGCCGTACTCCGTTCACCTCCGTCACGTGCGGCCCTCCTGGCGCACGCTGGGTCCCGGGCGGCCGCTGCGGCCTCCGCCGCCACCCGCCCTCCCCCACGGAGGCCGTGCCGGCTCGGGAGCAGCATCGGCGGAACAGTACGGCATGGAGGAGGACGAGCGGGAAGAAGAGGGCTGCATTGGCAGGTCTCACGGGGGAGGCAACTACAGCTACAGCTGCTGCTGCCGGGGGAATGGCGCCGATGTGCGTGCGAGTGCGGGTGTGGGTGCTGCCCCCGCCCTCGCCAGGGTTAGCGAGGGCGGGGTGGCGGATGGAACTACGTCGGAAGCCAGAGGAGGAGATGGAAGAGGAGGAGGAGGAGGAGGCGGTGTCGTACTGCAGCTGAGCCAGTCCAAGCGGGGCCGGAAGCTCTTGCTGGCAGCAGCAGCGGCAGTAGCAGCTTTAGCAACGCCATTTGGCCCGGCAGGTACGGCAGGTACGGCGGCGGTACCCAGCTTACATCTAGTTGGAGGGAATGGGCACGTGGTTGTACGTGTATGTACATCTATCTATCTATCTATCTATCTATCTATCTCTATCTATCTATCTATCTATCTATCTATCTATCTATCTATCTATCTATCTATCTATCTATCTATAGCACGTGGTTGTAAACATATACATTATGTGTGTCGATCTCTCTCTCTCTCTCTCTCTCTCTCTCTCTCTCTGAGCCCGCGCCACAGCCAAGCTTCGGCACGGGGGGTTGAGCCCCGTGGGGGCTGGTGCCTGCCTGCCTGCCTGCCTGCCTGCCTGCCTGCCTGCCTGCCTGCCTGCCTGCCTGCCTGCCTGCCCCGTCTCGGTGCCCTGACTCGTCTCTCCCCACTCACCGCGCATCTCTCCCCCCGAACCCCCGGTGACCCGTGTGGCCGTGGTCGTGGCTTTGCGGCTTTTTACTTCCCTAAGTTGCCGAGTTGACCCACGGTGGGGCGGCAGAGAGTGCAGCAGCAGCCACGGTGGTAGCGGCGGCTACGGTTAGCAGCGGTACGACAACGGCCGCATTGGACAGCGTTGGCGTCGGCGCCATCGGCGATGTTGACGCCTCCGCGGCGGCGGCGCTGGTGGCGGCGGGTGTGACGGCGGTCGCACCGGCGGCGGGTTACGTGCCAAGCCCCATGGAGCCCGGCTGGGAAGTCTGGCTGGGCTTCGTTGCGGGTGTGGTGCCATTTCTGATTGGCTCTTACGAGTTCGGGAAGCGAATTGTGAGTTAGACGGGGGGGGAGAGAGGGAGCGCGTATGTGTGTGTGTGGGGGGGGAGGACCCGCCACGCAACACGAATACGGAGTAGGGGATAGAAGCGTGTGTACGACGTCACGGACATACTGGCCACTACTACACAGCTCAGCCTGCGAGGCTGGGGAAGGGGAAGGGGGGGAGCGAGTGAAGCTGCTGCCAAGGAAAGAATGAAGGGACAGGGGGCGGGGAGGACGTCGCGAATTAGAGGTGGGGTCGGTTCGAAAGAGGGGCGCAGCTTCCACGTCATTGCACTCTGTATCACTGCCGCCGGGCCCGGTACCCTTAGAGGCCTGAGGTGTCCCGTGCGCCGCCAGGTCCTTGAGGACTGCCCACCTGAGAGGCCGGGTTGGAGGCGGAAGACATAACACTGTGCTTCCAGCTCCCCACTGTTAAGAATTCTCCCCTGACCTCCCCTTCCTCCCCTGACCTCCCCTTCCTCCCCTGACCTCCCCTTCCTCCCCTGACCTCCCCTTCCTCCCCTGACCTCCCCTTCCTCCCCTGACCTCCCCTTCCTCCCCTGACCTCCCCTTCCTCCCCTGACCTCCCCTTCCTCCCCTGACCTCCCCTTCCTCCCCTGACCTCCCCTTCCTCCCCTGACCTCCCCTTCCTCCCCTGACCTCGCCTCCCCCCACCTGCCCTTCAGATCATCCAGCTGCGTTGTGAGCAGTGCGGGGGCCGGGGCCTGGTGGCCTCCTCCGGGCCCGGCCGTGACAGATACCTCAGGAAGTGCCCCCAGTGCGGGGGGTTCTTTCCGTGGGTGGGTGGAGGGGAGGGGGAAGTGGCTGGGGAGGTTGTATTGGGTGGGAGGTAAAGGGGCATGGGAGCCGCCTAGGATTCCACTATTATTGCTCTGTGTATGTGTGTATGCATGTGTGTATATGCACGCCTATGTCTTTTGTGTTTGTGTGTGCCGAAGACCGTTTTCACAGCAAGCAGCCACGACTTCACGGGGATGACTCCCGCCCAGCAACACCCCTCTAAGCCGCCTACCTCTCCCTCCGCCCTCCCCCGCTAGCTCCTTTCACTCCGTCACCGCCACGACTTGTAGCAGTGGTTGCGGTAATGGTAGCGGTAGTGGTAGTGGCAGAGGCAGTGGTACTGCTATGCGACTAGTTTCTCTCTGTCGAGTGATACATTACCGCAACACGATATACTTCCGAAAGCGTATAGCTGTCTGCTCCGGCCGCCCCACGTGTGGGTTTGTGTAACTCCCGGGGGGCCGCTACTTTTCACCTGCACGGTTCCGAGCTTAGTGTCGTTTGCTGTTTCGCGCTACGCCGTCGAGCTAGCTGGATTGGGTGGGTTGGGTTGGTCGGGCCAGGGGTGTGTTAGCTGCCGGGGGGGGGCCTGGGCGGAACACTTGCACCCACAGCAGAGCAACGCATCACGAAAATATCAGCAAAAATCTACTGTTCTACTAACGCCGCCGCCTTACATCAACGTACACTTTCCGATACCCTTCCTTCTTTGCCGCCTTTAGTTTTACACATCACCACTACGGCTTCCGTCTTTTTTCTGCTTCTTCTGCTTTTACAATACTTTCCTTTCATCTAGGTGGCTAGGTAGGTCTTCTGCGTTTTTCGCCTTCAGCCTTCTAGACTTGCCAGCGAGTCAGTCATTCGTCTCGCAACCCAGCTATGGCCACGTCGCCGCCAAGACGATTACGCAGATGCCATCATTGGTCCGTAAATTCTCCTTAGCAGCATTTATAACTTCTCTTGGACGACCCGTGTCTATCTTTGGTGTCTGCTCCATTCGCCAGTGGTTCGTCTTACACCTCCCCTCCCCTCCCCTTCCCCCCTTCCCCCCACCCCCCGGAGCAGATCAGCTGGAAGTTGTTCCTAACGTCCACTGCGGCCCCGGGCAACGGAGGTGAGCACCGCCCGCCGCACCACCTACCGCGAGGTGGTCCCCGTCCGCGGGACTGTGGGGTGCTGCCAGGAGGGGGAAGGAGGGGTGTGTGTGTGGGGAGGTTATAACCCGCGTGGCGGCGGTTATGGTTGGGGTTGGTTGCTGCTCGTATATTGTTTCGCAACTCCCCCGGTGTGATAAGAGTTCACAGAGTCGGTACAGTGGGCGTCTTTGTACATATGTTGTTGGGGCAAGGTGTTGGAGTGACTGGACACCCTACACCCTACACCCATCACCTCCACCCCACCTCGCCACCAGCTCACCCACCACCCCACCCCCACTTCAGGCCCCCTCCAGCAGCCCCGCGGACAGCGAAGCGTCCTCTACTCCATTCCTGAGAAGCCCGACCCGGTCAAGCAGGCGGAGGCGCTTGCCCGTAGCCAGGCAGCCGTAGAAGCTCTACAGGTGCGTATATCGTACCACATGCTTTTATACGACATGTATACGACAGTACAAAGCCGTGTACAGCATGAACGATTACGGTGTGGGTGGGGAGGCCGGAGTGCGGCTGTCATGACATCCTGCCAAAGCTATGACCATGGCCTGCTATTTTCCGTTCGATCAGCTACAGGGAGGTAGCTAGGTGCTACTGCGGGGGGATACCTTCGAGTGTTGGCTGCGAGCGAAAAAGAAAGGAGGTTGAGGGAGTGGGATACCTTCTTTCCCTCTCGCTCACCCCCCTTCTTTCTTTTTCGCTCACAGCTAACGCTAGTGCTGCTCTCCCTGCTAGCCCGGACGAAAGCCCCGAGACCCCCCCCCCTACTAAGCCTAGGCCCTTCGCCTCCGAATCCCCCCTCTACTGCCCCACTTGCACCCTTCCTGCGTCAGTCCCGCATGCTGTTCAGCTCGGAGGGGGTTTCTCTGTGATGACGGAGTGCTGTTATGCGCGGAAATGAGACATTTTTTAATGAGACAAATAAAGGAAAAGGATGTGAAAGTTGTGGGAAAGATGACAGAATTGTAAAGGAAGACTGGCTGGAAAAAGGTCACTGGGGTGGGATCCGTCAGTCTGCCGCCGGTCTGTTGATGGCGGAGTGTGGCTGAGAGCCATCACACGCGTTTGCGCACCCCGCCCGCCCTCTGACTGGCTGCAGGCGGCTGCGCGACCTCGAGAGATGAAAGATGGACACGAAGCGGAGCTGGGCGGGCAACAGCAACAGCAATAGGGGATAAAGAGCGTCAGACAAAAGACGAGGGAGAAGCGGGAGTGCAAGGGTTTATGTACTGCATGGTATGGCCTTCGCTTCACATCGCAGCATATGGGATTTAAGCCATTTACGGCTTAAATCGCTTAAGCCTTAAATGTCTGGTTTTATTGTGGTACGTTAGGTGGTCGCATGGCCACCACCATGCATGGCCAACGTATGGCCAATTCCAGCAGCGGGAAAGCGCGATCCATTTAACCTTGTCATATTTATTGGCAGCCATCTGCAAGGAGCGTTTCCGTTCAGGACCAGTTGATCGCTCCATTATGCACAATGCTTAATATGGCAGGTCTCAGCAGACATGGCCATGGACGGCAGGTGTAAGTTGATCTGCATGTAATATCTGAAGATAATACGGCACACATATAAGTGGCCTATTAAATACATGCCAAGGCGCTCCACCAGCACCCTAAGAGGCATTTTCAGCGAGGCCAGCTGCAGCTACTAAGCATACAGCATCGGGCGGCGTGGGGCGGGTCTTATTACACCACATGCATAAAGCTGCTGCTGCGGCCGTGAAGGCAGTGGGGGCGGCTAATCACGCACAGCGTCCTCCTTCAGACACTGCCATTACTTGCGAGAACATCTATTCCAAGTGCGGCCGCTGGCCGTGGTCCTAGCTCTGCAGCAGCTGTCGAAGACGAAACAGCGAGCAGATGTGATCCCAAGTGATGAACGCGAGTGCTCTGCCCCGGGGATCAAGCCAAATATTTAGATAATTATATCGATGTATATGACTTCACTTCTCCGTAGGAATTTTCATTTCCGAAGTCTGAAGTGGCAGAATGTACGGGCTATGCTGAAACGGGAAGAACGAGCATTATTCCTGACTTCTCCAGCTAACTACCATTAAAATACCTTAAAGGCAGTAATATTTGTGTTTATACATATGGGGAATGTATCTACATTCAACAGGTATCTTTTATTCGTGCCTGCGCTAGGTTAGACAGAGCTACTGCATGTATGTACGCTGCTGCTGCTGCTGCTGCTAGTCAACATGGTCCATCGGGTTCTGTTGCTGACGGCCTTGCTGGCGGGAGTTCTCGGCGGAAGTAAGCCATGCATATCAAGATAGCTTTTTATGTCGCCTCTTCTTCCCACACACGGTGTCTGCTTGTTCAACTGCTCCTTATCGGATTTTGCCTAAAAAAATCGAATAATGTAATGGTTCGGTAGAATTCATGTACCTACCGGCATGGATAATGAGATCATTAGGGTGTATTTCCAGTGCGGATTAAGGCCAGGGATTAAGCCTCTGTCCTCCATCGATACCTGCTCAAACGGCTAAGTTGTTGGCAAACTTACCTCGCCTTTTCAACCTTTGGTTCCCTTATGGAACGAAGCTATGTGGTAAGCTCGTACCAAGGACTTCCGTGCTCTAATCCCTGGCCTTAATCCGCACTGGAAATACACCCTTAGTTAATTCCAACGTAGGATTACACATAGTTATTAAACGGAATCCATTAACGCCAGCAGCAGGAGATTCTGCAACGGCAGGGCATGCACGCATACATGTATAGCAACAGCAGCAGCAGCCAGGGCCAGTAGCTGGAAGGTGCAAGGTGCGGCACACTCATCACTTTCACTTAGTACGGCATATTCGTACCGCCGTACAGGTGAGGTGGCTCAGAGCGTCGATGTGACTGTCCATGTACAAGGTGAGGTGAGGCCGTCGTCGGTGAATGTACGACAGGGAAATAGAGTGGATGGTGCTGTATGGTGATAAAGTCGTAGAAATGACAATGAGTTCAAGTGGCCCAGAGGCCTCACACAGTGTAACACCCCATCAACAACAACACAGTAGAGCGAGCAGGGGTTTTAGGGTTAGCAGCCCCTGCAGAAGTCTGGCTAGCTGACACTGCTAGCTGACGCTGCATGCACTCGCAGGTAGCGTGTCAATTTATCAGGCGCTCCAGAAACCGTCCAGGGAGGGCTCCCTGGTGGCACCTGCTGCTGCTTCTTATCGACCCGGTGAAGCCATCTACGCCCTGACCGATCGCGAGCCCAATAAGTCCGCGTCGGCTTTCGTCCGGGTCAACTTCGGTGACAAGGCCGCTATGTTGTCGGACGGTGATATTGTTCAAACAAGACTTACCTTACGGCTGCCTTCAGGGAAGGCCTCGGAGCTAAACCAGCTGGGTGAGTGATGTTAGTGCTAAAACCTGGATTGAAGTTAGGCAACCGACATGTATACTTATCCACAATACAGCAGCAGGTACGTATACTCAGCCAAGCATGGCAATCAGCTCCCCCCGTCGAAGCGCCATGGGCCGATGTAGGCCAGGCCGTGACCGTGTTCATCACAACTGTATGTTATCATTTTATTTAGGCTTTGGCGAAGAAGCGCATGCATTTGGTGGAGCGACATATTTGCCAGGGGAATACATCACAAGAATTCATAATTATGTCTCTGCTTGCGCTGACTTCTATCTGAAGCATACTTACATACAGTGATTTTTTTTTCATTTAGGGGGGGTCTCAATTTATTTCAACCTAAGTAACAAAGTTGCTAGCGTCGCCGTTATGTATTCCTTAAGAGTGGGGCGCTGGGGGGGGCTACGCCCCCCCCAGACCCCCCCGATAAGTTACAACTCCCCTCATAGACCAAGAGGCACACACTGCGTTGGCGCGTTTTCGTTCATGTGCGCACGCTTCATGCACATGCATAGATAGTTCTGGCACTGTTTGTGAACAAAAAGTAAATCCGACCAAGCAAAGGCCCAAAGCAAGCAACCGCATAGCAAATCAAAGGCCGTCACCTGCCACTGCAAACCACAGCACACTAGGACTCTACCGGTTCATCATGTACCGGCCATCTGTGGGGATTTTCCTTCTGCTTGTCCCGCCATGCACCGTCGCTCATGCCCTTGCGGATGCGCTGTGTCTGAGCCCGCTTGGCACTGCGAGCGCTCGGGTTGGGCGCCTCGCCGCATTCGTTGTTGTCAAGCTGATTGGGTGACAGCTTGCGCTTATGCTGATCACAACCGCCATGGAAGGCAGGGGTAATGGCGCCCGTGTCATCGGTCGCCGCTGGCAGCAACATTGCCGATGCATTACCGACAACAGCACCGCCGTCCCAAACGCCTTTATCAGGAAAAATTTCAGACTTATCTTGCTGTTTTTGTGTTTGTTCGGCGTTCAAGTCGTTGCCTTTTGCGTGTTTGTCTATGGAAGGACCGGTCATACATTCTGCTATGCCGCGTTGACTCACGGGCTTGACCTTCTTACGGCCCCTCATATCTATTTTATGATCTATAATACTAAGTTCTGCACACTACGGAGCAATCTGGCAGCAATGGACGTTTTTGGCTGAAGGAATGAAAATGTACGGATCGGCCTCACTTTGTTCCTTATTTCCAAAGGCCAAAAAGGCCTCTTTATTCCTTAAAAGTAATATATTACTTAAAAAAAACACTGCTTACATACTTACTTACAGAGCTTCTTTACGTACACAGCTTTCGTCTGCACATTCAGAGCTTCTGTACATACATGCAGGAAACTCGTCCCCCCCATCTGGTTACATATGCGGTCATCGCATTGCTCACGCACACGCTCTTTGATAGGTCGGGATTCGGATAACAAGAGCTCGCAGTATCGTCGAATACTGGATGAGGTGCATGAACAAGCCCGAAACATGATGCTAGAGTTCCACAAGACCCGGCGTTCACTACGGGAGGTGCAGAGCCTTTTTGGGCTGCTCAACCACATCGAGATTCCCTCGCTGGTAGAAATTCCTTTCGCAGAAGATGTCATCGTTATTGAAAAGAGCAGTGAGAAAAAGGCAACGGGAAAGGCGCAAGCTACGTGGGTGAGTACCAAACATGATACCGGGTGTGTTTTCAGCTGTGCATGTGTGGCACGATGGCGGTACGATAATGATAATGCGGTAAGGGTACGATATGGGTACGATGCGATTAGCGGTTAGATGGTGAGATGGTGAGATGGTGGTCAAAAATTAGAGATTGGGTTATCCGCTGGACATATATGTTGCTTGCTTGTATCCCCAAACATAAGCACATTCAGGAGAACGAAGTGCGGCTGCAGGTGTGAAAAGGCCACGCACATCATTAAGCAAAATAAGGCTCTCGCACTTCAGGCTTCATCTTCTTGTTTGCGTTCACAAGTCATTTATTTCGTACTATGTTCCAGCAGCTAGCTTACAGCCTCACGAAGTCCAGTTCTAGAAGCAGATTGCGGCGCTTTTACTGGTTTTACTGTCGGATGGCGCATGCTGCTCTTGTCGTTCCGTTGGTCTTCTGCTGGTCAAAACATATAGTCCTTAGACGCAAACTGACGGAGGGCCGATGACATTTGCGTACCGTCTTTGTATGTACCAATAATGGCACATTTCGTCATTTATTCGTAAAATTGTGTGTGCAAATTCGCAGCCGTGTTGCTGGCGCTGACATGCATCCATGCGGGCTTCTCTCTGCCTGCGAATATCATCCTTCGTGATTGAAACGTGACAGGATGTCCAGCAGAAAGATCTAAGCTTGCTGACATTTGTGTTCAGGAGCTCGTCCTGCAACATATTCCCCAGCATTACCGCGGATAAGGTTCAGCACTGGTGGTTTGACAGTGCTGAAGTCAGCCAGGGAGGAACCTTGCAGCACTATGTGGAGGTGAGTCCATATGTTGTAAAGCGGATTAGATCAAGAACACGTTCTCATCAGGGTTCCAACAAAAAACATCACCTGGGCAGAGCTGCAGGATGCATTTATACCCAGGCACGGGTGTATGTGTGTGCGTATGTGTGTGTGTATGCGTATGATTGTGTGTGTCTGTGTGTGTGTCTGTGTGCGTGTCTGTATGTGTATATGTGTCTGTGTGTGTGTCTGTGTGTGTGTCTGTGTGTGTGTGTGTGTCTGTGTGTGCGTGTCTGTGTGTGTGCATGTGTCTGTGTCTGTGTGTGTGTGTGTGTGTCTGTGTCTGTGTGTGTGTCTGTGTCTGTGTCTGTGTCTGTGTCTGTGTCTGTGTCTGTGTCTGTGTCTGTGTCTGTGTCTGTGTCTGTGTCTGTGTCTGTGTCTGTGTCTGTGTCTGTGTCTGTGTCTGTGTCTGTGTCTGTGTCTGTGTCTGTGTCTGTGTCTGTGTCTGTGTCTGTGTCTGTGTCTGTGTCTGTGTCTGTGTCCGTGTGTGTTTCTGTGTCCGTCTCTGTATGTGTTTCTGTGTGTGTCTCGACATGTGAGGCCCCTTAGCTCAGCTGGTTAGAGCGTGGTGCTAATACAATGACACGGCACGCCAAGGTCATCGGTTCGATCCCGATAGGGGCCATTTGTCACTTTGGAGCATACTATCTAAGTATGATGGTGTTATAGTCTTTAAAGGGCGCAGTATGCGCACTATCATTGGCCCGGTATCTCTCGGAAATTCTGGAGGCCAGGCACGTCACGCTGAGGCGCTTCACCATGAAATGCCCTCCCATGTACCCGCATCAATACTAATACAACGTCCATGGCACCCCTGGCTTTTACGGACACACCCGCACTTGTGTGCGGAACTTGTAACTTGTAACTTGTATTACCCTCCAAATCATACATCCTCACACCCCATCCCAGCGAGCAGCTACCACCATGGGTGACGAAACGAAAGCCGCCACCAGTGCTTATTAGTGCTATAGCTTTCGTTGAGTAACCCGACACGGCAACTGGCATACAACGGCAAAGCAAATATTGCTTGAGCGATGCATAATGAGACCGTACTGTGCATGGATGCCGCCGGAGTACAGAGCAGATGATACTCGCTTTTCCACTGAGGCCGATTGCTCCTCTCTGCACATTCATCTACATGTACACGTGTTTCCTTAATTACCGCATTTTACCGCACTTTATCACCCTGCTGCCTACTTGCTTCTGCCGACTGTATCTATTTCGCAGACTTGCTCATACGATCAGCTCACCTTCAAGCCAGAGAACAGCTTGGTATTCGATGTGGACGTCCCCTGCTTTGGGGCCACCGCAAATGGTCCATTTGATTTCAGGAGTGGATACGGCAATAACAGGGATGGGGACAATGAGCTGTTTGCTTTGCCTGCCCTGGCCAAGGCATTCTTGCAGGTAGGATGGAAAGGAAAGGGATTGACAAAGCATACGTGAGGCGATATGATTGGAATACTACCTGCCACAAGCTCCCCCCGGATAGTCCAAACGGATACATGATATCCACGTGCAAGTGTAGCATATTTAGCTTAGTAGCATAGGTTCCACTTGAAGTGCACTTGGGCAAGCCAGGCAAAAGCATGCCGTACTAACAGCGACTGTGCCGCCCTGCTTGTTTACAGTTCCACCATCCCGACGTATTTGCCAAGTGGGCGGATTATCACCACCAAATCTTCATCTTCCCGTTCAACTTCGAGGAAGAGTGGTTCCCTCACTACGGCCTGGTGGGTATTCACGTGCACGCTGGGACTGCAGGGTTTGGCATAGGGGCTTAATTAAGGACGGCTGGCTTGACTCACCTGTTTTGCTTGTGACGCAGCAGCAGCAGCAGCAGCAGCAGCAGCCGCAGCAGCCGCAGCCAAGTCTTAAGTAAGAAGGTGCATGGTCCTGCACAACCATGTACAGAAGATTATAAATTTGCTTCCATGGTGCTGGCTTGTAGTAGCTGGTACACAGTACGGCTATACTAATATGCGCGAAGCTTGACTGGCAGCATCTCGAGAGGCCTTTTCAGCGGCCAGCTACTACATGGCTTAACATCAGGGAGGGCTTTCAGGAGGGCCTCTTGGCATAATGTCCGTCGCACTGTGGAACCGTATTTCGTTTTCGGCATGCATGGTGGTTTCTGTCACCTACGTTGTGTGTATGGCAGTGGCCTCTTGTAAATGTGCCAGATTTAAATGGGGTGTAGGATATTCTGTGCACAGATATGTAAGTGCGCACTCACCCTGGTTCACAGCTTTCTATTTTTGCATCTCCAGAACTGGTTTTGAGCGGATATATGATGTGTGAAACAGGGGGGTGTATCTTTCGCCCGTGGCAGCTACCCTGTGAAACCCTGCCTTCCCCGGTATTTCGGGGCACCCTCATCCAGTCAGACGAGTCCTGTGTCAGGATCTTGCTTGGTTGGGAACAACATGCACGCATTCATTCTATGCTGCACATTTTCATTTCCTCAGAAAGCACTATTACTAGGAGCTTGCAATACAGATAGAAATCATATCGATACCCTCTATGAAGCAGTTCATAATTGCACATTACTCTCACTCATCATGACACATTGGCCTGCTGCCTACCGAATACCTTCCTTGCTATTGTTGTGTGCTTGCATGGGACACATATGCCGCTTGCCGGCGGGTCGATGGTCTATCTGCAGGTGCAACACGGGTGCGTGCGTGGCTCAGTGGCAGACTGCTGGTCGTGGATTAGTCCAGCGATGTACGAAGATGAATTGTTCATTCCAAGTATCTTCCGTAACATCATTCAGTTTCTTCACTGCAGGCCATTGCGAGTTACGTGAGCACTCCGTTTCGTGTAGTAACCGGCATACAAATAGCTACATAGTAACTGGCATATAGATAGATGTTGACCATCGAATGGCATACAGGATGCCGGTTACTACACGGCATCCTATATGCATGCATGCATGCATGTATGTGCTGTTTGTGAACAATCAAGTTATTGCTCCTGAATTTATCACCTCTGCTGCTCGTATACGAGCAAAGCTGCACCTATACGCCTGTCAGCTGAAATTATAAACAAGGTTGCATGCGGCAGTGGCAGTTGCATGCGGCATCGCTTGGCAGCAGCAGTACTACTAGTGCCTGTAGGCCCTCATGCCATGCGTGCTAGTTCCGTGCCGAGAGCTTGGACTCTGCTGTCAACAGTGAGAATTTTTGGGCGGGGCCCCAGCGTGAAGCGCCCAGGAGGCCCCCACCCTAAAGGATTGCTCATGTCAATGTGGCTGTGTGGCCGTGTGTAACAGTCCAAACATAATCTCTCGCGGGGCTACAACAGACATTCAGAAAAATTGACAGTTCGCTTTACCTGCGTACGCGGTTTCTTGACAGAGCCTTTGGCAAAGGGCAGGGACCGCCGAAGGAACCATGGTTCGGAACTGGCGGCTGCCACTTCATGGACGGCTTCTCCGAGGGTGTCCACTATTGTAGCCAGAGGTCCGGTGACGTCGTCGACCTCCATCCACGCGCCGGCAGAAATCGGGATCTTGATAGCAAGAGTAGGATCTTGAAAACTTCAGGAATGAGAGAGGCCCTGGGAGGAACCATCTCGATACCAGACTTGTTATATCTAACCAAACCACAACTGGATGGTGGCGTCGGAAGACACCGATTGGAAGAGTTTCATCCGCTTAAACAGCAGGGGATGCAGCCATCCCATGAATCGTACAGCCAGTTCCGAAATGGCGCGGTCCAGTCCCGGAATGGCGTACCGTTGATCCATGCTTCCAATCGATGACAGGGCTCTGCGAGCCAGGGACCAGCGTCCCAGTCGTAGCCTGTGCTACGACCCCCGCCCATACTTCTGCAACCAGATCGGCCCAATTACGACGCAATGATTTAAGTGGCGCACACGCTAGCCAACAACCACGCGCTGTCATATGATGATCACAAGAAGAGGAGAAGACCATTTTATGCAGGTATGCATGACAAAAATGGATCTAGCAACACATACATTCACGGCCGGGAGAGCAACAGGCATTAGAAATGTGAAGCCACATGTACGAAACGTGGTGAAACGGAAAGCCCGCGCGTCCAATAGATCTCAGAGAAATTCAAGAGCCATTGTATTATTACTTAGGTGGGTATCTCCAGTCTTGCGGCGCCATGATCCAACGGGTCACACTGTTGACGGTGATAGTGACAGCAGCAGCTTATGCTTCATTCCTAACAGGTTGGTTTTCAAAACTTTTACCTTTACAATGATAAATTGTACGCCAATCTGTGTAGCTTAAATCCGGCGGGCCTGCCACGGCCGTGCGTCAATTCGGACGGGTCGGACGGGAGAATGTAAGACTGAAGATCGAAACTATCCTAAACTTTTACAGTAGAAGACAATCAATAATTAAAATTTAATTAGTTTTAAGGTGTGCGGAAACGCCCATTAGTGTCCATCATTATTGCGGCGATGATGAATGCGTCAAGTAGTTTCGTTCATCGCGCGACGGGTAGCTGCTAATTTGGCGCTAAGGTGCATTGCTTGCTTACGTCTTATTCCAACTAAATTTTTTTCAGGTGCAGTGGCTCAGGGTTTGGCGAATAATGTCAACATTACTGTCGTTGTCGAAGGTGGGATCGATATTGTATGCTTGCATGCGTCTACATGCATACATACATGTATTTGCGCCTGTATCAAGTTTGCCCGACGTTCGCATGCTACCTCGCTAAGTTTCAGGACCATAATAATCTGAGACCTCAACAAGTTAGCAAGATATAGAAAAGGAAACACATGTCCGCACAGGAAAGCAGCGCACGCAACACCTCTTATGTGCTTGGGATAGGTGGCGTGCATGCGATGGCAAAAAATAAATAATCGCAATGCAACCACTAAGATGCGCCACCAGGACTAGGACCACGGCCCTGAAATGCATGCTGCTGGCGGCGGTTCGAACCACCTGCGCGAACCAAGCGCTAAGAGCTCCATTCACAGCCGTTAACAATTAAGAATGCTTTACTGCGCCATGCGCTCAAACAAAATTTTCAGTTATTTGTTACTCTACCTGCTGTCAACGGTGTTGCTGTTTCTCTCTTATTTGTAATGCTCGGTAGTCATGGTCGTTGTCGTGGAATGTCGGGTGCTTCGTTCGACCTCACCTGATACCGGTGGTACTCGTGAAACCAGGCATGCATGCGTGCGTGCATGTAACTAGGGACGTAGTAGGGTCGCCTGTAAGAAGAGAATTGATCGTGCCCTGGTCGAAGAATAGATAGGGACCGTCCATTTTATTACACCTACAAGTGTGCGACCTATAGGCAATCAAATATTGTTAAGACGGTGGCCGGGCTATATTATACACTTATGTGTGTATACCTCTGCGACACTGCTGCATGCTGTCGCAGGCACCGTTCTGGTGTACGTCTCCCATCGAAATCCAAGCAAGTCCAGCAGTACAAAGCCGCTGGACCCACCAGACATTATTTACATGCTGGCGGATGAACAGCAACCCGGCAAAGGCCCATCTAACTCAATTCGCGTGGATTTTGGCCAGAAATCACCGCTGCTGAAGACAGGTCACGTCGTGCAAGCCCCTATTTCTATACAAGTAACGTCCGAGAAAGCGGCAGCGCTCGGTCTACTGGGTAAGACGTTTTCCGCTCAGGTGGAGAGCATGAAAAGCACCTTATCAGGAGGAGAGGTGCCAGGTGCACAATCGTATGGTGGCAATTGCTGAGGTTGCGCCTTATACATCTGTTCACTCGTTAGCCTTGTGTATATCCCACTGATGCCTACAGCATCCCATGCATGTTGTCCTCGCTTTGCTCCCCTCCGACTTCTGGCTTGCCCTTTTTCCTGCCTTGTTCAACGCCGCTGCCATGGCCGTCGTTAACTATCGCCATTCAGACCCAGAAGGGGGACCTCGCCGCCGATTGCTGGACGACGAACATGAACGGGCTCGGAGGATGGTGCTGGACTTTCAGAACACCAGGCGATCGCTTCAAGAGTTCGGGAGTCTGCTGACACTTTTAAACACCCTGGGCATCACATCACTGGAGGGAACGCTAACGTCGGGTGATCCAATCGTCATCAGCAAGACGGTCGATAAGGTCTGTATGCATGTAGATTGACACGGTTTTCAACCATTCCTACACAAGCGAGATGGCGTGGGCGCTGGTAGGCAGCAGCGGCGGCGCTCTAGCAAGGCCTCACACACGCAACGATGCATCCATTACTATTCCATTTCTTGCCGCCTGATTTATGGAAGCGACAAGCTTCCGTTCGGCATGAGTCAGTTACCCGCATTTACAGCTAGCTGCACTACTCTATCCACTTGTTACATCGGCTGTACTGTCGGCTGGGCTTCTTATACTGCTGATGACGGCGCGAGGAGACGTTTTACATGCATGACTAGCTGAACCCCGCCCGTTGTCACGGCATCGTTGGAGCTCTTATAAGCTTGCATTGCTTTCAGCCGACCTAACGTAAGCGCACTGTCGTATCACGACGAACAGAAACGTACCGATTGGTGGAGGTCAGATCCCGTGATACACACCCCCAAGATACGACACCCGCAGACCTCATCATTCACGCCTATCTTTCGCGACACAGGGCAAGCGACGTGCAATGCTCATGCTTTCATTTCAGCAACAAATAGCGAACGTGGCTTCGTTGTTATATTGTGCTCAAGCACAGTTTGTTGCTAGCTATCGGCTCGTATCGACTCGACGAGTCTACGCATTACCGCGGAACAGATATACAGCAGCACGGCATACGCATCCTGATCCCATCGCCTGTACAAAATTTGAATAGATTGTTTGCCAGCGTGTGTGCTTCCGCCCCCTTCATACTGCCTATGTATCCGCTGCTGCTTCTCCCATCGATGTATGAACCTGGGTAGTAAGCAAGGTTTGGGAGATGTAAGGTGCGGGGTATAGTGTGGAAAACAAAGGGGAGCAACTTAGGATTTCCAGTTCACTTACCCTAGCCCCGTTGGTTGTAGGACAGCAGTAGGAGTTGGGCAGTCATTTTGACGGGCGCATTTTGACATCCCGCTTATTTTGGGACGCCCCATCTATCCATCCGTCCACCCCTAGATATCACACCAGCCGGGCCCCGATTGCACAAACCGCAGGATCTGTTCATCACCAACGGGGGACAACAGCACATTAACTCCCTCACGTTTGTATTCAAAAGTTCTTCGTGCGGCGTCAACCCGGCTCTCAATGCTGCAAGGATACGGTCCTGGTGGTTTGACAACGGCAACAATGCCCCCATAGTTGGTACCTTGCAGCGGTACTACAACGTAAGTTGCCCGGGTGCCTTCGGCGGTTAGGATGTAATCTACCATCACGCCATCAGTAGTCGAAAAGGTGGAAACATCATGCTTGGGCAGAACAGGGCGGAACAGGGCGGAACAGGGCGGAACAGGGCGGAGGTTCGGGGAGGAATATTCCTTGCTTGTTAATTCCCAGCATCCCGGCATCTAGTAGGAATCAGCTCCGTATACCATATATGTTACAGCCCTTGGACGATATAGGGTACGAGTGGTGAGCTAGGTCCCAGCAGTGTTGACACGCGCGCGCACGCACTTCGTAGGCATGAAATGGTTCGCAGGCATGACAAGTTGGGTGCAGGGTTCGACACTGACCTTCCCGAAACTTGCGGGATCCCCCGAACCTCCCAAATTTTCCTTACGGAGGGGCCCCCGTACCAGGCTCCTGTACTGGCCGAAAACCTTACGGGGGCCCCCGTAACCCCGCAAAACCTTTACGGGGACACTGTCCTTGGCTAAAACGCTGTGGAAAGTGACACTTTGCATTTTTTTTGCCCTGTAAATCGTTATTTATGTTATTTTCCCGTGAACCATTACACACGGGGACACGGCACACTCAGCGAAAGCCAAGCGCCTTGGCCGCCGCGGCCGCCCATCCCTTCTGCTACTCTTTCGCGTCCTCCTCCTCCTCATCAAAATCCTCATCCACGGACGACTCATCGGTATCTCGTTCTACGTCGGTCTCGTAGTCACTGTCACTAAAAGCCTCATCGTCACTAGCGGGATATGTTGCTTGTACCAGTACTTCAATCTCTGGGTCCGTCGCAACCTCCTCGTTATCATCCTCTCCGTATGGATTCAAATTAATTTTGCTAACGTCAGAAAACAACTGCGAATAATGCCTGTATAACCCTTACGCGAGTAGATCCCAGCAGCCTGATCAATCAGTGGCTTCGCCCCGGTATCAGCAGCAGGTCNCAACATGCCCACACGAAGTAGCGAATCAACCGTTTCCAGCTTTAGCCGGTTCGTCAGGCGATTCTTAATAATACGATGCCGGCTAAATCCGCGCTCAACACATGCCGTCTGTGTTGGCAGGATTGTAGCGACTGCATCAGCAAAGCGCTCATCCAGATACGACAGAACTAGTGTTACGAAAGTGCTGGCCATGTCACGTAGCTGCTTCTTGTTCACCTTCCCCTTCAACTTTACGGCAATCCCACCCACAGTCCAGACCAAAGACTTTCTCACTGCAGAACTGAAAACCGAGAATGCCGAGCCATGCAAAGGCTCCGCACCTCTGTTGCTCAGCTCCTGCTTCGTGGCTTCAACCCTATCGAAGATGTGATGAGCCTTCAGCCCATCAGACTGGAAAGCCTTGCTAAGCTCCTCACACGGCCCTAGCAAATCACAGAGGACAAAAAGACGCGCCTCTTGGAGCGCGGTGGATGGTCACCTCCTGACGACTCATTGTCTGCCATCGCTGGATGTTATAGACTGGAAGCTATAAAAGTATTATGAAAAGTGTAGTTAAATATTGCAATATGAATTATGCCTGCCAAGTGTGTGGCTTTATCCTTTATATGGTCCGTCCTCTCCCCTACAGGCCCCGTAAGGCCTCTTATTGTCTGCCATCGCTGGATGTTACAGACCAGAAGCTATAAAAGTATTATGAAAAGTGTAGTTACATATTGCAATATGAATTATGCCTGCCAAGTGTGGGGCCTTATCCTTTATATGGTCCGTCCTCTCCCCTACAGGGCCCCGTAAGGCATCTTATAAATCCTTAAATTCCTTACGGGAGTCTGAAAGGGAACCAGGCCACACCTAACAACTGGGAAGCGTAAGCCGGCTTTACTTGCCGAAAAACTTGCGTAGGCACAGATGATCGGTTTTCAAACTCAACTTAGACTTACAATGTTCATAATTTGGTCCGCTTAAATAGTCATATTAGCGCGCCATAACCTCACACGTTGTACACGCAAGTTCAAGCTCCACTAGCTCCGAAGATACGACATGGTTTCAGAAGCGCGCGTTAACGAACTGCAAAACATTACACACTCCCCTCCTTAAAAACAAGCACCGTCCTCGGTGCGAAAACGTCATTAAGCGGCCATAGTCGTGCGCCTCTCCGATTCCCTGAACGAAATCGGTACCAGGCTAACGAGGGGAAGGCAAAAGGGAACCGGAGTCAAGGCAAAACCTTCCCCGCACTGGATACCGGCCTAAAAGTGGCGCACGACTCCTACCATTTCCGGCTTAGGTAACCGGAGACACACATAAGCTGCTATGACAGCAAATATAATCTGGCTATACGAAATCCAAATAACCATACACACCAAACACACAATTACCCATCTGACGGCAGACAGACTAGTAGAACACAACCAGCAGGAACAGGACGAAGACTTAAGCAGGCATACTGAACACACCTGAAGACACACACACACACACATATCCAGCTGCAGCTCTATTCCGCTAGAAACTGTACAATCCTCGGGGCATGCTCCGGGAACTTGGATCTGAACCACGCATAGCGATCTGATAGCCTGAACGCGGTCCAGCTTGGGCTCCTCAGGAAGGCACGTAGCGCTGGCAGGTTGTGCACGTCGTCGTATGGTTCCCATGAGGGGTCGCGCTTACTACTTGTGGACCACTGCACGAGGAACATGACGGACGGGCGTGCGCGCTTGTTGTACCCTAGGCGAACAGCTGTAACCACGGTATCTGCACTGTCATACGGGGATTCAAGTGCGGTAGGGGCTGCAGGTGGAGGTGGTGGGCGGCCGGGAAAGAGCGCTGGATCGTTGTCGGTCCAGGGAAGAAGGCGGCTGATGTGGAATACTGGATGCAAGCGGCCGAGGGAGGCTGGAAGGTGGAGGCGGTATGCAACTGGAGAAATGACGGAGGAGATGAGGAAGGGGCCGAGGTAGCGAGGGCGGAGTTTTGGGGAGGGGTAGGTAGGTAGGGTGAGGTGCTCTGTGGACAGTCGGACGCGATCGCCAACTTTGAAGGTGATGGAGCGACGATGCTGGTTAGCTGCGGCAGTGTAGCGGGTTTTGGCGGCTTGGATTTCGCGGTTGATGGTGGCATGGATGTCCTTCATACGCTGCTGTAGCTCGGTGGCCTGCGGGTGTGAGGAAGGTGGAGCGGCTTGGGGGCCGTGGAGGGAGATGGGAGTGCGCGGGTGGTAGCCGTGATTGGCGTAAAATGGTGTCATGCCGGTGCTTGCGTGGGTGGCGTTGTTGTATGCTGCTTCTGCAATCGGAAGGTATGATGCCCAGTTGTCCTGCATAGGTTGGATGTAAGCGCGGAGGATCTGCTCAATAGTGCGATGTGTTCTCTCGGTTTGACCGTCGGTTTGTGGGTGGTAGGCGGAGGAGATGTTAAGGGACGTGCCAAGGTGCTCCCAGAAGGTGCGCCAGACGTCAGACATGAAGCGGGAATCTCGGTCTGAGACGAGGGTTGTCGGAAGACCGTGTAGACGGTAGACGTGGGTGAGAAAGAGTAGGGCGGTGTCGTGGGCAGTGGTGGTCTTGTTGGTGAGTGCGAAGTGGGCTTGCTTGGTGAACATATCGACGAAGGTGAGGATTGCGGTGTAGGTGCGACCGTCCAAACCTTTAGAGGGCGGCAGGTCAGTGATGAAGTCCAGAGACACGTGTGTCCATGGTTGGGTGGGTGTAGGCAGCGGGTGGAGGAGGCCAGGTGGAGGCTGGGTGGATGGCTTGGTGCGTTGACAAATGGGGCAGGACTTGACGTAGGCTTTGACGGTGCGGGCCATGTGAGGCCACCAGTAGCGGGTGGATATCGCCGCGAGGGTGCGACGGAAGCCGGGGTGACCAGAGTAAGTAGCATCGTGGAACTCGTGAAGTAGGCGTCGGCGTAAGGATGGGATGTTAGGGACGGCGATGCGGTTGGCGAAATAGAAAAAACCGTCTGGGGAGTGTTGGAGGTACGGTTTGGTGGTGGTTGGATCGGAGTACATGGGGTCGGCGGCGTAACCGAAACGGATGTCGTCAGCAAGGCTGGGGTCTGGTACGACGTGAGCTGCGATGGTAGAACAAGCGTGATGGAGGGCATGGTTGGCAGCGACGTCGACGGGTGGGGAAGTGGAGGGCCAAAGTGGGGGAGGCGATGGAGTTGCAATGGAGGTTAGTGTTTCTGCTGATGCAGTGGGTAGTGAGGGGCTGGGGTCGGAGGGCTCTGGGTTGGGGGCTGGACTGACGGGAAAGCGGGAGAGGGCGTCGGCCAGGTTTTGCGGGCCGGGGCGATAGGTGATTGTGATGTAGCCTTGGAATGGGGCGAGGAGCTGAGCCCAACGGGCTTGACGACGAGATAGGTCCTTCTGTGTGAAGAAGCGTTGCAGGGTGTCGTGGTCTGTGCAGAGCGTGAAGGGGCAGCCTTCGAGATAGCACCGAAACTTACGCACTGCGTGTACGACAGCAAGCAACTCCAGCTCGTGGATGGGGTAGTTGGCTTCATGACGGCTGAGCTTGCGGGACTCGAACGCCACGGGATGTAGGGCGCCGTTGCGTTCTTGGAGGAGCACAGCGCCAATGCCGAGGATGGAGGCGTCGGTATAAAGGGTGAAGGTGGCTGAGGGGCCCGTTTGTGGGATGATGAGGGCGGGGGCGGAGGTGAGTGCTTTACGAAGGGCATGGAAGGCGGCGACGGCGTCGGGCGGTAAAGTCTTAGGAAAGGGCTGGGTGGTTTTGGTAAGCGCGGTGAGAGGGTGGGCGATGCGGGCGTAGTCCTTGATGAAACGGCGGTAGAAGCCTGTGAAACCCAAGAAGGCTCGGACGTCGGTGATGGTGGAGGGAATGGGGAAATGGTTGAGAGCTGCGAGTTTGTCGGGATCTGTGGTGATGCCGTCGCGGGAAATGATGAAGCCGCAGAATTTCGTTGACGGCTGGGCGAAGGAACATTTTGTGCGGCGGACGTGGAGGTGGTGGTTCTGCAAGGTGCGGAGGACAGCTTCCACGTCGCGGCAATGGTCTTCGAAGGTGCGTGAGTAAATGAGGACGTCGTCGAGGTACACGACCGCACATTTGTTGCGGAAGGGGCGGAGGACGTCGTTCATGAGGGACATAAATGTAGCCGGAGCGCCTGTAAGGCCGAAGGGGAGGACTAGCCATTCGTACAGCCCATACTTACATCGGAAAGCTGTTTTATGCACGTCGGGTTCGTGCACACGAACTTGGTGGTAGCCCGACCAGAGATCTAGCTTGGTGAAGTAGGCTGCGCCGTACAGCTGGTCTAGGAGCTCGTCCACACGTGGCAACGGGTACGCGTTTTTGACGGTGAGCTGGTTGATTGCACGAAAGTCGACACAGAGGCGTAGTCCGTTGCCGCCGGGTTTGCGGGCGAACAGGATTGGAGCGCCAAAAGGTGATGTGGACGGGCGAATCCAGCCACGGTCGAGGTAGTCCTTGAGCTGTCGTTCCAGCTCTTGGAGTTCCGCCGGTGACATTCGGTACTCACGTTGCTTCGGCGGTTGGGCGTCGGGGTCGAGGGGAATGCGGTGGTCACAAGGGCGGGATGGTGGAAGACCCGTGGGTTCGGAGAAGACAGCGGAATATCGCTCGAGGATGGATTGGAGAGGAGGCGGTGCCGGCGGTATGGGGACGTTGGGCTGGGGTGGGGCTTCGGGATCAATTTCTGGGTCGTCAAGGGGACGAAGGATGCCGAGGTAGACTGGTGGGGGTTGAACGAAGGGGCCACGTTTTCGGGGATTGGAGGCGGTGGGTGGTGGTGGGCGGGCACTGGCTTGGCGAATGCATTTCTGCATGCGGGCGGCGGAGACGAATTCGATGGCGAACGTGGAGGGAAGGTAGGGAGAGCCAGAAAGGGTTGTGCTGCCTATCGTGACGGTGTTGTTCTGCCAGTCGATGGTGGGGTTGTGCTGGGTTAACCAGGGCTTACCAAGGATGGCGTCGTACCCGTCCAGGTCTAAGGCGTAGAAGGTGGTACGCTCGTGGTGGGATTGGATGGTGAGATGGACGTTGGTAAGGGCGGCGGAAGAGAGGGCGAGATGTCCGTTGGCGAGGCGGACTCGGAAGGCTTGAGACGGTGGAAGATTGGCGGGACGGAGGTGGGAGCGGTTAATGAAATCGTTGGCTATAAAGTTGCGTGAGGCGCCGGAGTCAAGGAGGATTCGGGCGGGGCGTCCAGCAATGTCGGCGTTGAAGACGATGAGTGTGGAGGAGAGGTCGGCGGCAGTCAGGCGGCCGAGAACAGGGGGTATAGGGACCCGTGAGGTGGGTGTGTTTTCGTCGACAGGTGGTAATGGAGGTTGGTGAAGACGGTTGTGCTGCTTAAGTGCTGGACGAGGGAGGGGATGGGGGCGGGGAGGGGCAGGGGGAGTGGTACTGGCGGGAGTGGACGGAGAGACGAGGGGAGAAGCGAAGGAGACGCGCGGAGGTGGGGTGGATGTAAGGGTGGTTATTTGCGGGGTAGGGGGGGGTGACGGTGTAACGGTCGTAGAGGGTTGTGGGGCTGGTGGCGAGGGAGAGAAGCGGGCGATGAGACGGGCGACGTTGGAACGGGACGGCGGAGGCTGTTCCGCGGTTGGGTGTGTGCGTGGGTTCGGAGTGGAGAAACGGTGGGTAAGTTGTCGGACATGGGAGGTGGTGGTAAGTGGAGACGGCGAAGCAGTTGAAGACGGAGGTGACGCAATAGGAGAGGGCAAAGTAGTAGTAGACGGAGACGACGAAATAAGAGAGGACGAAGACGACGATGAAGGTGTAGACGGAGGCGACGAAATAGGCGAGGACGAGGACGACGAAGTAGTTGTAGACGGAGGTGACGAAACAAGAGGCGACGAAGGTGACGAGATGAGAGGCGACGGAGACGACGAGATAAGAGGCGACGAAGGTGACGAGATAAGAGGCGACGGAGACGACGAGATAAGAGGCGACGAAGACGACGAAGTAGTTGACGGGGACGACGAAGTAGGTAGGGAGGCGGTGGACGAAGTGGCGAGAGTGAAGGGAGTGTGGGACGGTGGATCGTAGAGGACGATGAGCGGCCAGGGGGGAGGGTCCTGGCTCGTTGTATATATATATATATGTATATACATATAGGGTATATATATATATATACATATATATACATATATACATATATATATACATATATATACATATATACATATATATATATACATATAGGGTATATATATATATATACATATATATACATATATATACATATAGGGTATATATACATATATATATATACATATACATATACATATACATATACATATACATATACATATACATATACATATATATACATATATATGTATATATATACATATATACATATACATATATATACATATACATATACATATACATATACATATACATATACATATACATATACATATACATATACATATACATATACATATACATATACATATACATATACATATACATATACATATACATATACATATACATATACATATACATATATATATACATATATATAGCGATGTTGACATATCTTCGTCACACGCTGCCTACAAGAACAAGTTCGTTGTGCTGTTTGAGCCGTTCGTAATCATACAGTTTGCCTCCTTTAAGCAGCCTCTCGCACAATCGTGTCCGGTCGTACTGTGCCGAATAAACGGGCCGTACAAGACGCCCAAAGCCAGGAGCGAATTTTAACGCGCGGATGCGCGCGTGCGATTCTCAAAATGCGCGTGTACAAGTGTATGTCATTTTTTTGGCGAAAGGCCGCGGTGTGCCAGCGCGTTGCGGAGGAGGGCATGTTGGCCACACTCGCACGCGGTATGCAGGCCGGAAATTTGGGTGGCTGCTTTGCCGTAACTGAAAGCACCGAAAGCAAAGAACGTAGCTTGCAATATACTACAACACTCACAATATACTGCTGCACTCTTCTCTCCAATCCGGCCACATTCTGTTTCACCGACGTACTTCGGCACCTTCCATAACTATACATACTTTGCGAACGCGGGCAGCTGCTTCACCAGGACCCCAGTGTTTGCGATCCATGTAATACTTTTTGTCATCAATCTGTACGACAACTAGCTTGGAAACGTGTTTGGCATACGTGTCATCGTCCATGTCCTTGTGAAACACAATTGTGCGATAGGCGCTATTCAGGGCAGATTTTTGGGCAAGTCAAAGCACGATGTGGAATCGTCGTAGAGTCTGCAGTCGACAGACGCCGCCTTCATGACAGAAAGGACCTGGTCAGTGAGTGTTTTTTCCTTCAGGGCGATGGAGTGAACGAATTGGTCCGATGTCAGGCCCTTGTCGTCTCTCATGATAACTCGGTCATGGCGCTGTGTGTCTGTGAGGTTCACCAGGTACAAATACACGTCCACGTGTCTTTCTTCAGGCGGCAGCGCCACGTGCGACTTTGCACGCACGGCACGCCCTATGACCTGATCAAGACGGTTGTGGTTCCAAAAACTCTCCAGCATGTGCACTTGCCGCACGTTCTTCAAAGAGATGCCTTCCGCACCCGACGCTGTAATGATCATGACGCGCGCCAAATCTCCGTATAGGTTATTCATGACGCTCTCATTCCGGCGCGGCAAGCTCTCGCGTGTCGCACGGGGCACTTTGTTCAGTTCACTATTGAAAATGTTAATCAAGAGTCGGTTGTACTCCGAGTCCTCCTCGTGCGCAGGACCATGTACTGGGGCTGATAGTCGACTAATTGAGATTCATTTTGAGATTCATTATGAGATTCATTTTGAGATTCATTCAAAGGAAAGTCCCTGTCGTCGTACACCCACGGCGATGCGTTGGCCTTTTGGTTCCGGACGAGTCGGAACTCTCGCCACCCGTTCGCATCCAGCACCGCGCTTAGCAGAGCAACGCCTTCGGCACGACGGATGCGCGTGTACACCAATGACAGCGCCGGGCGCTCTCTCAAGTTTTGGAGCAGCGCAAGAAACTTGGGTGAATGCTTGACGAGCGTCCCATCAAAACGCAGTACCAGAGATCTTGAGGCGACGGATTGGAACATCTCGCCTCTGTTAGTTCTGTTTGTTCCTTAGTGTGTGTAAGGCAACGCTTCCCGTTTGCCTGTTTCTAAGGCTTTGAGTATCGTTCTTGAGTATCGTTTGCGAGCTGGGTGTATGTTTGGTTCCTTCGTAAGTTGGCGTGCCATGGCTCTTTGCGATGTTGTAGTAGCGGTGGGATTGCAGATCCTTATGCTCCAGAGATGTCCAGCTAACCAGAGATTGGTTCTGGAGCTGGAGTTTTGTAAGGTCTGCGGTGTTGCGTTAACGGCTAGTTAACGGAGGAATCAATAGACCTGTCGATGACCAGGCACAGAACGGGCCTCCAGCAATCCTCCATTTTTGTCACGATCCAGTCTTGCGGCACAACAGCATTTGTGTCGCCAGCGGAGAGGCGGCCATCGATGACAATTTCGGGTTGTCGGGAGCAGTCTGCATGGTTGATCCTCGTTCTTCGATTTGAACGGTTTTTTGATTTCGTGCCCTCGCTGGTCCGGGAGCAAGCAACGCTGCGGCCGGCGCTCGCGTTTGCCGTGCGGGTCGGCGTCTTGGCAATTGAGGATGTGGCGTGGGAACATGTCGCATGGATAGTTCAACACTCTCCTTTATATGGCACCCTAGATTGGGGGGGCGCCAAACGGAAACACACCGCACACAGAGTCGCGCCATGGTCTATCGGTGCCATCGCATTGAAAGGCCGCCACCTTAAAGGTAAGGCAACAATGCGCCTTTGTGTGTGACATGATGCCGATGTGGGACACTGTAACAAGCCAACGCCTAAATCTATGGACTCGCCGGGGCGCTTCAGGGAGCTGGCTTAAGATACACGACGCGTATTTAAAGTATATAGATCCAAAGGCATTTCTGACCAAAGAAGACAGTGTCCCAAAAGATAATCACCCCTCGGTCAAGGCTTCCACACGCGCCAAGGTTCAGCGAGCTATATGATTGTGGCAAATAATCCCTAAATACCTGACACTGCTTAATCAATTTTACACGACGCGTGCACGGAGCACGGTAACCTGAGTGCTTCGTACTGGCCAGGTTTGCATACATCTTGCAAAAGTTTATGAGTAATGGCTGGCTACACCAACTGCAGAAACCCTCTTGACCAATGCCTGAACAATGTGAGCTACACATTTCCTCACTGGACACTGCATTCTTCTAAAATTGCCGTACATCCTGCAAACTCACGTCCACGGGCTCGAGTCTGGTAACGTTTGCACAGCTGCGCAAATTGGGTTACTACTTGATAAGTTGTCCTAAGGAGAGAAGCTGATGTTTGCGGCCTAACAAGACTTGACTTTCACAAATCCTCCGTAAAGTTATTGACTTTTGTTTGGAAAGCCATCCTATGGGTTAGCCTTCAAGTGCTTGGGAGCCACGGCCCAGCAGACGAGGAGCCACAGCACAGCAGGGCCGCTGGCAAAATGGCTCGCGAAAGCAAGGCGCCTGTTAAGCTCAGCAGCGTAGTGGATGCTTCACGGGTGAGCCCGCGAGGGGGCCGCGATGGGTGTTAAAGTCAACACTATTCGAACATGCCAATTGGGCCGCCTGTGCGTGCCGGAGTGGGGTTCCGGCAGTCTGCAGCGAATTCTCCTTAACATTCTTGCTAGTGGCCATAAAGACAGCCCCATGTTGTACGATGCTTTCTTTCATAGGACGCTAGGGTCTTCGCGGGCACGCTCTTTTCTGAGGAGTCGGGAAGGCGAAAGCAAGTTTATGAGGATGAAACTGAACGCTTTGACCTTAGCATATACCTCTTATTAGGATGAATGTATAGATGGTCGTGTCAGAAGCCTAGGAAGGCCTTCGTATTGGCCTGGCTGGGCTACCCATCGTCGCACCTTCAAATCCTAAGCCTGTTGCAAATAATAACCCCAGGCCGTTGCACGATTCACTTCCACCCGTACGTACAACAGCTGAGGACTCCACCATAGCCCCTCCGTCCGGCAACGACCTCCCCTCCCGCCTCCCTCGGCCTCCGCCCCATCTCGTGCTTGCTCCTGGGCCCACATATCCCGGTCTAACATATACAATTCTTCCCACACTCCTAGCTCTGCCGCACGAACCTGTTTCCAGAATCCAACAGCCACTATCCACCCACTTCACACCTAGAGCTGTTTCCTGTCCGGTTCCTGTCTGGTTTCCCGTCCTCCAAACCCGATCACCTTAATGCAACCCCTCCTCTGGACAGTATGTGAGCGCATCGACGGCCGCCACCCTCACGGTGGGCATCCGCGTGCGGCCTCTCGTGCGGGCGGAGATCGCAAGGGGCGGCCGGCGGGACATCATCCGCGTGCTGGACTCACGCGTGGTGGTGGTGCTGGACCCCGATGAAAACAAGGTGGGTAGGATTAAGAGGCACTGATCGTGTCCGGCGCCATGGGAGAGGTGCCATTGCCGTCTCCGGCTGTCACAAAGGGCTGCAGCACAGCGCCTATATCCCTACGCCGCCAGCTGCCATACGCAAAACCACCCCTTCTCAGTTCGCGCAGTACCTGGGACAGCGGCGATGCAGCATTGGCAATGGTGCCATTTGGGGGAGGCCGTTCTTGCGTATGGCAGCTGACGGGGTAGCGGAGGGAGGGGGGGCCAGGGTACAGGCGCTGAGGCACACGGCAATGGAGCTGGAGGAGAAATGCGGAGCAAACAGCCAAAGCACATACATGTCGCCCTGGTTGTGAGGTGGCGGTGCTGGTGAAAAGAGGGGATCTGCGGGTGTGTTGGCTGTTGGGTGAGCCCCCGTGTGCCGCATGGGTGGAGCCTGATGGGTGGGGCCAAGCGGTGGGGGAGATGGTGGTCATCAGGGTACGTGACGGCGTGGGTAAGGTAAGGGGGCGCTACCCCGGCCTGCACTGGGCAGGTGCTGGGGTTGCGGCTGAGGGCCCAGGCGCAGCTATGGCGAGCATGTGTCTACGCACGGGTTTCAGCTGGCCCTGCTGCAGTGGTGTCGGAGGTAACAGCTAGGTCTTGTCAGCTTAAGGAGGCGAGCGGGACAGTGCGTCGAGCTGGAGATGCTGTGTGTGCCTGGCCTTATGAGGCTCCAGGCAAGGCGAGTGCGGAAAGCGTGTCGGAGCAGTGGGTGATTGGGGATCTACTTGGCATCGGTCGGCATTTTCCCCGCGGCATGACTTGGGCCGACCCGACGGACTGGATTCCCGAGTGGGACTTAGATACGGTGCCGGGTCATGCCGGACGCAATGCCGGCCAGTGTTGACTTTTGTGGGATGGCCTCGTTGTCGCAACGGGCTGGGGGCTGGGGTAACGGGAATATTGGGCAACGGTATACCGCATGTGGCCCGGCTCCCATCCTATGGATCCTCTGTAGGGTCTGTAGAGCTCTTAAAGAGGTGTTCATGTACCACACTTAGGTTTGGAGAAGTGCGGCGTTAACCCGCTGCTGTCCAAGCAAGCAGGAGTGGAGGAAGTGCAGCACTACGAGCTGTAGTGTTACAGGGTCAGGTTTCATAGGGTTGGCAGTGTAGGCTAGGGGCAAGGAGGAGGGTAAAGCGGTGGCGCGTGCTTTGTGGCGCACTGTTGGCGAAAGGGAAGCAGCTGCTAGCTTGGGTGTGTGTAAAAGAGCGAGCCAAGGAGCTAGGTCTCGCCTTGTAAGTCGTGACGGCTGGACATCTGCCTTGGGCAGCTGGATGGTAACGGATGGCAGGAGCGGGGTTCAGCACCGGGAGGTGGTGGTGGTGGTAATGGCGGTGGCCGCGAATGGACAAGAGGTAGTTTATTTTGGCAGGAGCTTCGTGACAGGGTGTGAGTGAGTTGCATATCTTGTAGGAAATGGCAACACCGCACCGTGGGGCCCGTGGGGCAGCACAAGGCCGTACTTTCTGTATGTCCGCGCCATCACCACACCATCACCACACGTGGGATGTTCGGCCCCTGTCAGGCAACGTCGTAGTTTGGTCATTCGCATATGGTCTTGCCGCAAGCCAAGGGCGCTTACGTTCTCACCTGAACCCCCACCCCAACCTAATCTCTATTCGCCATTCGGCCGGCTGGCTGCCCTTCCCTTCCCTCAGTTGTTGGTTTTTTGGACTTTGCATGTAAGTCCCCCCTCTCACCCCCTTCTGCCCCTCTTAGGATTATTTGGACCAGGTCCAGAACCGGACCAAGGAGAAGCGGTACACATTTGACATCGCCTTTGGAACCTCGGTGAGTGCGGGGGAGGAACGGGCCGTGGTGGGGAACGAGCGGGCCAAGTGTAGCGCACAAACTACAGCGGCTGAGCTTGGCTCAAATCCCAAATCCCGGCCCGGGCCTTGGCTAAGCTCTTGGTAACAGTCGAGGGGTCCTTAGGGACGGGGGTTGGGGCGATAGATGCGAGAAAGCAGGCGGCCGCACCGGGTAGAGCAGGCAGGCACCCGCTGGGGCCCTGGCCGCCTGGGGAACCCCTGCGACCGTGCGAGTTATTGGATCGTTGGAAAGGTGAACGTGGTGGTGAGGAGGGAAGAAAAGTTGTGCAACATGATATCGCGCGGGACTTCGAGGAGTCCGGCCGAGCACACGGCCCTTCTTGCGCGTGCGAAAACAAGTTGGGGATGGACGCGGTGTATGAGAGCTGTAGGTACAGGGCTCTGTGTTATGAAACCGTTTTGGGGCCTTTGCCATGCCGTACCACGCCACTGCCAGACCGTTTTGTGGTGAGCCTGGTGTCCGCTGCCGTATGTGAGTACAGGCCACCAATCGCGACGTGTACAACGGCACTGTGCGGGAATTGATCGGTGGCGTGTTGCAGGGAATCAACACCACAGTATTTGGTGAGCAGGGCCCGGGGGTGGGGTTCGGTAAAGCACCTGCCGGCGCGTGACCGGGCCGGCTGATGCGGTTGCAGCCTCCTATCCCGCCACGTTGAGGCGCGACGTGGGGCCCAAAGAACGTCATGCACCTGTCACCTTTTCCCCACTCTACTCCGCTCCCCTTTTTCCCTCACCACCCACCGCCGGGTGACGGCTTGTCCTGCTTGCGGCCACATAGGCCGACATCAACCGTGAGGCCGCGTCGTTACCTGGTTTCCGTTGCCGTGTGCCGTGTGGGCCCCAAAACCCCCTCCTCCTGTCGCAGCTTACGGTGCCACTGGCAGCGGCAAGACCTACACGATGGTGGGCACCCAGCAGGACCCAGGTGGGCTAAACCCCAGAGCGGGAGGGGGCTACGAGGGGGCTGGGGCCTGTAACGGGACAGGGAATGTGGGGGGTAGGCCTTGGGGGTGGGGAGCTGCGGGACCGGGCCACATGGGCAGGTGGGGGTGCGGGGCACATCTGCCTCATGGGTCGAGACGGGGAAGAGGAAAGGAAAGGCTGCTGACAAGGCGACTGGGACCGAGGCAGGCTGCTGTGTGGTTGGGAAGAAGAATGCCGGCGGTGCTTGAAGCTCATAGGAGGAGATACCACCCGCTGCCACGTGGCAAGCTCTTGCACTGTTGCCACAAGCACGCCCGCCCCGTGCCATATACCATGTGCTTCTCCTTATCTCCGTATTCCCTCTCATGTACATTCCTGCACGCATTTGGCAGTATTTCCGCCTTCCCTCCTCTTGGCAGGTGATGCTTCCGTCTGATGAGTCCGTCGAATGAATGCACATACTTCCTAACCCTCGTCGCCCTAACCCTCGTCGCCCTCCCCATCCCTTTCCCTGTAGGCCTGATGGTGTTGTGCCTTGAGAAGATATTTGCTGACCGGGACACCTCCCACCGGGATGAGGACTTCTGTGTTACCTGCTCATACCTGGAGGTCTACAACGAGGTACAGGACCGGAAAAGGGGGGAGGGTGCGGACTGTGACGTGTTTTTTAAATACTCTGAGCCGCGATACGGTAACAGGCCGAGATGTACTAGTAACTTGAGCTCCGTAGTCACCAGCGAAGTGCAATGAGCCCTTTCCAGTAAAAGCTGCTGTAGACGTAGCTTGAAATGCCAAGAGGATGTTGAACGGAAGCATGTGTGTGTCGGTGGGTTTGGTAGGGTGACTGTTGCAGATGGAGGGTGCTCTGGAGGGCGATGGAACACATTGTCTACCCGTATCCGTTACACCCCCCTCGCTGTCCTTTCCCTGTTCCTGCGCTCTCATTTGCCTTGCTCTGACCCACCCGCTTTGGTGCGATTCATTCTGTTGCTTGTGGTGGTGGTGGTGGTGGTGGTCACGGTGGTCTTACAGATTATCTACGATCTGCTTGTGAAGAGCTCCTCCCCCCTGGAGCTGCGGGAGGACCCCGAGCTGGGGGTGGTGGTGGCGGGGCTGAAACACATTACTGTTACGTCGGCAGCGGAGATCATGGTGCGTTAGTCGTAAGCTTCCTACCTTGCCGGGCCCCCTGTGACCTGCCGCGCCTGTCCGTCGATCCCCTTTCCTAACCCACCAACCAACCCTGGGGTTGGCAACCTGCTGATGCCCTCCCCCAATCGGGCATTCCCCTGGTGTGAATTGCTTCCTGGGTACACACTACTTGGTGGCCCAAGGGTTGCGAGGCAGGAATTAGGCTTAAGCTGGGGGACCGCGAAAGGGCGACCCACTCCCTAGGAAGCCACGCTGCTATGTTCGGGCGTCCGAAATGTTCCTACCCCACCCCTCCCCGCTTGCATCACCTGGTCCTAACACCTCGCTTTCCCTCCTTCCCTTGCCTCCCTTATTTTGCAACCCTTACTCGGTCAGACTCTGCTGGAGGAGGGCAACCGGAGGCGTAAGACGGAGGCCACGGACGCCAACGCATCATCCTCGCGATCGCACGCGGTGAGGAGGACACCGGGGAAAACCCTCTCCGGCGGCGCTGGAGGGCATAGGCGCAGGGGTTCCCCGTATGATTGCGCTGGTGGTGCTGATTCGAGCCGGAATGAGCCGAGTTGGACCTAACCGGGCTGGGTCCCTAGCACGTCCGCGGGGTGTGGATGGGTGTGCCGGATTTTGCGTATCTGCCCCGTTTCCTCTTGTTAATTCCGCAGGGCACGTTCCTCCATCTGTGCAGGTGCTGGAGATTACTGTCAAGCGCACTCCGAAGAACCATTACAAGGTGTGCAGTGGGAAGTTTTATTTTTTAGTTGGATGCCGGGCATCGTTTGTGCCGCTCTGTTGTGGGACGTAATTTTAGGGCCTGTCTTGTGCGCTGGACAGTCAACCATTGTTGCTCCTTCTTGTTCTTGTTCATCCCCCTCCTCCTCATCTTCCGGGTTTCTGCAGGTGACGCAGCTGCGAGGCAAATTATCCCTAGTGGACCTGGCGGGCTCCGAGCGAGCTGCGGAAACCAACAACGCGGGACAGAAGCTGCGAGACGGTGCCAACATCAACCGATCGCTGCTGGCGCTGGCCAACTGCATCAATGCGCTAGGGAAGGCCAACAGCGGCAAGTCGGCAGCGTCGTACGTGCCGTACCGGAACAGCAAGCTGACGCGACTGCTCAAGGTCAGGCGCATGGCGGGGCCCGGGGAACGGTGACGGAATGTTGACACACTTGACCCTGAACCAGCTTTCCTTTCTTTGGGCGCCCCGATCCCCCAAATCCACCGCAACTGGGCCGCCCTCCTCGTTTCACTCCCCTTCTCCCCCTTCCTTAAAAAACATGTCTCTCCGTTCCGCCTGCTGCTGCTGCTGCTGCTGCCTGCTTCTCACGCCTGCTCCTCCCACCAACACGTCCTTCCATCCCCACCTCACTTTCAGGATGGTCTGAGTGGCAATTCCCGCACCGCCATGGTCGCCACCGTGTCGGGCAGCTCCGACCAGTACCACCACTCCATCAACACACTCAAGTATGCGGACCGGGCCAAGGAAATCAAGACGCATGTGGTGCAGAACGTGGGCACCGTGGAGTCGCACGTGGCCGACTACCAGCGCATCATCGACAACCTGCAGAGCGAGGTGCAGGACCTCAGGTGGGCCTCCGGGGGAGGGGGACGGTAATGGGGAGAGAGGGAGAGGGAAGGAATATGGGGTTGGGGCCGCGGGAAAGAAAAGGAGGAATTGCCGTCCAGGAGGAGGGGCATGCGGGGAAGCAAGCTTGGATGTGGGTGGAGAGAGACGGGGAGAGAGGGGAGCAGAAGGAGAAGATAAATGAATGCGGACCTAAGGCGTCGTCTGGAAAGGCGTGGGAACGGGGAAAGGGCGAGGGCGCAGAAGGTCGGGTTGGGGACACGGGTGGGTATAAATGGAGGTCCAGAGGAGGGCTTCCTTTTGGGTGCGTGCGGGTGGATGGTAGAATGGGCCATAACTCGGCCCAGGATGGCGAACATAGAGAGACACAGTAGCACCACCTCCGCGCCCAATAATCTTTCATTCTTTCCATACACCATACACCGCCCATATACCTACCCTCTACCCTCCTGATCCTCAGGGCCCAGCTCATCGAGCGCGAGGCTGCCCGGCCCCCCGGGGTGTCTAAACCCCGCACGAGCGAGGAGGACCTGCTGGCGCTCATCGGGAAGTGAGTGGGGAGGGAGGGAGGGTGGGAGGGAAGGTGCGAGGGAACAGTCCAGCTGGGACGAAGGCGAGGAGTTCATCGGCCAGTAACTGCCCAAACTATGTTGTTGGAGCTACCGCAACCTGTCAACCCTGAAATTCCTATGACCACGGAGCACTGGGTTACGTCACCACTACCATGTGCGCGCGTGTAGTTGCGGTACGGCAGGAGCGTTGGCGGCGTACTGCTGGTTCATGTTGATCAGCTCCGAATGCTTTCCCTTGCTGTTGTCTGTCTTGACAGGCTTGTTGAGGAGATGAACGACAACATCGAGGAGCGCATCAACCTGCAGAAGGCGCTGTTCGAAATCGAGGACGCCAACCTGTACAACAAGCACGAGCTGGGGCAGCTGGAGGAGTTCCTGGACTCGGGTGAGTGAAGGGGTGTGGGGGGCTGTGTATGTCTGCGTGTGTGTGATTAGGCTTGGTTAGGGTGCAAACGGAAATGGAAAGGCGAGGGGCACAAGGAATGAAACCAAACGTAACGGAGGGACGGAGGGACGGGAGGGGAGGACAAACCAACTCCCGTCCCTGCCCGCATGCCATATGCGCTCATGACCTAACCACCGCCACCATTACCATCACTGACGTCATGACCAACACCAGTCGCCTACACATGTTTGGCACTGCTGATATGCCCCCGTTTTCTGATCCTTTCTCCGTCCTGGTCCCTTTCTCCATCCCGCCTGGGGCTTGCCCACCCCTCCGTACCGTTACCGGTTGTGGTCTCCTTTGCCGCCTGATGACGGCCCGTACTGCCCTCTGCTGTGTCCCGTTGTTTCCTGCTCAGGCAAGGGCAGTGCACGGGACATCACTGAGGCCCGGGAGCGGAGGGCGGAGGTGCTCGAGGTGAGGGTTTCCCGGACACACTCAGCTGAAAGCACGGGGCTGGCGTTCCCACCACCCTGACGTGGATACACGCGCAAACACACCTACGTTTGCGTGCGTGCGAATTCGTAGCACGCGCTTTCACGCCCCGTATCGCATCGGTCATAGCAGGGGGAGGTATTGAGGAGAATATGGCACAGAGCAGGGGTGCAGGAAGGGGAGAGGAGGGCCCAAGTACAGCGCGTGAACGAACGGTTGGTTTGGTTGGTTATTGTTTGGTGGGTGGAGGGTGGGATGGCAGGTAACGGTCGCAAGCGGCATAACGCACACGGCGCTATGGGGTGGTGGTGGGAATGGAGGCCCCGGGTGCTCGGTGCTCGTACGCATGCGCCGTCCCCGGTCGTGTTGCTGTGTGTGATCCTTTTGCCCTCTTGCCTCCACATCCCATTTAGATCCCCCGTTTTCGTGGCCGCGTCTCGGCTGCTACTGACGTGTCTGCTGCCGCTGCTGCCTCCAGGCCACCCGCGAGAATGACCGGGAGCGGGAGCGGTACAAGAGCGAGATCACCGCCAACGAGATGACGAGGAAGGATATCCAGGCCCGGGTGCAGGTAGGGGTGGGCAGGTAGTGACGAGGAGGGCGGGATGGGGGAGGGGAGCTTTCCTTCCCGTGCTCGCACTCGCTGCTTACCTCACTCTCCCTCATTCTGCCTCACTCACTCCCTTTCTCCTCCGCGGGATTCGCACTCTTGCCCTTTGGAACGGCGCCTTCTTAGATGGCCGATGCTCACACACCTCTTTTCACCGCACCTCCCCACATTGGAATGCCCTGCTGAGACAAAGAGGGAGCAGTGTTAGCCGGCTTAGTGCGGCAGCTCTGAGCGCCACAGGGAAAAGGTAACCACCTGATTGGCGGCGAGGCTTCGGCGCTCCACTCTCGCCCTTCAACCCTGCCCCCATTTCCCATGTCCCCCCATATTCCCCCTCCATTCGTGACTTCCCCACTTCCCTTCCCAACCGCCTCCTCCACCTCCACCTCCTCCACCTCCACCTCCGTCCCTTGCAGGCCATTGTGGACTCCAACCAGTCTGCGGCGTTCCTGAACTTGCTGTCCACCTTCAGGTTGCAGGTGAGCGAGCCAGGCGGGGCTTGACCAGTGAGACGTATGTTTGACAATAGGGAATACTGGTAAGGTAAATGCCAAGGAATACGGGAAAAGGGGTTGGGAATCCAAGTCCCAGCCCATGCTCCCCTACCTTGGCTTTCCGCGGCCGCGTGGCTCCTTGCCCATCCCATCCTTCTCGCTGCCACACTAAAAAGCATACACAGAGCAACCGCTTCAAATGGTATTTATCTTCCCCCCTTTCCCCCCCTTCCCTTCGTGGTTCGTCTTTCCCCCCCTTCCCTCCCCTTTCATCCCTTTCTTCCCCCCTTCCAGGCCCTGCACCTACAGGAGCTCAAATTCCAAATGGCGGTGCGGGATCAGATCATCGGGGAGCAACGTCAGGTGGGGGAACCGGGGGGTCAATGACAGGTGGAGCCCGGTGCTGCGGGCTGGGTGAGGGTCGGGATGGGAGAGGCGAGGGGTGAAGGGTTTTAGGGCTCAGGGAGCAACATGAGATGCGGACACGGAGCACCAGACGCCGGGCGCGCGGGCGGGAGGACTTATTCGGGTTGCTCGTTCCTGATGGAGTGGAGTGGGCTGCAGTGAGTGCCCTATGTGCGTGTGTCTGTATGTGTATGTGTGTGCTTGTAGCTCCGCGAATGTGCGTGAGAATGTGCGTGAGAGGAGGGGTTACGCTGGAGGTCTGGGAGCATTTTATGGCTGCCGGCCCTTGTAGGCCTTGTGGGGCTGGCAGCTGCGAAGCCTGACCTCCACCATCCGTTGTGTACATGTAGTGGTCGGATTGTAGAGTACTAGAGCCAGCCGCCGCAACCCTACGCCGCTTTCTTTCCGCTATCTCGCCTTCCCTCACTGACCCCGGATCCACGCGTCCACGAATGGCCGTCTCCACACGACCGCCATGTCGGCGCAGGTGATTGGCAACCTGTGGAAGATCATTGACAAGTCGGGGTTGCCCCGGGAAAAGTAAGTGGGAGGAGGAGAGGGGTGGGGAGAGAGAGTTCAGGTGTCGTTCGGGGGCCCCCACGGCTGCGTCCGTGTCTGGCAGAGAAGGCAGCTGTGGGCGGGCAGGGCTCAATGAGATTCCCTTTCAGCGTGCTTCATGCTCATGATTGCACTCACACACAGACACACACAGAGAGATACACTAATGTACACCTTAACAGGCTATTCGCACGTGGGAATCTGGTTGCTCTGCCGCCGGTTCGGGTTGCTGATGCCGCCGCAGAAGGTTGAGCCGCTGGTGCTTACTGCTGCCACTGCTACCGCTACTGCTTTGTTATTGTTGTTGTTCGGCAGGGTCATTGCTGTTGCCAAAGCTGAGGGCATCATCATGGACGGGCTGCAGGGGGGAGATGGTGGGCCGCCCACAGTGGGAGTGGTGCCCCTGTCGGAAGCGCTCAAGGTGCGGCTGTATACCTGCATAAATAGAGAGACGGGGGGAAATAGAGTGAGGGAGAGGCCGTCATCCATCCATCCATCCGTCCTTCCATCCATCCATCCGTCCTTCCATCCATCCATCCGTCCGTCCTCCCCAGCCAGTTAGCCTTCCTGCCCATTCGGTCGTCCGTATGTCTATCCGTCTACCTGTATAACAACCGTGTGCAACGTAACTCAGCACAACCTTCTCCGCCCGTGGCCCCCTGGCTCCCCCTACCTCCCGTCTCCACTATGTTAGGCTGTCAAGGAGGAGATGGGCATTCCCGACTTGCGGGTGACTCCCGAGCTGCCCACCAGCCACCCGGTGGGGGTGGGCAGGAGGGCCAGCGAGAGACAGCTCAGGTGGGCGGAGGGGGTGGGGTGGCCAGGGTGGGTGGCGGGCAGGGGGGGCCTGGTACGCTGGTGCGCGCAGGTGCTCTTCCCCCGCCTCCTCGTGGTCTTCTGTTGCTTGTCTCCAGACAGGTCAATCAGTCAGTCAGTCTCGCAGTGAGACTGTGCTTTGGGCCCAAACCCGTGTCGCTTGACCACTGCCATGATGGCGCACTCCCGTCTTCTCACACCCTTCCGCCGCCTGTTGTTCCCAGCCGTCAGACAATTAAATGTGGCTACCCGCTCGCGTCCCCTCCACAGGTACCGCGCGTGGCCCGCCTCCTCGCCCTCCGCCGTTGGTCTCCCCCCCGCCGATGCACGGTCGGTCTCTGCTGACGCGTCGCCGTACGGGACCGATGACGACGGCGTCGCAGGCTCCGACGACGACAGCAAATCCGTACGGTCCGACAAGTCGCCATTGCGGGGTCGCGGCTCCGTCGCCCACCGGCCCAGTTTAGGATACCAGACGTCAGTGGTGACGGCCGGGACAGCAGCGGCGGCGGTGGCGGAGCACCGAGTACAGCAACACGTGCACATTGCACGGGAAGTTAGCGGCTTAGGGGAGGATGCCGCGGCGGCGGTGTTAGCGCAGGTGCCGTCAGTACGACGGCTTAGCGGCATGTCGTCGGTCAAGGGACACAGCGCCAGCGGCGGGACGTCTGGGAAATCCAGCGGGAGTGCGGCAGCTGCGGGGGGGCCGGCGTCGGCGGGCAGCTCGTTGTCCGGCGGCGCCGCGTCGGCGTCCGGGTCGCCGGCACAGACGTCCGCGGCGCCGGGTGCTGGCCGGCGGCGAATTCCGGGTGCGTCATGGGTGCGGCGGAGTTGGCATCACCTTAGCGTTGGCAGGAAGGAGGACGCGCTGTGTATGTCAGTGTGCCTTCCTCTGCGGTGTAGATTATCCCTCGTTGCCTTCCCCCGCTCCCTTGTCGTTTTGCTTTCTCGCCTGAAAGTTGGAGATATATAATACTTCTGTGGGATTGAAGGGGATGGCCGGGGGAGATAAGAGCTCGCACGGTCCCTTCCAACGCCCCCCATCTCCCGGGAGACCTCCCAGCTACCGCTGCCATTGCGGAGTCCTCTTTCGGGTACCTTCCATCCATCGCTGCTGTTTTTGCAGTGGAGCCACCTACACACATCTCGCGGCTCAGATCATTAAAGCACACATACCATACGCACACACGTGTTCCTCTTCTCCCTTCCTCGCCTCTCTGTTCGTCCTCCTTTTTTGGCCCCCAGGTGCCCCCCTAAGTGCCAAGCGCTCTGAGCCGCAGGAGGCCCTGGTGCCCCCGCCACAACCCAGCCGCATGGAGCACATCAAGTCCGGACGGAGAGCCGGACAGCACCGGACAAAGCCACCCAGTGAGCTGGGGGACCTAGCTACGACGCCAAGCTATGACCCGGCAATGGCAGCGGCAGCCGCCGCCGCTACCGCTGCCGTCGCCGGCGCTAGTAGCACCACCATCGCGCGGGTGCCTTCCCGCGGCAATGTCGCTGCTGCCGCTGGCGGCGGCGGCGGCGGCGGCAGCGGCGGCCGTGATTCGGAGAATGGCGGCGGCGGCGGGCTAAGCGGCGGACAGCGGCTCAGCGGCATCGGCTCCGTCAGCAGTGCGGCGCTAGGCAGCATTGACAGTGGCGGCGGTGGTGATGGTCGGGGTCACGGGCGGCGGCGGCACACGGTGGCGCATGACGTGAATGGCGCCAATGGGTTCGGGAGCAGTCCGTTTGCGGGGTTGGTCCCCATTGTGTCGGAGGGCTCTGTGCTGGAGAACTCAGATGAGGGCCTGGAGGCGCTGACGGTAAGTTTGGAAGGGGGACTTGAGGCCGGTGAGGTGAGGCGGGAGGAGGGCTTCGGAAAGCAGTGCACACCCCCCAGCCCTGGACAGACGGTACCGTGCTCACTTCCTAAACCAAGGGCTCGTATGTCGCGGTGAACCGTCGTCTGGCATTCATAAGCTGTGCACGTTCGGACTCCTTGTTGAAGGTGGAACGATTCCACAGTGATTCCGCTGCTCCCCTTGTCCAGCTACTCCCGCCACCTGTTATACGGTTTTGTGTTCTGCTAATCCCTGCCTTGTCACATCTCTCTGCAGCCTCGGCCCCCCTACATACTCATTTCCGTTTCCTCCCCCCCCTCCCCCCCTTCCCCCCCTTCGCCCCGCAGCAATACTCCTCGGAGGTCTCCAGCCGCACCGGGGCCGCTCGCTCCGACTCCATCAACCTCATCATGCAGGCCCCTACACAGGCTCCCCTCAACGAGCGACTTGCACGACTCAAGGGACGGCTGGCCAGCGCAGCAGCGATAGCCGCGTTACCCCTGCCGGGAGAGACCTCCCCCACATCGCCACCCCCGGTGCTGGCAGGCGGGGCGTCGTCATCCGCAGCCAAGCGATGACGTACAGCAGGCGGAGCGGCGGCTGCCACGGTGCACGATGGTGGTAGGGATGGTGGCGGAATGGGTGTGTCGTGGGCCCCAAACCCCTGACATCCCCCGCCCTCCCGTGCTCACATAACCCGAATTACCTCACCCGAACTCGCGCGGGGCAGCCCCCAGCTTGCCGCGGGGTCGGGTTCGCCTCCTCGGTGTTTCCCCCCACCGGTGTCTGGGGTTTGGACCGACTGCTGGCGAGGGGTTTCCATCTGCCCACCACCCGACCTGTAATTTATCCTATTTATCGCTCCGGGCGGGAGAAAGGCTGAGGGAGGGGGATTATGAAACGGTTAGGTGATGGTGGAGGATGTCCCTCGGGAGTAGGCAGCTAGATAGGTAGGTAGGTAGGTAGACAGTTATGTAGGGCCTTACAGATGAAAGGGCGGGCGCCATATGCGTTAGGTGTACGATACTTACGTGAGCAAAGCGTGGCTGGCTGGGACCTGATCGCGCAGTTCCCAGGATACGTGTGGGGGCTGTGTGGGGACAAGAAAGGGTTTTACTTCTTTACCGGCCGTGGGTTGGGCATGCACGTGAATATGATAGGAACGGTGGGAATGATAGTGTGTGGGTATCCGTGGGAGAAGAAATCGTCTTGGGGCGAGCGTCGCGCCGGATAGTTGCGAAGTGTCTGGAAGAGGTGGTTGCTGAGTGGGCCACGGGAACCGCCGCCGCGTTGTTGAAACCCGAGAGGTTGGATCCCGGCATTGGGGCACCCGCTATACTGGGACATATCGAAATCGCGTTGAAAAGCCCTTGAAAGGCTCATAGGGCTCAAGAGGGGGTTATCGGACGAGCACAGGTGACGTGTCCTATGGTTATCTGCTTGCGCGCGCATATAAGGATGGTGGTGGCCGCGCGCCCCACCCACTGATCCCAACTAATTTTGGCTCCAAACCTCTTGTATGTCCCATGTTACGCCGTAATGACGAGAGACAATGCCGAGGCGCCGGGGCGGGTGGGGAAGCAATCTCGGGGCTTTAAGGTTTGCTGGCCAACATGCTCGCTGGAGAGTGAGCGTGGCGCCCTGCCGCTGAGTGACTTTGCGGGTGTTGACAGTGTGCTTAGGTTTAGTTTACAGTTATAAGAGTTGGAGATTTGGGTAGGAGATGGCCACTCGTAGACAGAGGACCAAAGCCGTTTCGAGCGTTGAGCGGGTACGGCTGCTGTGCAGTGGTTATGGTGCTCGTCGACATTCTACTTGTCATGGGCCGTCTTCATGTAGCTTGTTCTTCTGACAGCGTCCATAACGCGAGGCATCGAACACGGTACCGTATGCAATACCCTGCGCTCGGGCCCTCGCTTCGTATGGACTCCTTAACCCTAGTTTCCACCATTTCATAAGTTACTGTACGTGGAAGGCCACCAACCTCACTGGATGAGCTTATTGTTTATTAGATAGGAACTACCATGAACAAGCGCCGGCTCACTTTCAGGTTTGAGCTTTGTCACGACGCCTTATGAGTCAAAGATAATCGGCGCGCAGCTGCGCTTGATAACAAGCACTTAAACAGCAATCAAAGAGTAATGCTTGCTCGTTTGGGAATAGCGCGGCCCTCTTATGTGGCGGTCCAACGATTCTTACACGCAGCAATCGAGCGCAATGCTGCCTTTGACAAAGTGTCGGAGAAGGATGTTGCATTTTTCGAGCAAGTTTTAGGATCAAGCGGAGTCATTTCAGACCCAGACGCATTGGTGCCATTTAACCGGTGCGTCACACAGCGTGAGACGATGCCGAATGGCCATAGCGAAGTTCCACAGCCTGACTCCTTCTTGAACATATCTTGGTTTGCAGAGACTGGCAAAAAAAGTATGTCGGGAACGCAAAGGTGGCTCTCCGACCACGCACGACACAACAGGTCGGACCTCGTGTGCGCATACCTCGACCTGATGAGTTAGGATGGATGACCTCGGGCCCCGGGGGTGGGGCAGCACACACCAGACACTACCAAGCTTGATACTGTGATAGCCTCTGCCCTGCAAGCCGGCCCCTCCCTATACCGTGTCCGTGTCCCTTCCCCCCTAAAATGTGGGCCTCCGCCCCAGTGGGGAACCACATGCCTGGAGTTTCTCGGTCCTCTGTTCGTTTTTAAAATACTGCTTATTAGGTCTGTGCTGACGGTCCAAACCTCGATAACTCAAAACTCGACGCGTAAAACACATGATTACATGTACTACATAAACACACGTACGCGTGCGTGTAGGTTTCGGAGCTGCTACGGTACTGTTCCTCCCGGCGGCTGGCGGTGGTCCCCCAGGGTGGCAACACCGGGCTGGTGGGGGGCAGTGTACCCGTGTTTGACGAGGTCGTGGTGAGCACCGCGGCGATGAACCGGATACTGCACTTTGATGAGGTGAGTGTGTACCGCATCAGTACGGCAACTCCGGGCACAGCACCTCAGTACACGCGCCCGCGCCCTGCTTGCGTCTTGGCTCTTCCGAACCTGTGCAGTTGACACGGATACGGCGATCTACGACCTTGTCGCACATGCGCCATCGCGCTTTGTACTTTTCCTCCCTTCCTCCGCCCTATTCCGGCCTGCTGTGTTACCTCCTCCCGCTCCGGGTCCCCCGCTGCTACGAATACCTCCCATAACCAGCCCCCAAACCCCCAACCGAACGAACGGCCTCAGGTGTCAGGTACCTTGATCGCGCAGTCAGGGGCGGTGCTTCAGGCCCTGGACGAGTACGCGGGGCAGAGGGGCTTCATGATGCCCTTGGACCTAGGTGCGCTCTTCGGAGGGGGCCGGCGGGGGGGTCGGGGCAGGAAGCCGGGGGCCGGATGCCCCCCTTCCAACGGGGTGGGACCTACACTCGCGTCACCTTTCACGCCAGCTGGGCCTCCTTCTCCCCCCCCCCCCCACACACACACACTGGGGCTTCACTTCCGGAGCCACGGGTCGATGACATCACCACTTAGGGCCTCACTAGGCAGTTGCAAATCTTGGACACACCGGCAGCAGTTCATGTCCCGCTTCCTCGCGTATGTTTCCCGCCACACACATATACACACATTCCCATATATGAGAATGGACCTAACCGCCAGCACCCGGATACACGCACGCATGCGCGCCCAACCCTGGCGGCCGCAGGTGCCAAGGGCAGCTGCCACATCGGCGGCAACGTGTCCACCAACGCGGGAGGTCTGCGGCTCGTACGGTACGGCTCCCTGCACGGCAGTGTACTGGGATTGGAGGTCGTACTGCCGGAACCGCTGCTGCCAACCCAGGGAGTCTCAACGACCGGCAGTGAGGGCAGTGGGGGCGACGGCCGTGTTTTGGATTTGCTGCGCACCCTTCGAAAGGACAACACGGGCTTTGATCTGAAGCAGCTTTTCATCGGGGCCGAAGGGACGCTAGGTGAGAGTGGCTGGTGTACTGGGTGACTGGAGGTCGCCGTACGGGCGATTGTAGGGCCGGCGTGTGCTTTGTTAGCAATTAGTTACCATCAGATATTGAGCGAAGAAGCAAGAGGTGCACTCGGGGCGGGTGGGAGTATGTACATGTGGGGTGGGGTGGGGGGAGGGTTACGCGTGTATGTATATATGTAATTGGAAGGTGAGAAAGGGAGGTGAGAGATGTCGGGTGACTCCCCCGGGGTTGGGAGTCACCACCTACCAGACCACCCCCCCCTCCCCTCCAACATTCGCATCCCCCCTCCCTCACTCCCCCACACACTCCCTCCTTCGCAGGCATTATTACAGCCGTCGCCATCCAATGCGCACCCCGCCCCGCCTCCGTACAGCTCGCTCTGCTGGCTTGCCCCTCCTTCCAGGCAGTCACCGCCACCCTCCGTGCAGCTCGCCGCGTGTTGGGGGAAGTGCTCAGCGCGGTGGAGTTCCTGGACCAGGCCTGCTCACACCTCGCCACCCGCCACCTCGAGGGGGTCAGGAACCCCTTGGTGCAGCAGCTGCAGCCCCTTGAGGGGCCCCAGGGCGGAGGGGAAGGAGGAGCAGGTGCGACCCATGGGTCGGCGGACGCCCAATCGGCTCCGTTCTACATGTTGGTTGAGACGCACGGAAGCGATGTGGATCACGATCAGCAGAAGATGGAGCGATTCCTGGAGGTGCGCCGGGCGGCTGGCGGGCGTTGGGTTTTGGGGTCAGGGTGTGGGGGGGGCCCCTCGGCCACTTGACCAGTGGTGATGGTGGTGGTGGTGGCGACCTGCGGCCCACTACCACAGGGCCATGGGGGCGGTGGGGGGCATGAGGGGGGAAAGAGGAAGAGCCAGCTTCTACTCAGCTACTCAGATGCAGATCGATGCTGGGGACTTGACTCCCCCCAAACCCAAAGGGCGGGGGAGAGGGCCCTCCAGGGGGAGGGGACATGGGACGGCACCGCACGGCTAGCTTCCCTAGGCTGCCAAATACACAGTACGGCACTGGGCAACCCGCTTCCTGCCCTTCTGCACCTGCCCCCTCCCTCCCCCGTTCCGTCCCCCAGTCGGTGATGTCTGAGGGCCACGTCACGGACGGCACTCTGGCCACCAGCGAGGCCCAGGCGGGGGCCATTTGGCGGCTGAGGGAGGGCATCTCGGAGGCGCTGGTGCGGAGGGGTGAGAGCGGGGAGGTGAGGTTGGGGGTAGGTGGAGGGGAGGGGCGTCTCTCCCCCGCCACCTACCTCCCCTCCTCAAACTCCTAGGTGGGCATTTGCAGGTGGAGTGTCAGCTGGTGTGGTTGCACGATGTGGCCTTGGGGCGTACGGCGCACCACATCTGTCCAGCTGACTCCTCACTGGCTGTTGCGAGTTGGAAGTTCAGCGCCTCTCTTCTGCCCTTCTGGCTGCCACCACCACCACCACCACCACCACCACTGCCTGGTCGTACCTTCTCCTCTCATTGCGGCCCCTGCTGGGCCCCGCTACCGGGGGCCGCCCGAGGGTGGCACATATTAGGATTAAGCACGTGTGGTGCTTAACGTAGCTTATCCTCTTGCTGTGCAGGTGCCGTGTACAAGTACGACGTGAGTCTGCCTACTGCCGTCATGTACGACTTGGTTGAGGTCATGCGGAGTCGGTTGGCGGCGGGTGGTTACGGTTCTGATGCGGGAGTGCTGGTGGTGGGTTACGGCCACATCGGGGACGGCAACCTGCACCTCAACATCTCCGCACCCAGGTAGGTGTGTATGTCGTATGTATGTATGTATGCATGTATGATGTCTGTCTGTAAGTGGATCATACGAGGTTGAGTCATCGTGTCTTTGTGCGTTGCGAAGCTCTGCTGCTTCCTGGCTGACTGAAAGCTGCCGGCAGCTAGGGAGGTGGGGGGAGGCATTCGGAAGGGAGCACCTCCTCCTCCTCCTCGAGGAGGGAACGGAGGGGAGCAGGGGCAATGGAACGCATCTGGGCGGATGGCGGCACATGTCGTGAGGTGTCATTTCATGAGGTCGTCCCGGACAGCGGCATAAACGGACTGGAACACGGCGGGTGGGGGGGACCGGGGGCCCGGACCTGCCCAAGACAAGATACATCCTGAGGAACACGTGATGGGGTCGGGGGGAATAGATTTGGGATCACCCTGTGCGATCGCCACTGCTACTGCTGCTACGACCGCCCTCGCTGTTCCACCTGCCGCCATCTTGTTGTGTACGAAAAGGGTGAGGTCAGCGGCCCAGTCCGGCGGCACCTTTTCCCCCTGCGGCCCAGTCCCCACCCCCGCCGACCCACTCACCTCAGGTACGACGATGCACTGCTGTCGCTCATCGAGCCGTTCGTGTACGAGTACGTCAGCCGCCACAACGGCAGCATCTCCGCGGAGCACGGCATAGGGCTCATGAAGGCGCAGTGTCTGTCGTACAGCAAGGGCGCTGTGGCTGTAGAGCTGATGCGGCGTATCAAGGAGGTCGTGGACCCCGTGGGCATTATGAATCCGTACAAGGTGCTGCCGCCCAGATAGGGCCGACACCGGTAGCTATGAGAGCTATGAGGTCAGATGGGCAGGCAGGCGGGTGGACGAAGAGGTAAGACGTATGAGAGCTCCCAACACCGAGGGGGCTGTACCCCGCCGTATGACCTTCAACGATAAGGAGATCTTCAGCCCGGTGAATGTGCGCGTGTGCCTGTCTGTATGTGTGAGGTGAGGAGCTGTGTTCTGCTGCTGCTGAGATGCTGCGCTGCCGTTCACTGGTGCAATGAGATGTGAAATGGCCGAATGTAATTCTGGTGGACGCCATGGTGGCGGTTCCGGTTGGGAAGGTAGCGTACGATAGCCCGAGGAGAGCGTGTTAAGAGACAGACATACAGACATGCAGGTGGGCTTCACCACCTGCCTCGGTGCCCGACCCCGCACTATTTTATTCTTCCTTTCGACGCCTTGTGACCTCTTTCCCCCACCCACCCACGCACGCACATCTCTCTCAGCAATAAGACCACTCCGCCACTGCCGCTCATGTTACCGGTCATAGTCGTACTACTGCTGTCGTACACCACTGCCCTCTCTGGACCCCCTGGACCTCTGCAACCTCACCCCCGTCGCCTCTCCACACGCCCACTACCCACCCAGCCACCACAGCAGGGGTGTCAGCGGCCGCAGGCTTTCGGGTGCAGCAAGAGGCCTCCCGACCCCACCTCACTTCACCACCAGTAGTCATAGCCGGTCAGCGTGATGTAGAGACCGGCAGGTTACATCACCACCACCACCACACCTGGCCAGCTGCAGGGATCTCTGGAGAGCGCCGCCCGGGGGGGGTGGGGAGTCTTCTCACCTCACGCCCCCCGCCCTGGTGTCCGAGAGAGAGGCCCCCTCCCCCCTCCATCACTCTCTTGCGAGTAGGGGGTGTGTACGAGGGAGGGAGGGGGGAACTCACTCGGACAGCACACCCCAGGACCGCCAGGGTACGGCAACACAGGTAACAAACACGTGCGCATCTTCCTCCCTGTACATGCACCATACAAAATTATGGACACCGCTCTGTAGTCGGATGACAGCTTCGAATCCAGAGAACATGCAATTGCCGCGTCGGCACCTCGCCTACCGCACCTTGACAAGGTGACGTGAGGGCCAGGAGGGGCGGTTCCGATAATGCGAACAGCCCCATAATGCCAAACAGCAGCCTCCCTGATGCCGCCTCCAGCCTCGCACCCGACCATCCTGCACGTGCACACTGACCCCACTGCCACTCCATGCGTCCGCACGATAAAAGCCCACCTACCTGCAAGGTGCTCTCCTCCCTTCCCCTTCCTCCACCAGATCCCCAGTGCGCAATCCTGTTTTCTCGGCCCCCTCGCGCCCCCCCCCACACAGCTCTGGTCTCGCCTTCTGCACGCATCAGCACTGGGACACGTTCCGCCGCCCGTTTATGCTCCTTGTCTGCGTCTGCCCCGTCAGCCATCACAGCGCACGATAACTTCGGCACACAACATGATGACGAGGATGGTGATGCACAACCCAGAGGGGTCCCCCCCCACACACACAGCCACTCAGGCAAAGAGCGCCACTCTCTCTCAGTTTACTCTCAAAAAGAGACGGCTCCGCGACACTGCGACAGCGCGTCAAGCTGCAATATGGGGCCCTGCACTTCCTCCGCCGCAGCTACCTCCCCGCCATCTGTCGCACATCGCATTCGCAGCATGGCGCCACCGTCCTCGCGTTTCTTTACTTCTTGGCGCTCGAAGTGACGTTAAACTTGAAGTAGATGATGTCGCCGTCCGTGACCACGTACTCCTTGCCTTGTTGCCGGTACTTGCCAGCCGCCTTGACTGCACCCTCAGAGCCCAGCTCCTTCAACTCGTCGTACTTCATCACCTCGGCACAAATGAAGCCGCGCTCTGGACGGCAGCACAGTAAAGCACAACAGTGGCATCAAGAGGCGGCGTCCGATATATACATACGTACGTACATACATGCAGGGCACACAAAAGCGGCAAACGGCGCAGGACACTCCCGTGAATGCGCTTCTCCTGCCCCTTTCGCAACCCCGTCTTCCTCCTCTCCCTTCTCCCCTTTTCCCTCTTTCTTTCTCTGCCGCCGGTCTCACCGAAGTCCGTATGGATGGTCCCAGCCGCCTGCGGCGCCTTGGTGCCCTGCCTGATCTGCCAGCACTTGACCTCGTCATCGCCCGCAGTGAAGAAGTAAATCAGGTGGATGGCCTTGAAGCCGGTCGTGATAATCTGGGTGGTGGTGGTGGTGGTGAGGGGGAGGGGGAGAAATCAGCGCGCATGCGGGTTGGTGGGGAGGAGTAGGGTTAGGCTTTAAGCCGGTACGGCACGCGACGTAGGGTGACGGTTTGGGTGCTCGTGCCACCAACCAGCTTTGATTGGGGGTTGAGATGGCGCTGAGGCGGGGGCGGGGCAAGTATGACTAACCCCCTTAGCCCCCATCATCATCAATGTGCTCCTGTGCCCTGCGGTCTTTACCTTGGGCAGCATGCTGATGACTCCCGCCTCCTTGCAGTACTTGTCCTTCTCGTCGTCCGGCATTTCAAAGATCTTATTCTCGAAGGCCGCCGAGAAGGGGATGATGGGCTCCCCGCCGTGCGCCTGAACCCACTCGTGGATCTTGGGCAGGAACTTGTTCTTCTTGCGAGCGAAGTCCGTCTCGGACATGTTCACTGGGCAGCAGCACAGGAGGAAAGACGGGCGGGAAAGCGGGGAATGCGGGTAAGGGGTGGTAGTGAGGGGTGAACGGGAATTATATGATGCAAGCATCAGAGGCCCGACTGCTGCGCCAACCGCCTCGCTGCCCGAGGCGCCAAGAGGGGGACCCCTCTACCCTCCCGTCCCCACCTCCCCTGCCCACTGTGCCAACCCACCCAGGTACACTGCCGGCTTGGCGGTCAGCAGCTGGTACTCGTTCAGCCACTCCACGTCCTTGGCGCCCCACTCCCCGAACCGCACATCCACCTCCTTGTTCAGGTGCTCCAGGATGCGGTTGGCGCACTCCAGCTCCTCCAGCTGCTCCTTCTTCAGCCCCCGGCTCTTCAGCTTGTTGATGCCCTCAATGACGCCCTCGATCTTGGCGCGGTCCTTGGCGCGGAGCTCCTTGTGAATGATCTCCAGATCCGCAACTGGATCCACGCGATCTTCGACGTGGATCACATCTGCATCCTCGAACGCGCGGCAGACGTGGTAGATGCCGTCCACTGCGGCGATGTGGGAGAGGAAGGCATTCCCGAGGCCCTCCCCCTGGGCGGCACCGCGGACCAGTCCGGCGATGTCGACCACGTCCAGAAAGGCGGAAACGGCGGACTTGGGCTTGTAGAGGGAGCAGAGCCAGTTGAAGCGCTCGTCGGGGACGTTGACGCGGGCCGCGTTGGGGTCGATGGTGCAGAAGGGGAAGTTCCTGGCGGGACGGCGAGGAGGGTGCGGGTGTGGGGGATTTGGCAGGGAGCAGGGGAGCAACGGGGGAGCACGGGGGTTTGCGCGGGGAGAGCTTTGGCTTTTTTTGGTCCCCTGTGCGGCCTCCCTCCCTCCCTCCCTCCCTCTGAGCACACAGAGTAGGGGACCCCGGCGGGGACCTAGGGGCGCAAGAGAGCTTTGTCCTCCCTTTGGGGCGACAGGCGGAGAGGACAGAAGGGGGACGGGGTTCGGGCGGGGGAAAGACTTCGAAGAGCCCGCGACTCAGCCCGCGCGAGTGGGAAAGGGGGGGAGCGCGAGTCCAGGGCATCATCAGGGCCCCCGGGTGGTGTGTTGACGCACTGCTACGTCCGCCTCTCCCAGCCAGAGGGGAACTAAGGGGTAATAGCGAGGGAAACGTTGCTGAGGCCGTAACTCATCCCCTATGCCGCTGAGGGCCCTCTCCCTCGTCCTCCCTCCCGTGAAGCCCCGCAATCCAGCAGGTCGCAAGGGTGTGAGCATGTGTATGTGCGAGGGGATAGGAAGAACTCTCTCTGTAGGCTCTAGCTATTGTGAGAGAGTCCCATCCATGGAGAAGTTGCTATCCCTGGCAGCAGCTGGGTGGTGCACAGGACACGCCAGAAAACTCTCGTGCCTTGCCCCTGAGCTTCCTGACACCTCTGGTCCGTACGCTTCCCCGACGTTAAGAAGTAGCAGCAACATAGGTCGCTAAACGGCGCTAATAATTCCCGGTCTGTTGAAGGACACGATGAGCGTTTAAAACGGAGGATCTGTGCGCCAAACAGAGTGAGACGACGAGGCACGCGATCGCCGCCACTTGACGACTCACTCGGCGGGCACGCCAACTTTCGTCAGGAGGTTGAAAAGGGTAGACTTGCCAACGTTAGGCATTCCAACAATGCCCATCTTCAAATTGGATTTGAAGCGGCCAAGGAGGGGCCGCTCCTTTGGTGCCTCCTGCTTCTTTGGAGCCATTATGCAATCTGCTGGCCTGACCGTGTAAGAGTGTTTTTAGGAGTTGTAAGCAATAGAATTACTGCGTACCACTTCGTCGGTTGGCTAAAGACCCTGCTAGGAGGACTGTGTGCCGCCTACCCTAACCGCGGTAACGCTACCGGGCTTGAGCGCCGCTTCTCCGGAACTCCTGCGGAGAGCTACTAAAAGAAAGGATTAGGGGTTCTTTCGGACTTTGGCTGTCCCTGGAAAATACGGCTTTACTCCAGTACATCAAGCGGTAACTTGAGTGAAACAGGTTGATTAACTTTTCTAACTTTGACACATGCTACACGTAAAACGAAATGGCAGACGACAACGACGTTTCATTGCCCCGAAGTGAGGACTTGCTGTGCACGTTTTGCGCTAGACCGCCCATGCTAACTCGGCATTTTATGCATTTCAGCAACGTTGCAAAAGATGATCAAAGACCTGGTGCCGCCTGATATGCGGGTTGCCAACGACACCGTGGACCTGGTCATCGCTTGCTGCACAGGTAGGCCCAGCTTCTGGCACTCAAACCACAAAGTCAGACAAGAACCACCCATCTGGGTTCCCCTCAACCTAGAAATCCCTGCTTCCCTTTCGGCTTCCAACCGCAGTTCCCGGCTGCAGGTCGCCCTACCTCTGGCGCCCTACAGGGCCCCCCTGCCACTTTCCTCCCCCTCCTTCCAACCACCTTGGCCATCTGTACAGAACCCATTGAAACCCTCCTTCCCTGCCTCTTGTACTTCCCACGGCACCCGTAAAACCCTACTCCGTGGGGTACAAACTCGGTCCTCCTCCCAACCCACGTTCGAATCGCATCCAGGTAACGCCTGGGTCCTCCGTTTCCTCACATCACTCACCATGTTCCCGCCTGCCCTCCCGTCCCGCCGGCCGCAGAGTTCATTCAGCTGGTGTCCTCGGAGTCAAACGAAGTCGCCACGCGGGAGAGCCGGTCCATTATCCACCCGGACCATGTCGTCCGCGCGCTCACGGAGCTGGGCTTCCAGGGGTTCGTGGGGGAGGTCACGGCCGCCTGGGATACATTCAAAGAAGAAACGAAAAGTGAGCAGCGCACCGGAAAATCACCGAACCAAAGTAGCAGATCCAGAATCCTTGTCCGCGTGAATTTCACTTGTTGCCCTGTTTCCAAACATTTTGGAAAGAGCCATCACTTTCCTTCCTCCTTCCCCTTCCTCCCCACCCCTGAATCCCCCGATCCGTCTGCCCGCCCTCAGCCGCCCATTCTCGGAAGGCGGATCTCCGGAAGACCGGTGCGGAGCATGCGGGGCTGTCGGAGGAGGAACAGGTGGGGGGGGCAAGGGGCAGGGGAGGGGGCAGGAGAGGGGGCAGGAGAGGGGCAATGGAGGAGCAGTCAGGTTATGGGGGGAGGGAGCGGGATGTGGAACCGACTAACGACCAGATGGGGAAGCAAGCGGGCGAACGAATGGAAACGAACTGACCGGTGGTGGAAGTGTCGGTGTATGGAAGCGCAATGTTTCCGCTTGCCCGACCCTCTTCCCCCCCTCCTCAACCACACGTGAAGCCCCGCTCCTCATCTCTCACCCTACTCTCACTCTCCATCTTGCGCCCGGGTCCCAGGTCCCTTAGAGCCCTTATGGGTCGGAGTCCCTAAGAGTATTTCCGGCGTATCCCCTCTGCCGTCCTTCCGCCCTAGACGTGTAGCCCACCCGCCTGGCGCCCACGTGGGGGCTCGGCAGCTGCTCCCGGCCTCCTAGAAGTCCCCCGCTGGCCCCCCTCCCCCACAAGCTCGCAACTCTGGACTTGGGCAGTTGTTTTCCTGATTATGATACTGCTGTCCCGTAAAGCTGCCTCCCTCCCCACCACAAACACAGATCCTGCTTCAGCAGCAGATGTTCGCTCAAGCCCGAGCCCAGTCCATGACCACGTGCGAGTCAGCGGCGGCCATGCATGCCGCGTACGAACAAGCCATGGCGGCACAGCAGCAGCAGCAGGGCGCACCCGGCACCGGGCCGGTAGGGTTCTATTCGGCGCATCAGCACCCCACGACCATGACCTCGACGACGACGATGCCGCCGGGAGAAAGGGGGGGAGGTGGGGGGAGAGAGCCTCCTGGCCCTGCCGATATGGTGGAGGAGGACGATGATGATGATGATGACGATGTTGATGATTACAGCGAATGAGTGAGGACGGATTTATTTCTTGGGTGTACCAATACATCACACATGCATACATACGTACACACACACGCGCGGGGGGTTGGGTAAAGGGGGATGCGCGCGGATGTGGGACCTGCTGCTGCTGCTGCTGCCTGCGCGTGGTGTCCCCCGTTCACGCCCTCCACCCACATACATACATACTCCTCATACAGCATATGTCAAAATGGAGCATCATGCACTGCTTGTCGAAACGCATGACATACGTACGTGTGCCGTATGCGCTGTCCGGGGGAGAAAGCTATCAGGCAGGTGGCGGTTGCTGCTGCGAAGTATCCCGGGGGGTAACACCTCCCTTACCCCCCCCCTTTCTGCACTGCGGTGTGCGTCACCGCATTTAGGACCCCAGCATCAGCATCAGCAGCAGTCCTATCGTCCTTTGGACTTAGGTCGGCAGCGAACCCCTTCTCTTCCTCCACCCACATAGAAGGGGTAGATGGGAGGGGGAGGGGGACCTTACCTCGGGGTCAGGCAGGGCTCTGTCCGGGCGGTGGTGGTGGTGGTGGTGGTGGTGGTGTGTCATGGTCGGGTGGTGAGAGCGTGTGGGTTGGGGGGTTGGGATTGCCCGCCTGTGTGGTGTGGCGAGTCACGTAAGAGGACTGGTGCGGGGGCCCCTGGCTGGGTGGGTGGGAGCTAGGAGGACGGGAGGTCTTGACAAGGTGTTGTTTCAGCTGTGTGTATGTGTGTATGTATGTTTGTATGTACGCTTCTGAGTGCGTATGTGTAAATGTGTATGTATATGTATGTGCCGTTTTGTTAGTTAAGTGTGTGAGAGTGGGCAGTGGATCAAGGAGGAGGGGGATCCACAGCTCCCTGTACGACCTTTCCGGAGGGGCCCTCTTATAAGCGGGGGAGGTATTGCCGCTCTGCACTGCATTGTACTGCATTGTACTGCACCGCGCTGTGCGGTCGTCTACTCCCCCCTCCCAATTCTCAACCGGCAACCGACTACCTCTCCCCCCGCCGCATCACACCTCGCCCAGCTGCCGCCATACCAGCCCTAACCCTACCCGCCCACCCCAACCCACCCAGGGGGCCTGGCGGGGCCATGCTAGCGCAACTGGAGGGGCCCGTTTGCTTCCTGGATGCCCTGCTGTGTGTATATATGTATGTATGTTTGTGTGTAGGGAGGAGGGGAGGAGAGATGGCGGGTCCCCCAGGAGATGCACCAACACCAACACACAATTCCCCCGTTGTCGCCCCATTACACCCCAACCCGTGGCCCCGAGGGGCAGATGGAGGGGTATGGGTATGGGTACAGGGGGGGATTGAGGGCGGGTGCGGCACCGGGGATCTACCCTCCCCTCCCCTTCCCCCCCTCATGAGCGGCAACGTCACGGGGTAGCTTGGACCCAAATGTACCTGCGGTGCGCAGTGCGGCGTGCAGATCCATCCATAGGACCCACCGCTGCTACGGTGGTCAATAAATGAGTGGGTGCGTGGGTGGACGAGTGGCGGACTGGTGGGGAAAGCGTGCTGAGTGGGGTCGGGGAGAGCTGAGAGGAGGGGTGGGGTGGGGGGTCGAGGGTGGGCGGCCCCGGGCCCTGGTTTGCTGTAATCTGAGTCCCCCCACGTGCCTGCCGCTGCGTCGCTGTGTGTGACTGGCCGGCGGGGGTTCCCGCCCAGGGGAGACCTAGGCGGGCGAGGAAAGCAAAGAGAGAGGCAGAGTCTGTATGTATGTACATCCGTATGTTTAAACCCGAGCGACAGCCCTCATTCCACATGGACATCTTTTCAAACCCTGAACTCTCCCGTCGTCCCCTCTCTGGCGGTAACCTAAGGGGTAGGACCGCATACTGGATAACCCGTTGGGAATAGGAGAGAGAATTGCCCAGTTGCCCATTACTCCGCTATAACCTAACGGTTGCAAATATCAACATCTTGTAAGCTTGGCTTCCCCGCTTGGGTGATAGCAGCAGTTAAAAAGAGTTCAACAACATTAAACAGCCACGTGCCAAAAGTCCTTTGTCTTGTGGCTGTGTTTCCTTGCGCGTGTCTTAGGGGGTTCCCTTCGTCTCCCCCCCATCGGCAAACAGAGCTTCATTCGCCACCACAGCCACACGACCACAGCCGCAAACCATTTGCTAAGTCGTCCTCGGAGGAGGGCCTGGCAGGCCTGACACTGGGAGAAGCGGGGGCGGCGAAGAAGGCGGACGGCTGGTAACAGGCCGAGATGTTTGCTCCAGGGGCGGGAGGGGAATCCGTAAGGAGCAGTATAAGAATTCTTAAAACGTCTGCTGCCCAGACGTTTTAGGCCATGTAGAGCACATTGGAACTGAAGTGCGGTATATTGGCGTATTCCGTGTTGGGCGATGTACGAGTGAGCGATGAAGTGATGTCTGGAAAAAGCTGCACCGATTGGCGGGTGGAAGGTACAAGCTTCCCTCCTAGCCGCCCTTGTTCTCGTGTTCCACCCCTCGATTAGATCATCATCACCCCCACCTGCTACCTTCACCCACCTCGACCGCACTTAATCCCCAGGTACCTCCAGCACCCCTGACACTGCGTGTTCGGGTGGCTGCCCACTTGACTGCGGACCGCTCCTTGATTCCGTGAGCACTCGGCTGAGGCTGTGAGCTCCTCTCTGAGCTGCCTGCCTCACCACCGGTGCTGAGGAGGGCATCGCCCTGGCCTTGGCCCCAAACACCCGTCATTGGCGGCAAGTGGCGCGGCGTGAGGCGAACTCACTGGGGTTCTCTCCTCTGGGCAGGGGCTGTGACCCGGGTTCCGGTTCACCCGATGACCTGGTTGTGTATCTCATGGGTGGGTGGTTGCTCATCCACCATCGTAAAGGGGAAATGCCCGAGCTTCCCTCCTTCAACATCACGTCTCCTACCTGTCTGGTCTATTCCTAAAATCTACCAACACACAAGGTCCGTGCGCTTTTAGACTATTTGTGGAGCCTGATCCGCGTCCCCCGTGCTGGAGTGCTCTTGCTCCGCGGCGACCAACTGTGCATCCTCTACATGTGGACGACCTCCAGCGCGGTGCCGACGTGGGGACAATGCGGCTGCACGACTTTCAAGACCTCGCCTCTGGTGGTCATCAGCCCTTCAGGGGCTTTCCCTCGCCTGTGTCTGACCCGGGTGGCATGTACCCTGCCGGGATCATGCTCCTAGTGGCACAGTTTGGCAAACCCTAAGACCTAACAACGTTCTCGAGCAGCCAGCATCACCTTCACCCCGGCCGATGACTCCCGAGTCTGCTTCGTGCACGCCCTGGCCGTGTACCTGGCACTCTGCTCAACCCCCCTCCGCTCCCCTTCGGCCCCTCTATGACAAGCTATCTGTTCCGACCCCTTACCGCTGGATGTGGCAGTTGTGGGAAGAAATCATTGTTCCAAGGAATGCCTAGCAGTGCGCAGGGTGCACCCCTGCGCGCCCACCTGACGGATGCTGGCCAATGGTAATATGAGGGCGAATCCAACCAGGCTTCCGTCGCGGTACTTTGCACGAGGCCCAACATCAAGGAGCCAGCACTGAGGAGCTTGCTGCCCTCAGGCAAATCCGTAACCTCCGCCATGCTGAAGCGTTACCTGGCCCCTCACCGCCGCCTGCCCTCCCGCCACACAACCGCCCACACCTTAAGTGGTATACTGGTGGCCCTCAGCCCCACCGGCCACACCGGCAATGGCCGTTGACCCCTTGATCTGTTCATGCGGGGTGGGTGGGTGGGTGGGCCCTGTTTCGCTAGTAATGGTGCCGTGTATTGGTGCTAATCATTCAAGTGTAAAGCCTCCCATTAGGTTTCATCCTAGGTGGTACCCGGTTCTAGTTTTGATATTGGCAGTCCCTCTTCTAGGCGTGCTGTGCTGTGTGGCTAGTTGTTGCCTGGTTGAGGTGGGTGTAGTCCGTTAGCCAAGGCTGGGCTTCAACAACTCCCGGATATGCACGTGCACACTCAGAATTGTTGAAGCCCTACCGTGGCTAATGGACCACACAACACTTTGGTCACAACATCTGGCAAATAGCCATAACAGGATTGTGACCAGAACGAATAGCACGTAACAGTACGACAGAGATTACACGACAGAGTCATTACTTACACTTGCATCGTCCAAGAACCAGCCTTCACACAAACGAGGATTCAGCGTTTCTTGTCCACTGCTGTTACATCGTAATTTCATTACACTCAAACCGCCCCTGCAGCGATACCACCAGCAGCGAACCTAACCAAACTTCGTCCAACAATTCGCAGACAAAAAACCCGCTAAAACCTCCACTCACGATTAAGAACGAATTCCCTGCACCGCCCCGCTGATCGGCTTGGTCTCCCCCCCCACACACGTGATCTCCCCGCTGATCAACTCGACCCTACCCCAGCTCCCCTGCCCCGAAAACCCCGTATTTATATTGGAGCCGTGGCCGGCCGTGACACTTGCTTAGGCTCAAGGAAACCACTGGCCGCTTTGACGTAACCTGCTCCGCTAGGTGCTGCGGGGCAGTGACCCTTGGGGGATGCGAGGGGTCACTGCCCTTCGCCGCTCGCCATCATCTCGCACATAGGCGAACTTGGAAACGCTACTGCTCTTCCGCCGCCCAAGCTTCTTCACCTTCAAACACGCGCGGTCGGCTCCTTGAACGAGCACTGCACTGTCAGGCCGTCCCGGTGCAGATATCGTGCGGACGCAGGTCAGCATTCCGAATGCCAGCCTCCTTACAACGTTTCTGCAGTTGTAGCACAGAACGTCTTGTACGGCATCGCGTCGACAGCTGTGGGGAGGGTCGCCGCGACCTCCGCGGTGGCGGTCGGCGGCAGAAGAGGGCTCACATCCTCTGTCTCGATTTCTATACCACCACACGTAATCGTGCAGGGGCTACACTGGCAACACCCAGCCTGGAGGAGCTGCTCGAGTAGGTCGACCGGGCAGCAAGGTCCGACGAACGCAGATACATACCGTCGTGCAGATGCTGAGCAGGTCTGAATGTATGAGCACATGCTGCAGGTCACCGAACCGTAACAAGCCCCAGAACGCCGGGACCGCTCCTGTTACGGCCATCCTTGTGAGAGGAGGTCCACGCCTTGGTGGATGTGATGCTCCACGAAATGTGTCATCTCCTCCTCCGGTGAAGCCACCCCCACATTTCGTTGCGTCGCGACTAGTGTTCTGCGGGCAACTTCCCGAGCTCTGGCACAAAGGTCCGTAGCATACGGAGATGGCCGACCTGCCCACTAACGCCAGGGGGCCAGAGCCGCACTGGCTCATTTGACTGAACAATAACACTAAAACGCAACGTCTTGCGTACCCGAACAACCCGAGCCTAAAAGACAAACTAAACACTTGAGCACACCGGGCACAACCCGAAACCGAATACTTGTACTCTTGTCACACTCAGAACCCAAACCCTGAACCGAACAGGACTCTCATTAACTACAAACAATTCACGACTTAAACCAGTGCCCAAACAAAGGAAGGTACCAACCACTCGCAAAACTCAAAACTCGAACCTAACTCAAGCGAATACACACGACGGCATGCGTGCACACACACACACACAAACCCTACATGCAGCGCCAGTTTGTCAAAAACTGCACTATCCGCGGCGCGTGCTCCGGCAACTTGGGACTGAACCAGGCGTTGCGATCCGACAGCGGTGATGAACGCAGTCGAGGTTGGGAGCCTCAGGAGGCCCTTGAGGCCCTTGAGGCCGGGGACGTCGTCGTACCGTTTCCAGGACGTGTTGCAACCACTGGCCGCGGACCACTGCACGAGGAACTTGACGGACGGGCGGCCACGCTTGTTGTACCCTAGGTGGACAGCTGTGACGACGGTGTCGGTGCTGTCATACGGAGATTCCAGCGCAGTTGGTGCTGCGGCGGTCGGGGAAGAGTGCTGGATTGTTGTCACTGCACGAAAGGAGGCAGCTGATATGGAAGACGGGGTGGATGCGGCCGATGGAGGGTGGGAGGTTGCGGCCGGATGCTACGGGTGAGATGACCGCGGAGATGAGGAAGGGAGCTAGGTAGCGGGGACGGAGTCCGGGGGAGGGGGAGGTTGGGCGGGTGAGGTGTTCGGTGGAGAGGAGGACAGGTGAGGGTTCGGCGATGCTGAGGTGAAGATGAGGGTTCGGCGGCAGCGCCGTGGGTTTTGGCTGCTTCAATTTCCCGGCTGATGGTCAAGGTGTAGATGTCGCGCATGCATTGATGGAGATCTGAAGCGTTGGGGATGGCAGAAGACGGCGAGGCTTGAGGGCCGTGGAGGATGGTTGCCCTGAGGGGTGTGAGCGGATGGCAGACATGATGAGCGTAGAATGGCGTCATGCCTGTGCTTAGAGTTACAAGTTACGAGTTACGGGTGCCGCACGAGTGCGGGGGCGTCCGTCATAGCCGGGAGGCCATGGACTATATATATTGATAGTGCTTAGATGGGTGGCATTGTTGTACGCAGCTTCTGCGATAGGAAGGTAGGCCGCCCAGTAGGTTGCCCTGCATGGGTTGAATGAAAACACGCAGAATCTGCTCAATTTGCTACGATGCGTTCGTTCGGCCTAATGACCGTCGGTTTGGGGGTGGTGGGCCTTGAGATGATATGTTGCGGGATGCGCCGAAGTGCGCCCAGAAGGTGCACCAGACGTCGGCAATTAAGTGAGAATCTCGGTCGGAGGCGAGGGTAGTCGGAAGGCCGTGAAGACGGTAGACGCAGGTGAGGAGAAGCAGGGTGTCGCGGTGTCGCGGGCAGTGGTGTTTTCGTGTGAGAATGGCGGTGTAGGTGCGGCCGTCCGGGCCTTTGGAGGGCGGCAGGCCGGTGGTGAAATCCAGGTGGACATGTGAGTCCACGGATGGGTGGGCACAGGCAGGGGTGGAGGAGGCCAAAAGGGGGGCCTGGGTGGTTGGCTTGGTGTGCTGGCAGGTGGGACATGACTTGATGTAGGCTTTGACGGTGCGGGCCATGTAAGGCCACTGACCAGTAGCGGGTGGATATCGCGGCGTGACCGAAACCTGGGTGACCGGAATAGGCGTCGTCGTGGAATTCATGGAATAGGCAGCAACGTAGAGAAGGGACGTGGGAAATGGTTATGCGGTTGGCGAAATAGAACAAACCGTCCGGGAAGCGTCTTAGGTATGGTTTGGTGGTGGTAGGATCGGTGTATAAGGGGTCGGCGGCGGCGTATCTGAAACAGTTGTCGGCGGCGAGGCTGGGATCGTGGGCGGTGAGGGTGAAACAGACATGGTGAAGGGCATGGGTTTGGCTGTGGTTCGACGCGTGCGACGGTGGAGGGCTCAAGAGGAACGGATGACGGGGCGGCGATGGAGGATAGGGTTTCTGATGGCGCAGCGGTAGCCGAGGGCGTGGGGGGATTAGTGACAGAGGACTCGGGACCGGGGGCGGGGTTGACAGGGACTCGGGAGACGGTGTCGGCCTTGTTTTGCGGACCGGGACGGTAGGTGATGTTGGCGTAGCCTTGGAAGGTGGCGAGGAGCTGGACCCAACAAGCTGGGCGACGGGGGAGGTCCTCCTGTGTGAGGAGGCGCTGGAAGGTGCCGTTCAGATTGGAATCGGTCTGGTCTGGTTGACACTACTGTCTTATACAATTTGATGTCCTGGATTCGATTCCTGGGGAGATCCCAGACATTGTCGGGAGCGTGAGATTATGGCTAGCTGCCGAGATGTGGAGTTGGGATCACAGTTGATGGATCGAGATTCGCACGCTGGATTGGTGGCGATTGCTGAACCCTCTGTCTCTGCGGATGTTCGTTGGATGACGAGGGATCCTTGAAGGCAGGATCAACCGCCTTGGACTTCCAGTTCGTTTGGCGTAGTACAGTGTGGTAATGGTGCTGGATGGTGCGGTATGGTGTGACAAATCGTAGAAATGACAATGTGTTCAAGTGGCCCAGAAGCCTCCCACTCTGTAACAGTTCAAATTCAAAAGATGAATCGGTGCAGAGCATGAAGTGGCAGCCTTTAAGGTAACACCGAAACTTGCGCACTGAATGTACGGCAACAAACATTTCCAGCTCGTGGATGGGGTGGTGGGCCTTGTGACAGCCGAGCTTGCGAGACTCGAACCCCCCGGGGTGGAGGGCGCATGGCGCTCCTGAATACCCACAGCGCCAACAATGCCGAGGATGGAGGCGTCGTTGTAGAGGGCGAAGTTAGCGTTAGGCTCAGTGTCCGGGAAGACAGTGCCAGGGGCAAGACTTCAGGGCGTCTAGGGGAGAGTTGAAGGCGGTGGTGGCGTCCGGCGGCAACGTTTTCGGGACTGGTTGTGTGGTTTTGGTTAAGGTGATGAGGGGTTTGGCGATTCGGGCGTAGTCCTCGGTGAACCCTGTGCAGCCATGGCAGGCGCGGGCGCATGAGTGACGGTGGCAGGGATGGGAAGGTTGGCGAGGGCGGCAAGTTTGTCCGGGTCGGCGGTGATGCCACCGCGTGAAACGATGAAGCCGCAGAACTTGGTGTATGGTTGTACAAAGGAACACTTGGAGAGGCGGACGAGTAGCTGGTTGACCTGGAGGGTGCGGAGGACGACTTCCACGACATCATGGCAATGGCCTTTGAACGTGCGCAAGTAGATGAGGACATCGTCGAGATACACGACCGCACATCTGTTGCGGATGGAAAGAGGACATCGCTCATCATGGACATGAAGGTATCGGGGGGGCCCCCCGCCGGTGAGTCCGAAGTTGGTTGAACAAGCCATTCGTACAAGCCGTATTTGCATCGAAACGCGATTTTGTGCACGTCCGGTCCATGCACTCGTACTTGATGGTCAACGACCAGAGATCTGCTTGGAAAAGTAGGTTGCATGGTGCAACTGGTCTCGGAGTTCATTTACGCGGGACAGATGGTACGCAACGCATGGATAGATAACTGCTAAAAGCACGCATCCTTTACGGTGAGCTGACTGTAAGACGCGAGGAAATCCACACCGAGGTGCAGACCGTTGCCGTCAGCTTGCAAGCAAACAGAACGAGTGCGCCAAAAGGTGAGATAGGACGAATAGGACGAATAGGTCGTCAACTAACTAACAAACATTACCAATTATGCCATAAATTTCAAAAAATTTATAAATCACGTGCATGCAGTGCGACAACTTGGACAAAACCTGCAACGAACGTCACAGTGCACCGGCAGCCACGAACAAAAGTGGACCAGAACCACTGCGCCCCAAACCGATGCGCTAATAGCCGCATGCAAAGATGCGATACAAACAAACCTTATGAATAAGCGCACGGCCCCAGGCCGTACAGGTACGCATACATACATACACACACACCGTCTAGAGCTTCGCCATGGGGGCTTTCTTCAGCATCCAGCAAGAGTGCCACAAGCGATTTATTAGGAAGGCATATGGAGGCAACCTTCCGCTGGGCAGCAGCCCCTGGCCAGTGTCAGGCCCCGGTCACATACTTTGTAACCCTCACTCTCTCTCACACACTCGCGCTTACACACACACACACTCTCTCTCTCACACACACATTTTCCCACGCACTCGCTCTCACACACACATTCTCTCTCACACACCCGGGTGCCCCCCGAGGTAAAACCCGGTCGCAAAACCAAGCGACCGCGCATCACTAAGGACCGCAAGATGATCGCATCCCGAACTGAGGGGCCGCGAACGGCACGAACGCTGTAACTGGTCGCCTGCAGAAAGGACACAGCAACGGCTTCCTGTTGCTATTGGACAGCAGCCCGGCACATAGCTGCTCTGCGCAGGCGCTGCACAACCCGTGACCGCAGGTCGCCGGCATCAACACAACTGGCGCCTCAAAGCACAGACCGCACAACACCGTATCACCATCCTGGTCGTTCTCTAGGTCGTCATCCCACGCCGAATTCCGTACCGGCCGAAACTCTTGGCTGCTCTGCCGCCCGCCATTCCCCCCGCTGCCCCCCTCACCGCCACCACCGCCGCCGCCACCGCAACCGCCACCACCGCTGCTGCTGCCGCTGCCGCAACATCCACTGCTGCCCCGGCGCCCGTCGGGCAGTGGGGCGCTAAGCCCCAGCGAGCACGGCAAGGGCTTGGGCCGCGTTGTACGAGCGGTCTCCCGCGCACCCACATGCAGTAACTGGATTCCAGCCGGAGACTCGGCCGGCGCGGAGGTGCAGCCGGTGCAGCCGCCGCCGCTGCAGGCAGCGGCTGTAGGGGGCTTGTGCATGGCGGCTGCGGCCGCCGTCACCACCACCACCGCCGCCGCCGCCGCCGCCGCGCGCACGTCTGCTTGCAGCTTGATCCTCAGGACGTCTGCGGCGAGAGCTGCCAGGGCGGGCGGCCCGAGGTCCAGTCCCGGGCCCCCTGCTTGTATCCCGGCGCGAAGGGCCTCGCGGACGGGCTGGTTGGGTCGTAGCAGCGCAGACAGGGCCACGTCGGCGGGGTGCACCATCATCAGCACCTGCCACCACACAAGTAAGGGCGTGCGTATATACAGCTTTTGTGACGGTGCACACCGCCCGGGGAAGAAAGAGGCCACTGACAAAGGTATGCGGAGTGGCTCGGTGGGCCCCCGGGGTCCTGTACGACATCCCAGGTGTACGGCACCCTAGGACACATCATCCTCCCATCTTCGCCCAGCGACAGGGAGGAACGTCGTTGAGAGGAGGCTCTACCACCTTCGCCAACGGGTAGCTAAGTGGGGCGGAGTGCTGCAGATCGGGCTCCGGAGCGATCTGAAGTCCGGCCTTTCCCCGCCACCCCCGCGCCGTGTTACGTGGGAGAGAACCAAGGCCCCAGATTATAAGGCCCCATCAGCCCTGACGCGGCTGGAAGGCAGTCCAGGGAGGGGGAATCTGCGGGGACTGTGGAGGAGGGGGAGGCTCCTAGCTGGCTCTTACCCACCCACCTGGTGCGGTGTCTGCCCGGCGGCGTCCAGGTGTGTGCGGGGGTCCTCCAGGGAGGGCTCGTCAATCACCCGGCGATCCTGCGGTCATTGCAAACAAGACAGAAACCTTGTCGTACAATGGCAACAGCACCAGGCAACGAGCAGATGCCAAGGTACAATTTACAGGGCACGTCGTACAACAACAGCACCACTACCCCCGCCTCACTTTGCGCCGCCTCCCCCCAAGCCCGGTATATGGCTGCATCGAGCGAGCCGTCCACGTGAATGGGGTCCCCGCCGCCCGCCATCATGGTGCTCCCCCCCTAATCCCCCCTCAACCCCGCCTCTACACATTAAATGTATACATACATACATACATACATACATACATACATACATACATACATACATACATACATCCCTTTTCTTTATAAGGCTACTTCTCCCCTGGACCAGCCCAGGAAGGGACAGGTGGTGGAGGTCAGTTGTTTTAAGGTGGTTGCAAGACGTCTTGTGGTGTCGAGCTCTCTTAGCCTTTCTCTCTTGGAGGTTTTTTTGTTGGCCTGTTAGGTATATCAGGAGCCCTCCCCTGCCGGGACTGCCCTAACCGAATTTTTGTTTGTTTGTTTGTTTTCCCTTCGAATCCCGTTTTCGTTGGTGGTGTTTTGGGGGGTTGTTTCAGAGAGCCTTTGACTTTGCCCTAGCTGAGACTTGTGGACTCGCTCTAGCGGGACCTGAGAGCCCTTCGTGGTGTATTCAATGCAGCGCCATCCCCGGATGGAGGGGCTGCGGAGTGGCTGCGTAGAGTGTTGGCAGTCTGAGTCGGGGTCGGGAGCACACAAGACTAACCGACTTGTGCTGTGTGCTCCCGACCCTTGCGCTGTGTTTCGGCTTCGGCCCCCGGCTCTCGCAGCCCACAGTGTAATCTAAGTCATACATACATACATACATACATACATACATACATACATACATACATACATACATACATACATACATATGGGTATATGGATGTACACACACGCCCTAATTCTCATACTCTGCTGACGCCCTTCCTACATAGGAGCGCAGTAGCTCCACCGCCGCCGCAAGGTTGCCCCGAACTGCAGCAAAATGAAGTGGTGTGGACCCGGACGCCACAAGACACAGCTCGTCAAAGCTCTCGCTGCTGGTGGCCGCAATCATGTCAAGATGATGGTCGTACAGCAGCACCCGCAACGCCTCAACGTTCCCCGCGTGGGCGCTGTAGTGCAGCGCCGACAGACCGCAGTTTGACCGCGCGTCCGTGTACCTGCGGTGAAACAGACCCCCCCGGCGGCACCTTCAGTCGTGACGGGGATCCGCTGCTAAGCGGTTATACACCGGATCGAGTGCCGTACGGTGGCAACGCGGACCCGCTGCAAACGCTTTGAGGGACTGGCGGCCGGGTAAGGTGGAGGATGAAGATGCCCCGTCTGCCTGTGTGTGATGTGATGTGTGATGTGTGTAAGTGAGTGTTTCGTCTTTCCCAGACCGACGACATCGTCCGGTTGGAAAACGACGAGAGCTATTTCTCCGAGGCTTCCATGATTTTCAACATCCATGTATGAGGGGGAGAGAGAGTGTGTGTGTGTATATGCATTTGCACCTGCACGAGCCCCATGTTGGCGGTGGGGAGCAGGGGAAAGGGACATACGACAGCGGGCAAGTGGAGCGGTGGAAGGACTGGCCATGCCCCACAGCGCTTTTGGGGTGTGTGTGTACCTGCAGCCCTCCCGAACGAGCATTTCGGCCGGGATGCCCCGCAGCAGCGCCACCAGGGCGGCGGAGCCGCGGCCCATCGCCGCGTAGTGGAGGGCGGTGCGGCCGTCGTGGAGGTCGCAGGCCCATGGGTCGGCACCCTGCAATCAGCGCACAGCGCACAAACGCCTTTCACGCAGAGAATAACGTTAATAGTTGCTTGACAGCTTTCTTTGAGGAGCTTTGGGCGTATGCAGGGACTGGTAAGGCTGCCAATCTGAGGGCCAGCGAAGCAATGAGCCGCGCGCCATCGTCGAGTGTAGCGGAACGGACAATGAGGCCCTCAGCAGTTGTCAAGCTGTGCATCCCATAGCAGGGCAAGACAGGTCGTAGATGAGCCACTGCACACATACACACACACACAGTCATGCCGTGTGCAGTAGGGTGTGGCTCCACTGAAACGCGGTACCGTATCTTGGCGGCAAAGAATCAGACCGGAATTGTCATCGGATTGAGTTCGCGGACCAATCGCACCACTTCCATATGGGAGGTATGTCGACCAGACAGGGTTCGAGCTGCCGCTCACGTCCCCCCTGTACCGCCCTTATTGCCCGCTGTTGTCCCTGGTCCCTAGGGGCGGGCGCGAAGCAGCCGCGGCGGTAATTCCTTCCACCCGCCCACAGCAGCTGTCCTTCCCCCAAGAGCCCTGTATTGAGGCCGGGGTATATGGGCACCCACCAGACGGCGGGGACTGAGTCGGGGCTGTCGGGACCCTACCTACCTTGGATAGCAGCACCTGAACCAGCTCCGGCGAGTCTGAGAAGCAAGCATACATGAGGGGTGTTTGACCTGCAAACAGGTTTTACAGTCATAACAGGCGTTTCTTTGCGGTCAGGTCATGGCGAGTTGGCAGCTTGGTATGGCATCGCACATATGCACGACCCAACACACACACACACACATGCACATGCTTAGTAGGGAGCAGAGGCCCCTCGCGGCCCTCTCCCATCCGCGGGAGAGAGCTTAGGCGGGCTTTCCGTTGGGGCTGGGCAGCAGCCCCTGGCCAGTGTCAGGCCCGGTCAGATACGTGTAACCTTCACACACTCTCTCTCACACACACACACACAGGTGCGCGCACACACACACAGATAAAGACACACAGACAGACACACACACACATACACACACAGAGGCACAGACACACAGACAGACACACACACACATACACACACAGAGACACAGACACACAGACAGACAGACACACAGACGAGGTCGGCGGAGGTGGCCTGCTGGAGGCACTCAGGCCGGCAGCACCACAGGCGGCTACTACAGGCATAATCAACCGTTCATATGGTGCAATCCATGGAACAGGAGCGCAAGGCCCAAGGTCCGTAGCACCAAGCATGCGCAGTACCATCAGGTGGTAGATTATTATGATATTATAATATCAGCAAACTAGGATATTACAAGGTGCACTTCCCACATCAATAGCACTTTGTCAGTCAATTAAATCAATCTGTGCGGGCGCCCCTGTAACGGCAATACGGCAGTGCCAAAGGACAGAATGGCGACCCACGCGGTACCTTTCGAATTCACCATCTGGACGGCCATTTGCACTCCTCCCTCCACCGAGCACGGCAGCTGTGCGCCAGTACGGCGACAGTACGGCTTCAAAGCCGCCTGTACGGTCGACAATGTGGACGAGGCTAGGAAAGACAGCATCTCCCGGACGACCTGCCACCGCCCGCAATCGCGGAGACATCGCAACGCGATGCCGATTGCCGAAGCACCCCGGCGTTGCACTGATTCAGAAAGCGCTGCCAGAGCTGGCATTTATCTATCCGAGGTGACCTCTCCTTCTCCTAGATTGCTCAGCCCTTTTTTCCCAACCATGTTTGTGCGGACATTAACATAGATCACAGGCTACCGGAGATGTTCCACATCCAGGAGCGACCCCAGGAGGACCACGCGGCGGAGGACGAGTGCGGGACGAGTGACTTACCGGTGTCCGCTTCCGTTCGCATGCCACATGCAGCGGTGTAACCGCTTCAGACGAGAATAGCGACACAGGGCTGCTCAGCAGCTTGGGGCAGGACGACAGGCGGCGAAGGGCGCCCTCCTCATCGCCCTCCTTGACCGACTTCCTCAGGTCGGCAACCGCCGGCACCAGGCATGAAGCGGTGCAACCCATGACTGATAGCCGCTTGAGAGCTCCTGCAAGGCCAGGCACACGGCAATTCGATCTTATTGTATTCATAATTCTGGGACAAGGGTATGCAAGTGACTGATCAGCGGCACAAGGGCGCATGTGCTACGACGGGTGTACTGTGTGCTAAACCTAACACTCTTAACAACTGATCATCCTTTAGACGATCTCGGCGCGCGACGCATCTTGGAAGAAAGATTGGTTGGATTGTTTTGACATCTGAAAGAGACTTTCAGGAAAATCGTGCCTCTGTATATCTAGCTCGTTCCTGCTAGCTTAGCGTTTTTGATGCTCCACGATGAGAGTTAACGGCCTTTCCGGCCGACCCTGAAACGTGCAATGCACGCAAAAAATACCTCTTGGTTCGCCTGGCTCGGCTCACTGCGCAGGCGCTGTAGGTGAGCGGGCGACAGATGGGGCGGAGATTCCTCCTGGCCTTCAGAAGATGAAATACACTGCGTCACAATTTATTTTCACTGCTCGGGCATCTTTCAAAATGGTGGACCAGGGCGAAAAGGCGTACGCCTGACCGCGACCCCTAAAGCTCCGACGTTTCAGATTATTACGCTAGAACTTGTTGCATTTTAAGTAACAGGTAGATTTTCCTTAAAAACTTTAGTGTAAGACTGTAAAAGTCCGTGTTTGAGACACGGAGAGTCTGACTGCCTAAGACTAGTTGTTGGTTAAAACGAAAAAGCGAAACCGCTTTCATTAGGCAGAAGCAGGGAGATCAAACAAAACTGCGAACAGAAATAAAATTTCTATTAGAATAATTTACATTATGTTGACATACAAGCGGAATGGCTCGGCCTGTTCGTGCATAGCGTATTGTAGCAGCTGTGAGGTTTCGACCCAAAGGCATTGCCCAATATGCTGAATATGAAATCCTTTTCACGTCACATACAATTAGCTGAGAATGCCATGATGTGCTGCCCGTAGTTGGGAGGTCGCTTACTAACGGAAAGAGCAATAAGGCAACGGAGGTCAAAATGCAGCTGAAACACCATTCCATAATACATGTCGATAAAATGGCGCCTTAAATCCTCCATGATCCACAAAGTTCTCTACAATGTGCTCCCTTACGCCAATGCAGTTCTTTCCTGGTCGGACTGCGTGTCCGGCGCCTGTCCGCTGCAATGTGCAGGGCATGAAGCACATTAGAACTCTGAAGTGGAGTACAGATCGTGCACTCTTCTCTGAAAGCGCCTGGCCATGTCAAGCGCGGGCGAACTCGCCGTAATAGCGGCCCACGTGGATCGAGCGCATGGCTGTTGGACGACATCACCTGGGATCGCGCTTGGCTTCGGGAAGATAGCTTGTTCAGGGCAAGGAAGCTCGAGCAAGGTACAATAGGTACTATGGTAAGGGTTTTTGCTGTTAGTGCGGGAAGTTTAATTACACAGGTGAAGGTGTGTTTGAGAGCTGTGCAGCTTGGCAGATGCAGCTTGGCAGGTTTCGGTGCCTGTTTGGCTAGGCCTGCGGTTGACGCCACGATCCTAAATATCGGTGCCAGCACTGCCCTGGACGGGGAGAGAGCGCCAACCTTTTGAGCGCCAACCTATTCGATGACCTGCTTTGCTTTTGGCGACGGCAAACTGTTGCGTCCCTAGTTTCAGCGCGGAAGGCATCCTTGGGCAATATTCAGCGTCGTCATGGCGTCCCTTGTCCCTCATTTTCCGGGCTGTTGAGCACCAACATATGGCCCCATAAGATTGTACCCATGGACCTATATGACTGTTTCAACGGGGCAGAGGAAGGACATGGGCAGGCAGTGGCGCTCACCAGACCTCATACGTCTGCACCGCCACCACCTGGTACGGCACATGCGGAAACATTATCGGTATGTCCACATGCAGCAGCTGTTAGGTTTTCTCGTTTGTTGTTAAGTCGTTAACTTTACTCGTGGACAATCATTTGGATTATGGATAATGTACGACCTTCCGGCGCCGCCTAGGCTCTGGATAACTATTTAAGTCGTTGTGTTGCTTAGATTGTTATGTCATCGTTATTGCATCTTGTGCTGGATTAGCAGGCTTACGGGCATCAAACTGTTGCCTGTATAAGCACGGTGGTGAAAGCCAGTCGGCCTGATTACCCGGCGGTGCAGCGCAAGCCGGTAAATGGCACTGTAGTCAGAGGCCTTCTTGAAATAGGTAAAAGCAATTCTGACGCACGTAAACTGCTCTTTTACTGCCATAGATTCCATTTGGCTCCGTACATTCTCCCACAGCTTCCGCACATTCGGTTCCGAAGCCGCTCCATGAAACCAATAGGTCCGATGATCATCTGAACTGCAATCTATGTTCTTATCATCCCATCCATTTGCCTTGCACACCTCACGTGTCCCTCATATGTTTACTTATGGTAAGGACTTCCGCTCAAGACGCCTGATTGGCGCGATGTCCCTGTCATTTCCTCCAAAACCTAGTGGGATCCATCGAGGAGGTATGACAGGTCTATCCAGCAGATAAGAATATCTGTTGATACAAAACTGTTTCTCTGTTAGACGCGGGCCGAGGCGCTCGCCGATGCGGCAGAACTGCACACGAAACGCCGGAAGTGAGCACCGATAGGTGGATCTCAAAATCAACGAGAAAATAGCCATAGCCAAAATCAGTGAGACGTGGAGACAAATTTTTTTAGTCTTCGGCCTGTGGGCGACGCAACCGGCATTTCGTGAGGTGATGATCAGCTGCACACCACATGGTGAGGCACAGGTCGTGGAGGTCCGCGGCGACTGCAGGAATCGCAGCCAGATGGACGAAGGCGGCGGCAAATGTAGGGGCATGGCAGGAAGGCAGCTGGTGCAGAGAACACGAGAGTTACAGAAGGCGGGGCGGGACTCGAGTGAGCAAGCGGTGGCTCATGCCACGACAATGGCTGTAGACCGATGCTGATGCGGTGCAGTGCAATCCATGTCACCCTGTACGATTGCACGGGGGTCTAACCAGAGGGGGGAACGCAATAAGATGAACCGTACACTATTGCCCTGAAAAGAAAGTTACTCTGGTGCGATCTGTACGATCCTGCTGGGTAGGAAGGGTAGGAATTCCTAGATTACCCGTGGATGTGTTTTCATGACGACGGCTTGCATAGAATTGGTTGCAGAGACGTTGAAGCGGAATGGAGTCCGCCTACAAGGGGTATTCCTAACGAAATCGCTTGTATCCGAGCATAGGGTTGGATACCGGACCTCACGTTCCCAAAGGTTTCCAAGCCAAGCATAAAATATGGCGCCCATACTCCAGCAGCTAGTAGTCCAGCAGCCAGTAGCAACGGGTTACAAAAGGCCCGCCTGCGGCAACCCTGCACACGGATTTAGCAGCGGCGACAGGCTCGGCGGCGACACCTCATTCAGGACCCCTGAAGCCTCACCAGTTGGGGAGCGCAGTCCTCTGTAAAGATGAGCACTGGAAGTGGGTCGCAGAGACACATTAACCCTGACTATGATGGACGGGGCCGCGGCGGCGGTTGCAACGTGCTACCCAGGTGGGGCGAGGCGCGCTCCTCCGCGGCACTTCCCAAAGCCCCAGCAGAGCACTCTCCGGATGGGTACGAGCCCGGACCGCCCGGACCGAGTGGAGCTGCAACATCCCGCCTGCCAAGGTAAGGAACTTTCCTAGGGGCTACTCCATGCAGCGCCGGACACCACCAGTTGCGGACAGGACCTGTCAGCCGTCCTCTCGGTAACATGTAAAAACGAGTAGTGGCTCGAGAGATGCGGGGAATGGGGAAGCACCCGGAGGAACCGAATTCTTACTCTCTCTGCCACATGTACACTGTACACATGTGCTCACGTCTGTGTCCCTGGCGGAGGAGCTGCTTGCGTGTCTGGCGTGTCTGGCTGGGTACTGTGTCTCCATGGTACGGTACTTGTCGTACATGGGAAGCAGTTGATGCGGGCCCCCCGGCATTAGCGGAGCAGTTTTGCGTATTCAAGAGGGAACGGGAACTTGAACGTTCAAGGTGCATCTTGGAAGGTACAGTACGGACTTGCAGGTACGGTACACGATGTACAACTTGCGGGATGCCGTACTGTGCCGTGCAGACACGCGGTCATGTGCCATGGCGGTTCGGGTAGCAGACCCAGACCCCTCCCCTTGCTTGTCGGCCAGAGGAACATCATGCGGCCAGGTGGGCACTTGTAACGGTTCGGATGCAGGTACGGTACGGTGCGGTACGGTACACGAAAGGAACTCAAAGCCGGGCACTGCACGGCAAACACCGGAACGTGGCGCGGCGGCTTCATCTCCGACACGGCGGCCTGCTGCCGCCTCCGAGAGGTGAAAGAAAGCACGGGGTCCTGCGCCATTGCGTCCTCCGCTGACTCACTACACAGACAACAAAAATAACAACAGCCACCGCCAGCAGATGGAACGCCGAGCGGCCCGCCAGCCACTGGCATTCGGGATCAGGCGCCCAGGGCCCAGGGCCTAGGGCCGTCCCGACATACAGCAGGCGCAGGCTTCACCTCATGCACCAACTCCAAACTCACCCACGCCCGGCAGCAGCAGCAGCAGCAGCAAAACCAGAGCTTCCCATGCATCCAAAATACGTACGTCAGTAACACAGGCTGACAGGCATACAGGCTGCTGCCGCCACATCACGTTGCACCCCAAGTGTGCTTTGCTCAGCTGTACGATAATAGACCAACCGGCAGCAGGCGGGTGGCGGTGGCAGGGTGCTTGCTATTCGGAAGCCATCGAGGGGTCTCTCTCAGCGGGGGTTCCTGGCAATCTCGACCAGCAGACGACGGCCGTTCCAGTCGCGGCCGTTCATGTCCCGCACGGCCTGACGGGGACGAAATTGAGGGTGGAAAGTGAGTTTCGGCAGACAGTTTGGGTACTAATGGGAAAAGGAGCGGAAACGGCTAAAAGAAGGCGCAATAGGACTCAACCGTCCTGAACAGAATACATACACTCCCAAACGTAAACGGCGCAGAAGGAAAACGAAGTGCCGTGTGGAAAGCTTAGGATCAGTACCCCTCCAGCCGGACCCCAACACCCCGGCCCCTGGCCCCGCAGACGGGCGCACGGGTCGGCCGTCACTCACGTCCTCCGCATCCGCCTCCGAGCTCATCACAACGAACGCAAAGCCCCTTGACTCCCCCGACATGGGGTGACGGACCACCCGAGCCTCCCGCACTCGTCCATAGCGAGAAAACTTGCGTTCTAGATCCTACAGTGGCCAACACATGGGGACGATGAGCGTGGCATGCGGTGAGTTAAAGTGTGTCTTAAGATGTTTCCAAGCAAGGCTCGTTACCATCCCCCCTTCGGGCCATGCCGCATGAGGGGCACCACGCATGACAAAACGCAGCCCAGCGCCTATCCCGATGACGCTGCTCGCCGCCGCACTCCACCCAACCCGACCCCTCTCCGACCCAGCCGCTACTCGCATAGCCCCCCCTCTCCCATAGCTCCCCCTCTTTTGGCGCCTCCGCTGGACCCAGTGACGTCCTTTTCCCCCAGTCGTTTCTACCTGCTCATTGCAGATGAAGTTGATCCCCGCCACGAAAAGCTGTGTGCCCACACGGGGTGGTGTCCGGCCGGCTGGAGGTAGGCCGTAACGCGCACTGGGGGACCGAGACCTGCACCAAATTATGCAATAGAAATGGTGATCGGGAAGGGGCAAACGAACCGGGGAGAGGACGGAAATTAGCAGGGAAGAAGGCACGTCGGTGAGAAGGATGCACTGCTGAAATGGTGGGGCCCGCGGAGAAGGGGCATTGGGGGAAGGCGAGGCACGAACTGGGAATTGGGGGCATGGCCGAGCCCGAACTTAGTGTGTGCGCGTGTGTTCTCCGCTGGTGGCGCATGATGGGTCCACTCCGACCTGCGAGCCTTCTGAGTTTGTAGCGTGCAGCACTGGTCTTAGTTTGCTGTTGCCTGCCAATTATTTTATGTTAGCAATAGGCAGATTGTCTGCTCCGGGCTGTCTGACAACAAACAGTACATGAACAGGGGCAGTGCTTGTGACAATCATGTAAGGGCAGGAGAGGGCATGGGCAGTCCTGCCGGTCCTGCAACTGCGCCTGGAACCCTGACCCACCTGCCCCGCCGGTCCCGTGACCTTGACTTGGAGCGTCGCCGGTCCCTGCAATGGAAAGCCATGCGAACTTGTATAAGGTTGGCATTACGAAAGGGTCACCCTGAATGCCAGATGTCCAAACCTGCTGCGTGACCGACTGCGCCTTCTGGTGTCGCGATCCCGGCTGCGACTGCGAACTGGACTCCGTCGCCGTGTGTCACGTTCCCGGCTGCGAGACCGCCGCGGTGGGGAGCGGGAGCGCGCATCTCGCCGCACAGGTGACCTGCTCCGGCTGCGCTTCGGAGAACGCCGCGGCGATCGACGAGGTGAACGTCTTGGAGATGCAGAGCGGCTACGCGCCGTCCGAGTCTCCTGTGCACGTAAAAGGGCGCGAGTACGAAGGCCAGAGCGTGAGCCGCTTTGGTGCTAAGACAGGCGCAAGAAGCTCAATTTCAATAGCTCGCTCTCACTATTAACAAACTGCCATATATCTAGGAATATTAATTTTAACGTGAGCAGAGCTTCGCACCTCCCGATCCCGCTCACGCCGACTATTTTCACGGTCTCTGTCGGGAGAGGTCATCCTCGCATAAGAATACTATATATATTGTATAAAGATGGTGTTCAGAAGTGGCGCATCATGCATAAGTTTGTAGGAATGCAGCGTACGACGTATGTACCTCCGTTACTCCCGAAGTCCCCTGATTTTCGTAGCCCATCCAAGACCGCCAACCCTATGCCTTGGCAACAGATCGCTATTATCTCCGCATTCATTTGATGCTAAGTACATTTGCACCCGTCCATGGGTTATTTACCCCATCCTAACCATAAGCAGGCGCGTTGGCCTCGAGAGCAGAAACCGGGGAGGGTCCAACCGTGTTTGGCGGTGATTGGCAGTCCACGGGCCAGCTCTTTCGTATACGTATCTAGGTACCTGCAGGATCTGCAGGATGAGGTCACTCTTTTCTTTGCAGCTAGCGTACCGTTAGCGCTCGGACGGTGGGGTGAAGGGCTCGAAGAAACGGTATACACAGGGAGCCCCAGCACTCCCCATCGCGCTCAACAATTGACGCAACCCGTTGCCCAATCTGTGCTCCATTCGCAGAGGCGTATGTTTTGGCGGAGATGCTGACAGGATGCTTGAACTACCGCAGCCGTGGAGTCGTACTATCCTGCTTAACACGGTAGGGCCTCGGCCTATGCTAGGGTGTGACCACGTTGTGCAGTATCCTGAGCCGAAAAAGCCGGATTTGTGAAGAATACTGAGGTATGTGATGGATTTGGTTCGCGGCCGCATCCCTTACAGTTCTGCACGCCACCAACTGGGGCTGAGGCAGCGTTGCCCAGGATGACACCCGCTAAGTGGAATGGATACAATATCCTTCGTAACGCGGAACACAGAGGGTAAGCATGGGAGATCAGGGAGGAACAGCGTCGTATCTTTGTCACTTGTTCGCACGTTGTCGTCTGCGAACGGCGTGACAGTTGCTGTATGTTACAGCAGTGGCCTGGGGCGGTTGAGCCATGCCATGCCCATGACAATAGTGACAGAATTTGTAATCCTCGGGCCATAAGACGACAAAATGTAAGTGTAACCTGCTGTATTCCCAATCCAGAGGCAAAGGTGCCGAAGGAACGTTTTAGTTAGTTCATACGAAGCAGCAGTAATTGCCTTTATATTTAAGCCGTTCATACTTATGATATGCAAGACATCCATTTGCGACCGCATGATGTGGGTGCACGCATATCCGACCCAGTTAGCCGCTGGCCTGCTTCCATACAACCAGTGTGACGAACGTCACTCTTCTCACAGAATTTCTTTTACAGAAGTGTATGGTTTCTTACTTTTTAAACAAAAGCAGTGTTTCTACAGTCCCAACCAAGGTGCGGCTCGTGCAACTGCAAGCATCACGTACGGCAGTTTGGCCGCGTCCCGGTACTTGGAGTGAGAGACGTGTGAGATACCGTTGCATCACTGCCGTTTCACGATCCTAGTCGTAGTGTCTTTCCGAACTCTGAGCTGGCTTTCAGGTTGCTTCGCACATTCTGTGCAAGAATCGAGAACCTGAGCTCAATGCGGTTTGCCAAACTCCTGGATCGTCATCGCTCTTTTATTGGCTGACTATTCACCGCTGACAGCCGTTGTAGTTGCAATCGGCGAGCGGCGCGCCTAAATCATTCCCGATTTTGAAGGCTAAGGCAAGGACAAAGCGTAACAAATTTGTAATCATTGCAAATGTAACTTACGGAAGCGGAGGCGTCATGGCAGTTCCTTGTGCAAGGAACACGCACATAGAGACTAGGCTTGCCCACCTTCTTGCTTTCGACAGACATCTTCCCAAGGACGTCACGAGGACCTGTCCCACATTTATGCGGGACACAAAGGCAATTATAATGGAAGAGGACTACGAACTCGGACCCGATGCAGACGAAGGCAGGCCTTGCGGGAACGAAAAGCCCCTAAGCAGCCGATACCGTGGAGTGTGCTGGAACCGCAAGGCAAGCGTTGGACACGCGACTACATCTCGCCCCCTTTGCTCGGCACTTAACCGTTGTCTAGCTCACCGTTGACTCTTATCCGCGTCCCCTTTTGCAGAATCGGCGTTGGCAAGCTGCCATCAACTCGGGCGGAAAATATGTTTACCTGGTAAGCGGCCTAGCTGCCTCCCCCACATATCTGTCGGCAACCTGTGCAGGGGGCCGTACATGGCCTCCCGTGCCATCCTCCGTACTCTTTGCTTTGGATGACTGGGGGTTTCGCTTGCGCGCAAATTGCAATCCAAAATCCGCCTTTCGGGTGCACTTGTTGGTTGACCCACCATCACAGGGATCCTTCATTTCCGAGCAGGATGCGGCTCGTGCCTTTGACAAGGCGGCCGTCAAGCTGCGTGGCACGCGAGGTGCGGTGCGCCGGTGGTGGTGGCGGTGGTGGCGGGAGCCGCACCCGCTTGCGTGTGATATAGGGGGGATTTGGCGGGCAGGGTTCGGGGGGTGCAGGGCCTAGTGCGCCAGGAATGATGACGACGGCGCTGTTGTTTACGAACCAGCAATGCCCAGGATGATGAAGCTAATTACGAAGATGATGATGAATCGCGTTTTCTCCCCCCCACCACACACACACACACACGCCCTCTCTGACCGCCGGGTCCCCGGCATCCGTTAACTAACCAACGAACGAACTGACCGACCGACCGACCTGCAGCAAAACTCAATTTTTCCTATTCCGAGTATGTGGACGAGAACGGCAACCTTTTGGAGGATCCCAAGATGAAGAATGTGATGTACAAAATTGAGGCCATCCAGGGAGGGACAGGTGGGCAAGGAAGTGGGGCCGGCGGCGGCGGCAGCGCTGCCGCCGCAGCAGGCCATCGCGGCGGCTGCAGCGGCTTCAAGTCCGACGGGAGCTGCTACGAGGACCAGTCGGGTTACTCCCTGCACGGAGGAACCGCGGTGGCGTTGCCGCTGCCACTGCCGCTCCCGCACACTCACGAGGCCGTCTCCATGGCGCTGTCGGCGATGGAACCTCCCCCCCCAGCACACAGGCATCTGCCGCTGATCATGACCGGAGGAGGCGGGTGCGGCGGCGCCTTAGGCGGTATGCACGCCAAGCAGCACCAGCACCCAGATCACCTCTGCGGTGGCGATGGCGGCGCAAAGAGCTCCTCGGATTGGCAGAGCGCGCGTGGCGGGGGCGGCGGCTGTGGTGGTGGTGGCGGTGGTGGTGCTGGTGGCTTGCAGGCTACGCTACAGCTCAACCTGACCGCGTCCCTCGCCACCGGGCCCCCGCAGCCGCCGCAATCGCTGCCATCTGTGCAGCACCAACACCACCAGCACCGTCTACAACATCTGCACGAGGGAAGCGGGGAGGAGCCCCCCACCTTGTTCGTACACCTCCAGGAGGGGCTGCGCACTTCGGGGGCCTGCGGAATATCGCATAGTGGGGCGGGTGCCCTCGGAGCTGGCGGAGGAGGAGGAGGAGGAGGAGGAGGAGGGGGTGGCGGCAATATAACCCGGGGGGCTGACGGCGCCTTAGCTGCCGTGGCAGATCCCTGTGGCCCTATGCCGCCTTCTTCCACCCCCAGCCGAATGCAGCAACAGCACTCAGCAGTAGCAGTAGCAGTAGCACAACCACCGCCACCACCATCGCGAGGCCGCGCCGTGCCGTCCCCACCGTCGCCGCGACACCGCGCCATGTACGGCGGGTGCCCACAGCACGGCACTGGCGGCGGTACCCTGCTCGGGACATGCATGTCCGGTAATGGCGGCGGCAGCTGTTACGACGTCCCACCGGGTGTGGGGCTGTTGACGTCGGGACACGCTGTGTCGGGCTCCGCGCCGCTGCCGCCGCCGCCGCCGCGTGTGCCCAGCCTCGCTGTGCAGAACGTGCTGCTACGGGAGCTGTCGCCTAGCGCTCCCGGGGTCAGCTTCCTACGCTTCGTGGACAACCGGTTCAATAAAAACCCGGACGACACGGTGGGCGTGCTGTACCTCGACCACCGCGCGCCAGGGCGAGTGGGTTCGGCGGTTTGGAACGGCAAGTGCGTCATCCGCATGGGTATGTACGACACGGAGCGGGACGCGTGCCAGGCTTCCATTCGTTGCATGCAGCTGAATTGCATGTTCGGCATCGACCAGCCTAGTGCGGATATGTTCAACGCCATGACGGACTTTGTCGGGCCTGACATCGTGGACTGTGCGGGTGCGAATCAGGAGCAGTACGACGCCGCGCAGCCGCCGCTGCCGTATACCACGCGCAACGCAGCGCCGCGCGGCAGCGGCAACGGTAGCATGATATCGCTTGGTGAGGCACCCGCGCTGGATCTCCACCAAGCCCCTGTGAGCCACCGCCACCATGCTGCTGCCGCCGCCACGAGCCCTCACCCGCACCATCCTGGAGGGGTGTACGGACAACGCGGCGGCGGCGGCGGCGCACTGATGTCGTACCATGGGCCCGGTGGCAACTCTGTCGTCCTATCGCCGCAGCCGGCAGCTGCACAGCAGCAGCACGGACAAGGTCCGCCATCTCCAGGCGGCAGAGGTGACGGCGGCAGCGGCGGCGACAGCCAGGAGTACGGCACGTTGTACGACACGAAAGCGAGCGAGTCGGGCGGGGGTGAGGTGCAGGTAGCCAACTGCTCCAGAGGGTCGAGCCTGAGCTCCCTGCTCCAAGTCATGAAGCACATCGCCGGCGGCGGCGGTAAAGCCGGCGGCGGAGATGTCGGCGGCGGCGGTGTCGTCTCGAGTTCAATCCACCACCACCATCAACACCAACAGCAGCACCAACATCACCAGCACCAACATCACCACCAGCACCAACATCACCACCAGCACCAACATCACCAGCACAAGCAGCATCAAAACGGGGGCGACGGCGACGGGGGCGCCAGCGGGGGAACTGCAAGTGCGCTGGGCAAGCGCGGCCTGCACGGCGGCGGCGGCGACTACGTATCGCTGGCTGGCGACCTCTCTCCGGTCGGCTGCCCCAAGCGGCATGGGGAGCCCAAGCGCATCCGGGTAGACGCTGCTGCCGCCGCCGCCGGTGGGGGTGCGGGTGGGGGTGCGGGGTCGGGCGGCATTCAGCTGGAGCTGCGGTTGGAACCGCCCCGCAGGGAGCTCCTGGAGGCGCACAAGATGCCGCTGACAATGGTCCTCAAGACATGGCAGCAGCAGCAGCAACAACAACAGCAGCAGCAGGCTGCGGCGGCCGCTCTGTGAAGCCCGCGGGGTGTGAAATGATGTGATGTGGGTGATGTAGATTGCTGCGACCCTTGGCGGTGCTGCGGTCGGGTGCCCTTTCGCGGCTCTGTCGGGCAGAGGGGCTGACCGCGGTGTGCACATCACATTCCACACCAGGAGGGGGCCCTGGAGGGGACTGCTTCCGTGGGGGCCGTTCGGGGGTCAGGACTACTATGGTGACCCCCCTGCCTTCCCTTCAGGGGGGATATATATATATATGTCGTATACGGCTAAATATCACTCCTGCGTATCGTAGGGGCTGTTTCCCTGGTTGGCTGGTTGGCTGGCTCTCCGGCGCGCCGCGTTTCATGTGTGTGTGTGTGGGGAGGGGGGTCACCGCGAGGAGGAGGGGGAGGCGAAGGAGGGGGAGGGGGAGGGGGAGGGGGTTAGGACGCAAGAGCTGCCCTCCCTCCGCGACCGTCCTGCCAGCCAGCCCAGCCGCCGTGCATACTTCCGTCACCCATGCGATTGCTGGCCACACGTGCCCCGATGTGGGCGGAGTGCTGGGGTCCTTCCTGCTATGCGCTTGACACCATACCGCACCAAGCGCAGAGGCGCTGTTGTTGTTATTGGTGGTGGTGGTGGTGGTGGTGATGAGCGGCGCTTTTTTGGTTTAGTTGGCGTTGCGAGGTTTGTTGATATGCGACGGTGCGCATGTCCGGCAGGTGTACGGACAGGGCCGCGAGGAGCTCGCGCATTACCCGCATGACGCGCATCCGTACGCTTACGTAGCGGCTGTTGGCCCACGGTGGGTGTTTGGCGAGGAGCAGCTGGTACGTGTGAATATGAATATATGTGTCTGTGCGTGTGTGTGAGAAAGAGAGAGTGGCGATCTCTCCTTTATCTAAATGTATATGGAGTTGGCGTTGCCGCTTTAGGCGCATTGCCGACATGCAGAGACTTCCTTGCCGCTCCCTCCGCGTTGCTATGAGGTCAAAGCCGCGCTGGCTTCTTTACGTGACGGGGGGGGGAGCCCGGCGGTGTGAGTCACCTCCTCTGTGATTCGAGGATGGAAACGGATATATAGAGGACGTGGAGTCATCATATTGCGACTGACGAATTGATGGGTCGCCGATCTGACCGACCTTCGGAAGAAGAATTAAAGCGCTGGTTGGGTTGTGTGCTGGTTGGTCGTTTTCGTGCTGGTTGGTGTTGATGTCGATGTTGATACGTAGGAAAGTGTGGAAGGACGTGGAGGTCTCCGGAAGGTGGCGGAAACAGAAAAACTCCAATGTACCGCCAATACTGCTGCCGGCGGTGGAGGTAGGGGCCGCCCAGGTGCGTGCGAACACCCCACAGGCAGCCTGCGAGAAAACCTATTTTATTTGAGGGGCAGGGGCGTAAGGAGACGGGCCGCAACGGAGGCGAGCGTTCCTTCACACTCGCAATTAAAAGCTACATATTTTGGTTTCTCCGGGGCCCCGGGTTAATATCGGCTGCGAACCGAAAATGCAATTATTAAACGCATCGAGGAATGCCTGCTTTGTTACATGCTACGGTGTTTGCTGGTTTATAGGGGGGATGATGATATGTCGTTAGCAGAGACCGGCGGCAGTCTGGGGCGGTCCGGACCTCTGCCCGCATCTTTCTATATATATGTGTGTGCTGGGGGGTGCCGAGTCACTTGATATCCGGTATGGCCCGCCTTTTTCATTCGTTGATCAGCCGCAAGGAAACATGCCAAGTGTGCATCGCTGCTAACCATTTAACCAACCATCCTGTATTAACTGGTATAACCGTCAACCTTATGGGTGACCACTTCTGGACCCTTAATCAAACAACTGACAACGACCTGGTAACGGCCAAGTTAGTTCCTTGTCATCTGCAAGGGCAACAGACTCCTCAGTTCTGCACGAGCCGTCGCCTGTTGCTGTACACATAGCAGCAGCGCGCCTAGCGCTCCAAAGCGCAGCGACAACGGGCCGAGAGAGTGAGGCCCCGAGAGAGTGAGGAGCATTCAAAGGTTTAGAACCGTTTCAAGGATTAAAAGCTACGAAGACATGTCGAGTAAATAGGAACAGTGGGAGACCCCAACTGAATCACCAATACCTCCGGAAAGCTCTGAAGCTTGCACAAACCCGAAAACAGGGCTTCCACACCCACCCACAGAAGCACACCCTACAACATCATAGACACACAAGCATAGGAAATGAAGTAGCCCACTCCAACGCATAACACCTACATGCGGTCTAGCAATGGTACAAAACGCCCAACGAGGCATGCGAGCTAGCATATATACCCTATATACCCTAACGCATACTTTATTATAATTCGACGGCTCTCCACCACCTCTCACCCCACCACCCCGTCCTGGCTGTCCGCTGTGCCCTAGCCAGCTCTGCTGCCGTATGGCCAACTAGCTCACCCCCCTAACTACCAACCTACACACCAAACAGCTCTGCTAAGCTACTACCCGGCCTCCCAACGCCAACTCAGTGCTACAACAGCGCACCAGATGCACTTGTTTTACAGGGCTCCCCCTTCCCCAGGTCCGGACAGGAAAGCACCAGTCCTAAACGCAAATCCAGCATTGCCTCCCTCCCAGCACCACCCCCCACCCCACCTCCCCACCCCCCACCCCATCACAACCACATGCAGACGTGTGCGCCCTTCTACAGGCGGCGGCTCCACGTTCCGTTATTAGCCCGGATTGGCGACTGCAGGCCACACCGCTCGGAATGGTCCAAACAGCCTCGGCGGCTCAGTCCTTCACTCGTCGTGAACCCCACCGCAATGCCCCCCTCCTCCTCCTCCTCCGTCACTTTCAAACCGAACGTGTCTTGTCCTTGAGGTGAACTGAGGCAACTTGTGTAGCAGCTGGCAGGGAGAGACGCGCCTCTCTCTTTCTCGTACACGCATACGCACATCCCTCCCACCCTAACGGCATATGCTGTTGTAAACCTAGGAGGCGGCAGGCGTAGGGGCGCTGAGCGGCCGCGTGACAGGACGTGCACCAGGTGGTGCCCGCGGGAGGTGGGACAAAGAACGCACTCACCTGTTTGCGGCTGCGGCTGCCGGGGCCTGCTAGCAGCAGAACGAACCCCTCCGCTGTGCGGCATCTGTCTGTTCGTCTGTCCGTCCGTCAGCCCGTCAGCCCGTGAATACACACACCTCCACATACCTCCCGTTTCCCGTTTCCCCCCCCCCCCACCCGCGAGTGCACCTCAGTGCAGCGTGAAGAGCTTTATAAGGCCCACAGAGTTGGCCGCCAGTAGCAAGTTACTGCGCCGGCTCCAGCACACGCTAGAAACAAATTGCCCCGACCCTGACGCCGAACCCCCATTCCCTGGAGCACCCAACCCGCCACTGTCCGTCCCTGCTGCTGCCCCTAGCACCGCCGCCGCCGATCCAACTCCGCCGGCCGCCGCCAAGGCCGCCATCGCGCCATCCACTCCTCCTCCTCCCCCTCCACGGTCATTTCCCCCTCCGCCGCCACCGCAGGCAGAACCCACGCAGCCTATGCCAACGCTGGCAGCGTCTGGCGAGGAGAAGTCGTAAGATGTCACCGGCATTGGCAGACTCTGGTAGTAGCAAAACACGCGGTTGTTTTCGGAGCCGCAGGAGATGTAGCCATCCGCCGATACGGACAGCCCGGTGAAGTTGCGCTCGTTGGCATGGCCCCGAAACACCTGCACACAGCTCCCCGCAGCGGCATCTACAGGGCCTGGAGCCGCCGATGCCGCCGGTACGCCCGCTCCCAAGCGATCTAGTTGCCACAGCCGTAACGTGTTATCTGTGGACGCTGATACGAGCTGTGTGGGCGATAGGAAGCGCACGTACGACACGGCGCGCGTGTGGCCCGGTAGGATGTGCAGCGCGCGTGACGTGTTGCGAATGTCGTACAGAAAGATGCGGTAGTTGGCGCAGCCTGCCGCCAGCAGGTGCGGGCTAGTGGGGCTGAACTGCACACTGCAGACGTTGGCGCGCAGGTCAATGGTGGTGGTGGATGTCTCCTGCTGAATCGACCATAGCTTGATTAGGCCATCATCACCGCCGCTGAGCAGGCGCGCGGGGTCGGCCTGCGTGTGTGTATATATGTATGTATGTATGTATGTATGTAAGTATATATGTATCTTAATAATCTGAGCCGTATATGTGTGTTTGTCGGGCGGGGAGGGGGGCTGGCTGGGTGCGAGCATGGAGGCCGTCGCGGCACCCACCCCTGTGTTCGGTCTTGTGTGTGTGTGTGTGTGTATTTCCCTTTCCACCTGCCCCGGCCCCCTTGCATCACACCACACCACGCCTGCCCACGCCACCAGCGCCACCACCACCCGCCAGCTCCCCACCTGCGAAAAGTCGATGCTCCACACCCTCTTCCGGTGCTCCTCGAACTGCATCAACTCCGAGTTCGTGTTGGCGTCCCACAGCTGCACCACCCCCTCGTAGTCCGCAGAGGCCAGGTGGCCCTTGATGTAGCCGCTCCAGGTTACGGAGCTCAGCCGGGAGCGCGAGGAGATCTCCAGGACCGGGTAGTGGGCGCCGATGTGGGAGCGGAGGACCGCCTCGCGTTCGTAAATCTTGATGCGCTTGCTGACACCCGCCACGGCGAAGAACTCGTCATCCCGGTCAAACGCCGCACCCGCCACCATTGAGCTGCTGGTGGGGGGGTCGCCGTAGCGCAGACTAGCGACCGGAGTCAGCGTGGTGAAGGTGGCGAACGCGGCCAAGTCCTCAGCGAAGCGGAGCAACGGCTCCGGCAGACCGCCGGCGTCAGCGTGGCGGCGGGCGGCCGCCGCCGCCGCTGCTGCGGCTGCGGCAGTGGGGCCGCCACCATTACGGAGACTGCCGGCCTGCGCTGACGGCTGCTCCAAGGATACGGAAGCTGGTGGCGTACGGCACCGTTCAAAGAACACTCCCTCCAGCTGTTCGTACTTTTGCGCGATGCGACACCATTTGCTCTGAGCAGCCTGGTGCTGCACACACCACGCAGCGCTGTGCGGGAGCGTCAGAACCGTCGCCGCAGCAGCAGTAGCAGCACTGGCAGCGGCGGCGGCGGCGGCGGCGGCTGCCTGCCGCGGCCCCTCCTCGCCACCACCCGCAGCGTCCATACCACCGGGCACAGCTTCCCCGGCCTCGCCGTCAGGGGCAGCGGGTTGCTGCGGCACCTGCGCGTGCGGGGCCGGCGGCGGCGGCGGCGGCATGGTGGAGGGCGCCGTGCCGCTCCCGCTGCCACTGCCACTGCCGCCCCCGGCGACAGGGTTTGCAGGTGGTGCCGTGTTGGCGGCCGCGGCGGCAGCCCCTCCGTTTCCCCCTGACCCCGGCCCCCGCTGGCGCTTCACCGACCTCGTCTGATGCAGGTACATGAGGTAGTGTTCCACCAGCTGGGCGTCTGAGGATAGCAACGACAGCTCCGCATCCACCTGCGTGTTTGTGTGTGTGGGAGATGTGTGCGTGTGTGGGAAATGCGATGAGCAGGTGCGCCCGTTGGGTGCCTGTGCGTGTGCGCACACGGCCTACGGCACACCATCGGGGGCCATCAATCACACGGCGATCCATCCCATCCGCGGCGGGGGTCCCCACGAGCGGCCGCGGACACGCCCTGCTTGGTGACGACTTAGGCGCCCGGAGGGACCGCACCTCCAGTTCCCCCATCAGCCCGCCCTTGCATCTCCCCCCCCCCCCACCACCACCACCTGGGGGCTCAGGCGCAGGCGGCACCTCCAAGTATAAGGACCAGCACCAGCCCCCACGGGCCCACACGGGGGGCCCCCCCCTACCTGCGACAGCTCCTCAAGCTTCCTCTTCCGCAGCATGTGCAGAAACTCCGACAGCACCGCGTTGTCCACCCGAAGAGCGGCGGAACCAGAGGGGCCGGCGGCGGCAGCGGCCCCGGAGGAAGCATGCAGCGCCGCCGCCGCCGCCGCCGCCACTGCGCCGGATGTGACCTGCGCTCCGGCCGCCCTCCCCTCCGTCGCGACGACACTCCCAGCCGCCAGGCGGTGGACCGGGTGGTGCTGCGGGTGCAGCAGCTGCTGGTTTGCTCCGCTGCCTGCTGCAGCCCTAGCACTACCGCCGCCGCCGCCGCCGCCGCCAGCACCCCCGGCCGCTGCTGCCGCTGCCCGGTGGTGCACCTGCGCTGCAGGTTGCCGATTGTGGTTCGTCTGGCGGTCATGGTTGTGGTTACTGTGGTGGTGGTGGTAGTGTCGGTCATGCGCATGGACCTGGCGTTGCGGCTGTTCCCGTCCATTGCTGTCAACACAGGCACCGGCAGTGGCTGCAGCCGCCCCCGCAGGTCTCTTCTGTGCCTTCTGTCTCAGTGACGCGCATGTGGCCCGGAACATGGCGCTGCCCAGCAGCTCCCGCAGTGTGGGGCGACAGGAGGGGTCTGGGTGCAGCAGGGCCAGGGCGAAGGCCGCCTCCTTGGGCTGCTGCCGGAGGAAGGAAGGCGGTAACAAGCGCTGCCGGGCATCCTGATGCACACATACATACACACATACATACACACACATATACAGGAGGGAGGGAGGGAGAGCGGGAGGGCGGCACGATTGTCTTCAACTCTCAACGGCAACTTTGGAGTTACTTATTGTGACTGCAGATGCATCGCCCCCCAGCCAGCTAGCCAAACAGACAGGGGGAAGGAAGGGCGGCGGGGGGGGTTACCAATAATGCACGTGGCGGAGAACCAACCCCCACCCTCCCCCCGGCAGGTCGAGTCGCGAGCGGGCGGGACTGCTGTGCGCCGGGCAGCTGGTGCGCCGGGTTCCGGGTTCCAGGCGGAGTCCATAGGGACGACCCGCTGGGTGCCCATAGTGACAACGTCGAGTGAAGGGCTGCTCGCTCCCGGGAGCTACTGACCCGGGCTAGCGTGCATAGCCACCAAGGCGCGAAAGCAGGAGGCCAAAAGGCAGGGGGGCGGGGGCGGGGACTCGGGGGGGGGAAAAGGGGATATGCAAGCGAGCACGCATACCGCGGCGAGGATAGGGACGAAGCAGCGCAAAGCGAACCGCAGTAGCAGTGAACCAGCACCGTCACCATCACCATCAGCTGCAGCAGCAGCAGTAGCAGGCAAGCGCACGCACCCGCAGCAGCGCCGCTCGCTCTCGTCCGGTACACACGTAAAAGAGATCAAAGAACAGCAAACCCAGTGAGAACATGTCCGAGGCCGGCGTGGCTGGATGGCCCAGGGCTTCCTCCGGGCTGCAGTACAGCGCATCCTCATCGTCACCCGAGCTCCCCGTAGCTGTAGCTGTAGCTGCAGCTGCCGGAGACACCGGCACGGGCAGCAGCGGCCGCACGGCGGCGTCCACCGTCCCAGCAGCAGCGATTGCCAGCCCCGCCGGCGCCGACACAGCTGCCAGGCCATTCAGTGGCAAGGTCGCCGCAGCAGGTGGCGGCGGCGTTAGGGACCTATTTACCGCCGCCGTCGCCGCTGCGACTCCTGGGGGTGCTTGACCCTGCCCCGCTTGAAGCTCCCCGCCAGCAACAGCACCGCCGCAGCCGTCTCTCCCGTAAGAAGCCGTAACAGACGCCGGGCGGTCCTCCTCCGCTCCACGCGGCTGCCCAGCCGAGCGCCTCCGCCGCCTCTTGCGCCTCTCTCCGCCTCCGCCGCTGCCTTCACTCCTTCCGCAGCCTCCGCCTCCGCCGTTGCATTTCACCGCGCCCGTGGATCCTCCTGTCGCTGCCGCCGCTGCCGCCGAAGGCGGCGGCAGCAGTGGCGACTGCGGCGGTGCAAACGCCACGCGGCCATTGCTGTACAGCATTAACTTGGAGGGCCTCAGGCCGCAGGCCCGCCAGCCACCCGCCGCCGCCTGGAAGCTATCCAACAGCAGCAGCACCTCACAGAAAATCCAGAAGCTCTCCTTGGGCTGTATGCAGCGAGTGGACCGCCGTAGCCACTTCAGCAAGTTCACCTTACTGGCGCCGTGACCCCCTCCGCAGCCGCCGCCACCGCCACCGGCGACCCCAGCCGCAGCGTGGGGCTGCTGCGCGTTGTGCGGGTGGACCGACGGAAGCTGCGCAGCGGTCGCGGGACTCAGGGCTGTAGCAGCCACCACCGCTGCCGCCACCGCTGCAGCGGCTTCGCTTCCGGGACCTTCCGCCGGAGCACAGCCTGGTAGCGCAGCTGCACCACCTGCGTGGAGCCCTGAATCCGCCGTAGGGCCTCCAACTTCCCGCAGCTGCACTACCTGCGCCTGCGCGACGTGCCCAGGGAACACGGGTCGGCAAGAGGAAGAGGAAGAGAGACGACCGGGGAGGATGCGGCCTTACCACGCCACGTTAGGTCACAGCACCACAAAACGCCATCCCCCAGGGTCCACCAATCAAAATGCGTTGGGACAAGAGGGAGGAGCTGCCTAACACACTGCTAGGAGCTGCCTAACACACCTAAAAGATGTGTCTCCTTCCGCCCTGACTCTCCAACCGCTCGCGCAACGCAGCCCCAGACCCATTCATCGTCCGTCCGCAGTAACGCAAACGAAGCTCTTTCATCACTTTCCTGCCCGCTCTCCTCCCCCAACAGTAAGCCCGCTCACGTGGCATGACGCAACGTGGCAACATCCCCGCCACGCAACCGTCAATATCACCGCCCACCCCACCTGCCCCTTCTCCCCAGCCATCGGCCCCGGCAGCCGCAAAGCCGCTCTCTGCAATTGCCGCGCGCCGCCGGGCAGCACAGCCGCCTCAGTACGGCCGGCCGCTGTCGTACTCGCCGCCAGCGCCGCCGCGCGCATCATGTCTCTCGCTACCTCCGGCGGCAGGCCCAGGCTCCCGCCCAGGTCCATACCCAGACTCAGCAGTGGTACGTCCCGAGCCAGTTGTAGCCCCGAGCCGCCTGGCGCGGCCGGTGCCGGAGACCCGCATGAAGCAGGGCCAAGCCCCGCAGCGATGCCGGGGTGAATCAGGGCCGCGCCGCGTCCGCCCGGTGCTGCGCCCGTGGCTGCTTCTGCTTCGACTTGTTGTTGTTGTTGTTGTGGTGGTGGTGGTGGTGGTGGTGGCCGTAGTGGTGCGGCTGTTGCGGGTGCTGTTGGGTCCTGCGGGAATTGTTAGCCGGAGTGAGCACGTGGCCGGTCTGTGTGGGTGCGTGTGTGTTGGAGCCCAGTGAGAGAGAGCCTTCACAGCGCTCACCCGGTTGCTCGGGATGAAGAAGGGCGAGATGAGACAGACATGACGTGCCAACAATGCCAACGATGGGCGGGGTTTGTGTTTCGCCTATTTTATGCGAGTGAGTGAGTGCGCTGCCTGTCTGACTCAAGACCCCCAACAGAATAAAACTGGAAGTTGGAAACTCCTGATCTAGTCACGCAATGCAATTCAATGCGATGCAAGTACCCTTATCGTACGGTGCTCACATGCCTCGTTTTAACGCTACAGACAGTGCGGGGCAGAATGCGCTGCCGACCGGCAAGCCCTCCGAAAGCCCTCCCCCGGCCCGGACTGATCCCCTTGGCTGGTAAATGACTCATTGACTGAGTGACGGATGCTCCCCCCATTGCCCTGCACTCACCTCCAGTACGGCAGCCGGCTGTACGGCTGCCGCGTGGTGATAGCGCTTCATGACGTGCATCCAGATGTTCTGGACCTCCTTCCGCGTGACGGGCTTCACCTGCAGGAGCGCGCAGTATCCAGCGGGTGACATACGGACATACCACACACGCCCCTAAACAGGCGCCGCCGTCTTCCTTGAGTGCCCTGCAAATTGCGCTGCTGCCGGTCAGAGGTGCGCGCTGTCGTCCCG